TATATCTTTATGATCTACAGATCTGTATGACAAGGCTAATTTCTGCTTATGTATAAGCTCGCCATACCTTCAATCTGAGTTGCCCAGATTTGTGGCAGATTCCCTTTTAGGGGACAACCCTACAATAGTGATATTTCATGCTAAATCATCTAGTGCATATGTCTCAAGCCAAATCCAGCCCATCAGGCCATTTGATGTGGGCCTTGAACCCCTCCTCCTCCAGACTTTGCACTCTGCTTCCCAGCGCTACCCCTAGCTTCGTACTGGCAGCAGCACAAGGTAAGGGGGATGCACTGTGAATAAGAGTGTAAGGGACTCCTGATGGTGGGGGGGATCTTGACGTCTGATGTAAGGGGAGGGGGTTGGGGTGCTTTGGACACCTAGTCTTACAGATATAACTGGCCCTTTGAGGGCAACCATAATGCTGATGCAGCCCACAATGAAATTGAGTTTGACACCCCTGATCTAGTGGCTCCTCGCATATCGTGAGGATTGTATTTATGACAGGAACAGTAAGATCCTGATGTCACATAACCCTGTAGCTAGGGGAGTCAATGCTTTTTCTGCCTCTTCATAATATAGACCAGAAACTCCAAAGGTGACAAGCATCCCTTATGTTTTGGTTTAGCAAGTTGTATGGACTGCAGAGCTCAGACAGTTCCAAGAGATAAAAGAGCTCACCTGCAAAAACAAATAACTGACATTTTAGTTGGATTGATCTATGAAAAAAAGACAAAACCAGACTTATTCTTGTACCTTTTTAACGGGACTTCCTGACTAACATCAAGGACTGTCTCTACTCTTCATCAAAGTAATGAAAAATATTAGCTGAACTCCAGAACTTAGCTCCTCTTTCTGTATTTATTAACAAAAAAGACTGCATACTATCATGTCTCCACCCACAAACCAACCTTCCCTGTCATGTTTACCCACAGGGGCTGTGGTAGATGACACCTGGATCCATCTTTGATAAAGGTGCGAGTCTTGGGGGGAGCCATGGATTTAGGTATGTTCTTCTAACATCAAAGACTGATAGGGTGCCTGCTATCCAAAGTTCCTTATCATGCCTTCTAATCTTTCAATGTTAACATCTAAGAAGTTTCAATGATTTACCTGCTCAGACTCCAACCCAGTGTGACCATAAACTCCACTCACTGCGACTACAAATCCCTCCTTCAAACTCCACCACCAGCTGATGCTGATTACATTCAGGGAAAACTGTGGGTCCTTCTTTTTTTGTGGAAGAGTACCAGCAGATTTGTTCCCACCTGTATATCCTGATCTGAGTGGCTGCAAGAAAAATGTTAGGGGGGGGGGGGGGGGGGGGTGAGCAGTGGAGAGGGTAATCATTTGCTTCATTGCCTCTTAGTCCATGGAAGAGGCTATGGAAGAGCAGTCAGCTATCTGGGGTACCTGTATCATGACCTGTAACAAACTAACTAGGTGGAGCATTCAGAGGCAGTGTTGGCCTACAGGTTCAGAGACTCCAATGGGGACTTTCACAACCAATATCCCAGGGTTTAGTTAGTGGGGAGGCCAGGTGCAGAGGGGAGGAAAGGGTGGACACATGCAGTAGGCAAGGTTTATCCCAATGGTGTAATACAGATAACCTGTCACTTGTGTAAACCAACACCAAAAGGTGATGGCACATAACGACTTATCGCTTCCTAAAGACTATGAATCCCCAAACCAATAAACTTACAAAAATTGTCTGTCATTCACCCCTATAACACCTACTGATTTACCTATAACGTATTGGAATCTTGTGAGCAAATCCTTGACAACTGTAGCATATCCTGTCAGGCTTATGTACATACACATACATAAGCCTGATAGTAAAATATATTTCTCAACATTTTGGTACCTTAACCCGGATGCTATGACACCATCAAGTAGCAGCAAATGTGGACCTACATATATTAACATTTTCACCTGACATCTAATACAACCATGTCCTGAGACAGAAATAGCTCCAGTTCATAAGGGGGTGACAGGTACAATTAAACTGTACATTCTATGTGCAATCTCTTTCTGACTTACCATTACCTATGTAACAGAAGGGCCTACCTAAGCAATTCAAAAGCTTTGTATGCAGTCTAGCAGGCCATTTCACTACATCTGATTGTACAAGGTCCTTTAGCACCCAAGGCAAAAAAAGGCTAACGTGCGCCCCTGTTCTGTGAACTACCTCAGCAGCATAGGTTGCAGATCTCCTTTTTTGTGTACTCCCTCCTGCTGAAGCACCTCTTGGCCCTGCCATGTGGCTAGCTTTGGACCTCATTGTATATATCAGGCCCTGAGTGTCAGAATATCAGGATTCTTCATATGCTCTCGTCTTTCTAGAATATGGAGGTGACTTTACCAACACACAATCACACAATGTGGCCAACACACTAAAACTAGTGCAATAACACAATGGTGAAATCACCCTCACTCACAGCTTGTTGAACACGTGTTTTGTGTCTGAAGATATGTACATACACGGGTTTATCATGTAACATTATCCAGAGAGCAACAGCTTGCAGTATCCCTTGGCTACAAATAAGAAATCATCTTATACAGCTCAGGGTAGGCAGACGTATGAAAGACGATTTCCGATTGGCTAACATTGCACACCATGTTATTAGAGGACTTGTTACTTACACAAACAAGAAACTTTATGTGAAAGAACTACTAGTAACATCAACAAATACATTTGTAAAAGTTTCCCAAATACACACAAAAAATATATGCTTCACATTACCATAATGTGGCTGTGCAACCTATGTGAGCAGCCATTACTGGCAAAATGAGGCTCAAATGTGACATTTGGCAGCATCAGTCTGTGAGCTTTCTGGCTAGAGGGTTATGTGTGTGCTGGAGAACATCGCTTTACCCATTGAACTGATATTTAAAAAATATATCATCCAAAACTTTGACATATTTATGTGTGCTGCAAAAGTTATTTTAAATACTGTATGCTTACTTACAGTTTATGCTTGGGTCATACTCACACCTATGAAGTTGAACTCCTGGCGGAATGTGAACACTATCATTATAGTGGTGCTCCCCCCCTTCATGTTTTGCATGGGTTAAATGCTCACTTTTGCTTAGGGTACCAATGAAAAGCACTTCTGCTTACGTTATCCCTTGCCCCTGCAGACTCCTCCTCTCTGCATGACAGGTTCGCTGAAGCCTTTTATTCCCGCGCTCCACCCAACACTCGCAGTCCAACTTCGTCATCTACAATGCAGGTCCGACAGTCTTGCATGGTAAAAACAGGATGCCAAGGGCTCGCCTACAACCCAAAGTACAAGAGGGAGGAGGAGAGCACCAGCTGCAGGGGGTCCGAGGGATAAGGGAAGTGAAACTTCCTTTTAATGGTACCCTAGACAGAAATTAATGCAGTGTAGGGTAACACCTCTGAAAAAGTAATTTTTTTTCAGCTTTAAACAAATGTTTGAGCATGTAGGATATTTTACTACATTCCTGAGTGTCTTTTACCGTACATGTGTTACAAGGCATGAACACAAAGCTACTAAACACACATGACAAATATATCAACACTTTTGCAAGACAAAAGGCTTGTATTATAGGTAGATTGGGGGCCGTCTATCTGTATAATACACCCGGGGAGGGGGAAGGAGAGCCTGCACTCCAATTTACACAGCTCAAACATTTAGTAACACCAACCGGATATCACAAAGCAACATAACGGGTCCATTTAGGTCATTTTGCGGCGCGTCTGTTTTAAAGGTAAATTGATGCAACGTCAAAGTAGATGCTAACTGGATGACATTTAGCGGTGTATTTACTTAAGGCGAACAGACTGTGCAAGTGCATTAGCTCCAGAGCTCAGTAAATGAGTGGAACCTCTGCTGACTTCCATCATCAAATCATGTGCAAGAAAAAAATACTGTTTTTTTTTTTGTTATTTTCCTTGCATTTGATTGCATATACTTTGTAAAGTGAAGCTTCCCCTCATTTACTAAGCTCTGGAGCAACTGCATCGTCTGTTTGCCTTTAGTAAATCAACCCTATTGATTGCTAAAGCATTGTGTATCATAAACGTTAACACTATCTTTACCCATAACCAGGGGCGGACTGACCATTTGGAAACTCGGGCACTGCCTGAGGGCCCGGGGTCAGTAGGGGGCCCAATGAGATGCCCCTGGTACTTTTTTCATAGGCTTTTTTGAGTTTGGGCAAGGACACAGGGGCCCCATGATCCCCTATTGCCCGGGGGCCCCATGAGTTGTCAGTCCGCCCCTGCCTATAACCCTGCTTGTATTCCTAAATCTGGCCATAGATTCAGCAGGGAATGCTAGAGATACGAACCATGTATGGGCAGGCTGAATGTTGACTGATTGCAACCCGTGGTTGCAGGAAATAAAATTGCTCCATTTATGGCCGGCTTAACAATAAACCAACCCTCATGTAAACTCAACCCTTCTTTTGCATCTCACTGGGACCTTCTGCCCTTATGATCACTCTTCCTACCCCAAGAGATACCAGCACCAATATCTCCTACTTCAACTAGCTGGTGTTACTACATGTTTGGACCACAAATGCGCTGCATTCCAAAACCTTGTATTATAAATACATGTGTAAAACACAATGGTTTTTACTCAGGGAAGTGTGAATGGGGGTTTAAATAAGCCCAACACAATGCCGTCCTCTATCACTGACTACTGTAAAGGACCCGCCTAAATCTCATTAGTGACTGACAGGAGAGCTATACATACTATACATTACAGAATTAAAGGAAGTGTCCTTATGTATCTCTTCTGGCTGTACATCCTGCTTACAAGAACAAAGCAGCTTAATGTATGGAGAGGACATCCACAGGGTTTAGTGCAAACAGAGGAACATCTGAGCATATAGCGGTAATCTGGCACCGGGTGCTGCTGGAGAGGAAAGGGAGGATTCCCGTACCAACACTGCAGGTCTCTCACATAGAGAGGAACATGCTAACGATGGGAAGAAAAGGTGGCCGTACTCTGTCAGCTCTCATTGTTCAGTCAGTAGACGCAAAGGTCAGGGAACTTCATCTCGTAGACAGGAATCGAGTGGTTCTGTGTCTGCCCGTATGCTGCCGTGATGGTGCCTGAAGGACTTGGAGGGGGGCTGCAAAATATTAGAATAAATGTGACTATATTATTATTATTATACAGGATATTTATAGCGTTATGTTTGCAAAATAAAGGTAGACAGTACATTTACAATATATTTCAAGACAGGAGAGTTAGGGGGGTTGCCTCTTAGAGCTTACAATCGAAAGGGAGGGAGAAGTTATACAAAAGAAACTGTGTGGTGATGAGTTGTACCAGTAAAATTCAGTTGCTATCTAGAGGTGGGAGAGGCTACCCTTATAAAATAAGTTTCCGGGCTAAGGATAGAAAAAGCAGGAGAAAAATACACAGATTGGGGTAGGGAGTTCCAGAGGATGGAAGATGCTCTGGAGAAATCCTAGGTGCGAGCATCCAGGACTCCAGGAGGTGACAAGAGAGCTAGAAAACAATAGTGCCCCATCATTGGTATCAGTAGGAGGAATAGTTCCTCATCATTGGTATCAGTGGGAGGAATAGTGCCCCATCATTGGTATCAGTGGGAGGAATAGTGCCCCATCATTGGTGTCAGTGGGAAGGAATAGTGTCCCATCATTGGTATCAGTGGGAGGAATAGTGTCCCATCATTGGTGTCAGCGGGAGGAATAGTGTCCCATCATTGGTATCAGTGGGAGGAATAGTGTCCCATCATTGGTATCAGTGGGAGGAATAGTGCCCCATCATTGGTATCAGTGGGAGGAATAGTGCCCCATCATTGGTGTCAGTGGGAAGGAATAGTGTCCCATCATTGGTATCAGTGGGAGGAATAGTGTCCCATCATTGGTGTCAGCGGGAGGAATAGTGTCCCATCATTGGTATCAGTGGGAGGAATAGTGTCCCATCATTGGTATCAGTGGGAGGAATAGTGCCCCATCATTGGTATCAGTGGGAGGAATAGTGCCCCATCATTGGTATCAGTGGGAGGAATAGTGCCCCATCATTGGTATCAGTGGGAGGAATAGTGCCCCATCATTGGTATCAGTGGGGGGAATAGTGCCCCATCATTGGTATCAGTGGGAGGAATAGTGCCCCATCATTGGTATCAGTGGGAGGAATAGGGTCCCATCATTGGTATCAGTGGGAGGAATAGGGTCCCATCATTGGTATCAGTGGGAGGAATAGTGCATCATCATTGGTATTGGTGGGAGGAATAGTGCCCCATCATTGGTATCAGTGGGAGGAATAGTGCCCCATCATTGGTGTCAGTGAGAGGAATAGTGCCCCATCAGCGGGAAGAATAATACCCAATCATTGGTGTCAGTGGAAGGAGTGATGCCCCATCATTGGTATCAATATTTGCCCCACTGTTAGAGTCAGTGGGAGGGAATAATGCCTCATAACTTTGGGAGGAATAGTGTCTCAAAGTTTGGATAAAGGCTAGCAAAAAGCCGCATTTGGCCCTTGGGCCGCAGTTTGGAGACCACTGGTCCAGGAGAACAAAAAAGGAGATTTACCCATCCCAGCCCTCCCCCTCAGCTAGACTGGTCTCTGCAGTGTCTTCGTCCCCATGCTCCAGTGGTCTAAGGTCCTGACGTCATCAAGACCAAAGCTGGGTCTGTAATACATTGGATGTGATGATGTCAAAGGACAGTCCACCACCAAAGCGTGGAGAAGAGCCATCTGCTGGGGGAGCGGAGGATCAGTATAAAGGATTCTCCTCTGCTCTAGACAAAATCGGCAATGCCACTGCAAGGGATAATTTTATATTTTTCCAGAGCTGGGCTTATCGCAAATATACAGCCTCTCGGAGGGTGAGCTTTAATGCTAAGAGGCCGTAGATATGCGGCTCTAGGTAAACATTTTATTGTGCTGACAGCACACTCCCAGCACAGTAATGAATGTGAACCAAAAAGCTCTCAATGCATACTTGTGATTGGGAGCTTTCCAATCATGTGACCGCTGGGACAGCAAATCACAGCAGTCACATGATTGGAATGCCCACCTCTGCCTCCCAGCATTTAGTTTCTCTTAAAGGACTGGGAAGCAACGGCGGGAATTGTTTAAACAAAACCTTTGTTTGATTGCATATTTTAGACAGTAGTGTGGAATTGCAAGGAGTCATGCTGATAGGAGCAAAGAGCAAAGTGACAGAGTTGAGCTGGGGAGGGACAAGACCTGTAAATGTTACTGAACTGCAGTGGAGAAAAAAATCAGGTCTCGCCTCCAGCCCTGCTAGACAGGATTGTGTTGTGTGGCAGAGCTGTGTAAATCTCAGAATTGGATAGACAGAAATACAAATCCTTCAGCAGGTAATACAGCTCTCATAAACCTATTTAATCTGTATATCTTGCTGTTGGGAGTTCAGCTTTAATGGTTTATTTCACAAGCTGTACATGAAGATTATTACCGTATAGTCAGCTCAAAGATTTGGTTTAGTTTACTCTGCAGCAACGAGGCCTAGAAAAATAAGAGAAATGGTATAAGGTGCAGCAAAAGTAAATTAGAAGTAAACAAAAAGCAGCAAAGAAAGAAACAAAATTTCTATGTGATACAAATTCTCCAAAAAAGTGCTGGTGGCATGACCTGTCATTTATTTATTGGAGTGACCACTTACATCCTTTTCCCCTCCTACCTTATCTCCAGTTCTCTTTCCTTTTGGTTCTCAACATTTATTTTATTCTTTAGTTACCCTTAAAATACATGCTTTAATCTAATCTTCCAGGAACCACCAACACCTGACAAGGCCCAACCGCTTTCAAACTTTTTTTGGTACCATTTCAAATCCTTTACATATAAGCTGAACATTTTTATTGGACATTGCAAGAGGAAACATAAAATAAATAGTCAGAAGGGGCAGCAACTGGGGAGACTTACTAAAACTGGAGAGTGCAATATCTGGTTCATCTCTGCATGGAAACCAGTTGGCTTCCAGGTTTTATTGTCAAAACTTAATTGAACAAGCTGAAGTTAGAAGCTAATTGGCTTCCATGCACCAGATTCTGAGTGATCCAGTTTTAGTAAATCTCCCCCAAAGTCTACTCCACTGACACCAAAAAAATAAAGGCGAATCCAATAACATATATCAAAGAGGTGCTGGGGCTTCAAAACGTATTCATTCCAGCACAAGAAAAGTCCATAATCACTTACTCTGGTAAGCCCCGTACAGTGAAGTCGTACGATTAAAAATCGGGTGACATGCCGATCTCAGTTGCGATTTACAAGACATCTGACACAGATGTCTATGCAATTCACAACAAACGTAGGGCATGCACTAGAAACTTGGTTGGAGCCGCACCGATATGACTGCTCTAATAGCGGACAATAGGGTGTGACTTGGCATACAATTTGCAAGTCACATGGCATGCAAATCGCATGCCAAGTTGCACCCGATGTGATTGGAGTGTAAGGCTGCTTATGTGGAACATGCCTCCACAGGGGGTACCCAGACAATGACTCAAAACATGTATATACACTAAAAGACCAAGTGTCTAAAAATGCTTCAGTAGCTCATAAAATTATCACATAAAAAAATCCAATGGGTTTCAGGGGCAAACATGATCTTCCTTCATCAGAGCTCAGTGATATGTGCACATGTTTAAAAGAACATGTCTCTACTTGCATATTTCAGTCCTGAAACTTAAAAGGTTAGTTTACCTTCACCCAAAAACTGCCCATGCAGATAAGGGGCATCTGAAGAAAAAAACAAACTGTGCAGCTTTGATTAAAGTTGAAAAACGTCCTCACTATAGGTGTAGGCTACTTATGTACTTCCTGAAGCTTGGCTGGAAAACTCCCAGAGACAACATCATCCTGTCCTGCCTTGTTGCTAGGATGTTGCTAAGACACTCACAGCAATTACTGCTCACCCCCCCACCATCACGGGAGTAAGCTCTTTCTCTGATTCAAACCCTCTTACATGTGCTCTCTCTTCCCATTAGAGTAGCTCTGAGCTCAGCAATAATGCAATGGAGGAGATAGTGGACCATGCATGCGTGGGAGTTTCAAAGCTCACTCCTGTGATGGTGGGGTTGAGCAAAAACATCTGGGAGTGTCTTAGCCAAGTACTAGCAATAAGACAAGATTTGATGATAGCAACTTTGGGAGTCAGCCAAGCTTCTGGAGATACAGAAATGGCCTACACCTATAGCAAGGGTGTGACAACCCCAACCGGGACAGGAGCTCTTGGAGGGGGCTAGCCTTCTACCCACTGATTATGACCCATGGAGAGAGCAGATCATTACATTGTTGTCCATCATTAGAGAATGAACACTGAGAGCAAGGCTTGGATTAATTCTCTGCATAAATACAATACAATATTCTCTTCTGGACTGGATGGAAAGGTGTAATAGTAAAGTGTTACTAAACCCACAACAGTGAAATCAGTCTGTATATGCAGTAAAGCATGCTTGTTATAATCACTGTGGAACATAAGGAGTTAATCCTCTGCATTGTGTAAAAAGGATGTTTGATCCTTTCTTCTCTGATCCTCCCCTTCTTCCAATGTCTCTCACATATCTCCTGATAGAACAGAGGCTAGGGACAAGCTGCACATGCTTAGTTTGGTGTGCATTGCTAGAGAGTATTTTTTAATCTTGGGAAAGTGCATGTGATCAGCACAGGGCCAATCAGCACTCCCCAGACAGAGGTCAGAGGTCTTGTATCTTGCTACAGGAGAATGAAAACTCCTCCTACAAGTTTTAACCAGTGCTCTGCTGGACACTGACAGAAGTCACATTACTGCTCTAACTGCTGATGAGAAAAGGTATTCTTGTAGCAGTTTATATTTACTAAAATAGTTTCATTCCCATTTTCTGTGTACTGTGGGAGAGCACATATAGTGAATGTATGGTTCTGGGTTTAGTAACACTCTAATCATTTACAGGTTAATGGTCAGAGGAAATGTGGTGGCCCTCATGAGGACTGGGGGACTGAGGTGGTCATCTTCCCTCCCCAGCGGCAGTTCCACAGTCCAGAAGAGGAAGTGGTATCTCTCCCTCCCCAAACAGTCAGCCAGAGTGAAGGATGTGGGGTCCCCAGTTGAAGCGCTGGTAACAGGGCAGAGCACCACTGGCCTCTGTCCAGCACCTCCCATGTCTTCACAGATCCAGGGAGTTGGGGCAGTCAGCCCCTCTCCCCAGCAGCATATGGAGCCCTGGAAAAGTAAAGACCTCCTAGCTGAAGTACTGGCAACAGGGCAGAGTGCCACTGGCCTCTGCCTAGCATTGAATGTGTCTTCATGGCTCCAGGGAGCTGGGGAAGTTAGCACCTAGCCCCAGCAGCAGATCAAGCCCTGGAATGGTAAAGACCTCCCAGCTGAAGAGCTGGCAACAGGGCAGAGCACCACTGTCTCTGTCCAGCACCTACAGTGTGTTCACGTCTCCAGGGAGTTGGGGCAGTTGGGTCTCTCTCCAGTGGCCGACTGAGCCCTGGAATATTAAATACTTATCAGCTGAAGCGCTGGTAGCCGGACAGCGGATCTACAACCTCTGCCCCTCACCTACCAATGACAGCTCTTCCCTGCAGACAAGAATGGCGATTGTGTGGACCGAATATGTGGGTTCACTCTGCCCGACTAATGCATGTCCAGACCAGGTGGAGGTCTGGGACCTGGTTAGCCGACTTTTGAGGGGGGGGAGATATGTGACAGACCACTATTTTGGCTTTTGGATGGGACCAGGAGCTAGCCTTCTACCCACTAATTATGGCCCATGAAGAGAGCAGATCATTCTTTAATGATGGACAACAATGTGATTAATGCTGAGAGCGAGGCTTGGACTAATTCTCTGCATAAAGACAATAAATCTTCCCTTCTGGAGTGGATAGAAAGATGTAATATTAATCTTGTAAAGGTTAATGGTCAGAGGAAATATGGTGACCCTCATGCGGACTGGGTTGGAGAAGCATCCCTATTTGGAACAGAAATGCTTATTAACAATCTCCCTCAAGTAATCTATGAAGATAAATTAATGACACTTTTTCAGACTGTTGGAATATTGTATGAGTTTTGTCTCATGACGGACAGATTGCACCGGTGGTGGCCAGACACCTGAAAGGCAGCATGTGTATTCCATGTAGGCACTGGATTGTCTGAGTGGGCTCCCTGATTAATCAGGTCAAAACAACCTGATGCTGAGGATTCTTGCTGTATTCTGTTTATTAAGATGGGATGTGTTTACTGTGTCCTCGTCCCACTGTTAATTGAGTTAATTGAGTCACCTATTGTTTCTGTCAGATAGTCCCTAGAGGTGCCTAAATGATGGGATTAGCCTTGTGTCAACGTCACTTCATTATCTAATCAGTGTATGATGTTTATCCCAATGTATAATATTTGTTTTATTGTTCATGCAGGTACTGCCCCTATTTCTGAAATATATATAAAAACCTCTTTTCTGTTCAATAAAGAGTTCCAGTTTGCATCTAAGCTAGTGTTGTCTAGTGTTGGGTGCAATGCCCAGCTAAAATGCCTTGGTCATGTGTCCCAGCGGCGAGGAAACAGTTCTGTAATGGATTCATCCAATCGGGGTGAGAGGTGGTCCGTCACAAAAGGCATTATCCAACTCTAGTCAAAGCTGCACAGTTTAATTTTATCTACAGGGGTCCATTAACTGCATAGGAGGTTTTGGTAAGGTGAATTAACCCTTTAAGTTTTCTCTGGACCGCAGGGATCATCCTTACGCCTTTCTGCTTTTTGTAAAGATTAAAGGTGTGTGTTTTCTGAGTCTTACCCTGGCTCCACAATGAGCAGCGATTTCCTCAAATGGAGCCTTCTGGAACTTCTCAACCACTTGCCGCCTCCGCTCACGCTCTTGCTCTTCCACAGCCACACTGTCAACTACAAGCAGTAAAACACAGTGAGCAGAGTTTGTAAAGAGGACAGATGAAAAAAAATGAAAAATGTCAAAGCAGGTTTTATTTTTGGTACCTCACTCAGCGGTCACTTTATTATGCATACCAAGCAGCAAATGATGTAGCTGCGACTCAATACATAAAGCATGCAAACAATGGCAAATGCGCTTAGGTGCTCTTTGACTGAATGTTAGAATTGAAAGGACATGTTAATTAGAGCAAATCTGAACCTAAAACGATCATCTCTCCTATTGGAAATATATAGAAGAGAGGTATGTGCTTAATCAGTAACCTGAAAATCAACCTTTTATCTTGACGTCCTCCTGGAAAACAGCATTGCACTTCCAGTGCCTACTCCTGTTTTGTAACCTCAAAGCTGTAAATTTTCATTGTGAGATCTGACTGCTAGTCTTGCCAGGTTTGGAGTGAGATTTGGTGATGTCACTGCTGTGCTTATCACTGTTCTCCTTACTGGAGGGGAAACTGTACCTGAGGACCTACAGTGTAAGAATTTCCATTCTTCTGCTTTGTTCATTATGTATATCTGTCCTTCCTCTACCTCTCCTTCTGCTTTTTGATCCTCACTCATGAGTAATCACATCACCAGTGATCAGGGGGCAGCAATGACACGAGGAAGCAAAAACTTGCTCCTCTACCAAGATGACCGCCTCTGTGCAGAACAAGGCATGGCAAGTCAGTAATGCGGAAAAAACATCAGATGCAGAGAAACTATGTGCAATACTGATAACTAGCCCTTTGTCCTCTGCCTGCCTATTTCGGGAATAAAGTAAAATTGGTGACATGGAAAGATGAAAGCTCTGGGATAAAGAAGTATTGGTGAGAAGGGAAGATGAAGGGTCTGGCATGAGTTAAGGTAGGTGACAGGGTCCGATGAAGGCTCTGGGAAATGGAAGATTGGTGACTGGGGAAGAAGAAGGCTCTGGGAAAAGAAATATTGGTGACAGGGAAGATAAAGGCTCTGGGAATAAGTAATGGTGACATGGGAGGATGAAGAGTCTGTCATGAGTTTCACATTGGTTACAGGGTCAGAGGAAGGCTCTGGGAAGAGGTAGATTGGTGACAGGAGAAGATGAAAGCTCTGGGATGGGGTAAGATTAGTCAGATGAAGGCTCGTGGAAAAGGTAATATTGGTGACACGGTCATCTGGTTAGATGGAGGCTCTGGGATGAGGTAAGATTAGTGAGATCTCTAAGATGAGGTAGACTGGTGATAGGGTTAGATGAGGGCCCTGGAAAGAGGTAAATTGGTGACAAGGGAAGATGAAGGCTCTGGGAAAAGGTAAATTGGTGACAGGGTTAGATGAAGGCTCTGAGAAGAAGTAAATTGGTGGTGGGGTTAGAGAACAGTTCTGGAAAGAGGTAGATTGGTGACAGGCAAAGATGAAAGCCCTGGGATAGGGTAAGATTGGTGAAAGAGGTGAAGGCTCTGGGATGAAGTATATTGATGACAGGGTTAGATGAAGGATCTGGGATGAGATAAGAATGATGACATGGGAAAAGAAAGGCTCTCATATGAGGTAGATTGGTGGTAGGGGACAATGAAGGTACTGGCATGAGGTAGATTGGTGGCAGGGGTCAATGAAGGTCCTGGGATGAGGTAGACTGGTGACATGGTAAAAAAATGAAGGGTAAGATTGGAAGATTCACAGCATGAATGTATGATGACAAACCAGCTGGAGTTGCTAGATCACTATCAAGTCTGTGTGAGGCTACACTTCCTATGCCTTGTTGAATCCATGCCATAAAGAATTCAGGTACTAGTCAGACATACCAATAAAAGCAACCACAGAGTATTTCACAGCTCTTTGCAACATTGAAAAAAATGAAAATAAACAAAGATGAATGTTATAAGATTAAGACGCTGGAATGCAAGATGGGAGAAAAAAAATCGTTCATCTAATGTAAACTAGAAAAGTTTTTGCTATGTTTAGAGGGCAACTTTGGATTTCTGCATTGTGGGTGAAGTGGAGCAAGCTTTTATCACTGCTGGGTATTTATTGCAGTATGAAACCTATGCAGGAAGGTCTTATCCCTCTAGTAGAAAACCGTAAAAGGCCAAGTTTAGGTTTTGGCTAAGCTATTGTTGTTACTGCCTTTGAGCCTCCATATAATTCTAGACAGAATCCACTAGCAGATATGGAACAAAGAAACACTGCATCAAGTACCTTCTAGTGGATTCTTCACAACAATGCAGTATATGGAGGACCCGCGCCCTGCCATATTATGTATTCTCAGTTAGGTCTAACCGCTACAATTGCAGCAGCAATCTCCTACTGTGTTTTCTTTCTATTTTCTATTATCCTAAACATTTTTGTTTATCTGCAACTGCAAAGTCCTACCATACAGCACTTTGATCATGCTCTCTATGCCCCTTGACAGTAGTTGGCAGTGGTAAATGAGCTTTTAGGATCAGGTGATCTTTTCTTTGCAGTCCTATTAGCCCCCAGCATCTCAAATGTGATGTTGCCTGTAACAGCCTGACCACACAGAGCATCCTGGGCAAGATCCTTTAGCACTCAGGGAGTAAAGGCCAGAGTGCCCCCTCCCTATCCCCCCTAATTGCATGGGTTGCAGGCCCTGTCCTTTTGGCACCCTCCTACCACTGAAGTGCCCAAGGTGATTAACATTTCTGCCTACTCTTTGGCCTGACCATGTTCGGGACATGCTTCCATGGGCATGTTTACCTGTGAAATTGCCTACTCTCAACAATGCGCACACAGGCACCTTAAATTGCTACAATAATGTCTTGGATTAAGGACTTCACGTGAGAATACTCTGCATTCTATGAGTTAAGGGATTAAAGAACAAAGGCAGCAAGTGCAAGAAATTAGTAAATTGTCAATGATAAGCAGCGAAAAAGTTATCTGCATTTATCAGCAGCCAGAATCCAGAAAACACCCTACAGTACCACTGGGAATATACAGTATTTTTTTCAGCCAAAGCAAATTTGCTCTCTCTGCTTCCAGTATTGCCAGTCACATGAAGAGGTCACAGAGTTCCTCTGTTGAAACAGGGCTTCTCAGATTGCAGAAATAAATGTCTGGGGTGGAATAGTGCATTACAGTAATGCATGCAAAAAATAATGAGATTTGTTCTGCACTGTACAAAGCAACCACATTCTGGGTATCGTTATATGATATTGCTCCCTGCAAGGAGACGATCGTTGTTCATGGTTGCATGATCTACTTTATAAGCGGGATATTTTAATTCCTTGCTTAATACCCCGAATTTGAAAAAAAAAAATATAGAAATAAGCAGTAGAACTGTATTACCTTCATTTTCTTTTTTTTTTATAATCAATCTTTATTAACATTTTCAGATTATACAAAAGTATCACCAAATATGTTCACAGTGACCAGGTAAACAAACAAAAACAAGAAACTAGAGGACATACAGCAGCAGATATAAACCATAAATGTTGATTGTAAGCCCTACACAAGCAGGGTACCATTGTTACCCAGGAACACAATTCCTCTAAAAAAAAAAGAAAGAAAAAAAAAATGGGGGGGGGGGGGGGGGTGGGGGGGGGGGATTAGGGAAATAAGGCAGAGTAAGAAAAATCCCCTGCTCTAGGAACAAACAACACCCAGGTGGGGTAAAACAACAAAATCAAGGAAATAGTTGCGTCCAGTAGATGGGGAGTGATGCTCTTTTTATGCAACTTCACAGAAGATGAGGTCACGTGAAAGAGGAGGCAAAGGGAGGTCTCTCTGTGTGGCTTAAGGTCAGTTTCTGGATCCAAGGAGTGATTGCATCCCAAAAGGCATTAATTTTGGGGCAGATCCACCAAAGGTGAAGAAATGTACCATGTTGATCGCAGCCTCTCCAACAGCGAACATTGGCAGTGGGAAATATCTGCGCCAAACGGGATGGGATTTTATACCATCGAGTGAGAAATTTATAAGAAGACTCCTGGATACGGGTACTGATGGAAGAAGTACGCGTCAATTTAATAATCCTATGTATCTGAAGTAGGGTAAGTTCCAAGGCCAGTTCCTTTTCCCATTCCCTTATGTAATACGGAACCGACGTAGAATGCATACTCAACACTAGTTTATACATTTGGGATAATAAAGGTCTAGAGTTTGGGTTTCTAGTGCACATAGATTCGTATGTCGTAAGGGTATGTCTAGGTCGCGGCTTAGGGTCCAACCCGGTTAAGAAGTTAGTAGGTTGACGGTGCCTCCAATCTGCAAGTGGAAAAGTCCCATACGTAATACATGGATAGGTAGGGGGTACCCTGAGGGGCAAATCTGGCACAGGAAAAATCTCCATCCACTCCCCAGGAGCGAAAGAATCCAAGATCCTTTCCTGGTGGGAACCAAGGATAACCCCCCAGTGGAGCTAATGGGGATGTCCCAGATCATATAATCCGGACCCATTCATTCTATCCCACACTGCCAATGTGGTTCGAGTCAGGGGTGACGTCCAGTCAGAGAGTCCTCTGGAAGCAGTTGGGATCCAAGGGATACCCGCTAGATTCCTCCCCGCAATTGATTTCTCTAATGAAACTCACAGTTTAGTCGGGACATCATGCTGTCAGTTTAGAATGCGCACCAGAGCCATGTCCGGGAGCCCTACTCAACCATCCTTCTTATGTCTACGTAAGATGTCGTGTGCCAACCTAGGGTGCTTATCATGACAGATAAAAGTAAAAAATGCCCTACAGAGCCGTTTAAAGAAGGCCTGGGGCAAGGTAATAGGTATAGTATATAAAAAGTATATAATCCTTGCTAGGATCGTCATTTTTAAGTCACTCACCCTGCCAAACCAGGTTAAGGAGTGGATCCACCATTGCTGTAAGTCCTTTAATATGCCAGTCAGCAATGTGACGTAGTTAAGGTCATATAAAAGTTTAGGGTCGGGAGAAACCCCAAGTACGATAAAGAGTCCCTCCGCCACATGAAGGGGAAAGACTGTTGCAGCGATTCAGACAATGGGGGGTGGAACATGGATGGGAAGCACAACAGATTTATTATAATTTATTTTAAAGTTGGAATAGATACCAAACTGTTGAAGTTCTGTCATAAGTACCGGGACTGAGATATGGGCCTATAGTTGGCACAATATTAAGGGTCCTTGCCTTGCTTTTGCAATATGGTGATATGGGCCAGGAGAGCCTCTGGAGGCAATGGGTTGTTAGTGGCGAGTTAAAATAACTACAGATTGGGCTGGCAAAGATAGAGAAGAATTTCTTATAATCTTGATTAGTGAAGCCATCCAGTCCCGAGCTTTTGCCCAAGGAAAGGGCAGCAAAGCCTTTCCCAATCCCTCAGCAGTCATCTGGAGTTCTAGTTCCTCAATAATATGAGGGGAAAGCAGGGAAAGCGGAGTCCTGTATGTAGGCCTGCACAGTAGTAGTCTAAGTCATGTCATCCACAGTAGGGGAGTTGGTAGGGAGGTTGTAAAGAGAGGCATAAAACTGTTGAAACAGTCCATCGATAGCATGAGTGTCCTCCACTTGTCCATTCTGTGTTGTCAAGCCATGAACATGACGTATAGCCTTCTGTTTTTTTAATTGTCTAGCAAGGAGGCAGCCACATTTGTTCCCACGTTCATAAAAGCGATGGGCATAGAATCTACGTTTGTCCCTGGCTCTACGGTCTAAGCAGTGAGAGAGTGTGGTGTGCAAGGTTTCCAGCGCCTGAGCATCTGAAGGGTCAAAGCATGTCTTATGTTTAAGTGCTAGGGCATGAATTTTATCTAACAATTCCACAATCTCCCTCTGTTTTTCTTTTTTTAATCCTAGAGCCATGGGCTATCAGTTCACCCTGAACACGGCTTTGTGACCTTCCCAAATCACCTGTGTAAACATGTCTTCAGGGGAATTAGTTTTGAAGTAAAACTGTAGTGAACGAAAGACCGCTTCAAAAACAGTTGGGCCACCCAGCAGGTTCTCATTAAGTCTCCACACCTTCTTTGTCTGGTAAGCAGCTGGGGGGCGAATAGACAACATCACAGGAGAATGATAGGAAATTGTTATGGAACCAATTGAAGAAGAAACCACATTACGCAGTTTAAATTGGTCAATAAAAAAAAGATCTAGACGCGAGTAGGAATCATGCATCTTCGAATAATAGCTGAAGTCCTTATCTCAGGCATGTGTCACCAGCCAGCTGTCCACCAAGTGAAGAGCATGTAAAAGCTGTTTAACATGCTTTAATGCATGGTAAGATAGAGACGTTTTGCCAGAGGACCTAGACAAGAATACAGGGCAATATTAAAATCACCCCCCAGAATCACCACACCTTCCCTAAAATCCATCAATTTTTTAAGGGTAGTAGATAGGAAATTAATACTATGGGAATTCGGGGCTTAAATCACTGAAAAGGTATATTTATGACCATGTATTAAACCTTTGAGAAATAGGAAACGGCCCCCTGGCCTTAGAAATAGGGGATGTACTATGATACCATTGGTCAAAAGTCACAAGAGGAATGCAGAGAGTGGAGTTGGCAGTGAAGTGCTGTCTAATGCAAGAATATAACATCTGGGGACAGGTGACGCAATTCCCGCCAAAGGCAGCCACTCTTCTACGTGGAGCAAAGCCCCCGAACATTATAGGACAAGATGTTCAATTTTCTAGCCATGGTAACAGCATAAAAGGGGTGCACAACCAACTATGTATAGCATACTTCTCCTTCAGATTAGCAGGGCTACATACACTGAATAAGCATTATCAGACAGATGAGTTTGGATCCTTTCAATCACCCGGATAAAAAACACATCGAACCAGTGAAAAAAACAAAAAGAGAAAAAGAAAAAAACAATCATTGTTTTGTTACTGTACTGTCCCCCACTATAATGTACAGCGCTGAGCAAACCTGTTGGGGCTAGATAAGTACTGTATAATAATAATAATAAGGTCCGCAGGGAAAAAGGCATGATACCCCTGGAGAGAGGGAAGGAACCTCTCACCGAGGGTGTCACCCCCACTGCAAAATCACAACATGTAAGTCCTCCACCAGAGGACCTGCCTAATGTGGGGGAAATGACCAAGGACATAGCAAAAACATCACTTAGCAACCCCTGAGCAAATCCAGTAAAATATAACAATATACAAAGCAGTGAAATCAGCAGCAGTGCATAATAGTTATGTTTTATAACAGTGCAAATAATAAAAGCATGACCAACTGTTATAAAACTAAGTGCAACAATAGAAGACCCAAATGCAGATATAAAGTTGACAAATGCATTTCCCGTATGAACTATCGAATAACAGCCATACCAGAAGTTTAATGAGAATGCAGTAGGCAAGCAAAAAGGAGAAAAGCACTTGAATCTAACCACAATTGTCAGAGCAACAAGTGCGGGAGAGGAACCTTACTTAAGAGATCAAGGGTAATCATGCTGCGGGAGAAGAAGCAGAGTCCAGGCCCCTGCAGCCTGTGCGGTTTTTCTCCTGCGGTTTCTAGAAGACGCTTGTTGACAGCGATCCAGACGTTGCGGAAGCGGGATGGAACTACTGTATGCAATATCCAGTCTGGGAAATCAGTTGGTGAAAGTTCCAGTGTTGTAAGAAAGTGCGATAGGTCATCCTTAGTATGCAGGATTGCGGTCTTGCCATTCCGGGAAGGGAAACCCCATCGGTATGGCACGTTCACTGCACGCAGGGCATCTAGCAGGGAGCGAACAGCACGCCTTTGCATGAGAGTCCTCCTGGATAAATTTGGGAAAAGGGCTATGCTGGCACCATCAAAATCGATATGTGGCAAGTTGTGAGCAGCTTTCATGACCGCTTCTTTCACAGAATATCTATGCAATTTGCAAATGATATCCCGTGGTTTATCCGCAGCTTGAGGAACAGGTAGGAGGGCTCTATGGACCCTGTCCAATTCAATCGTTTCAGAAGCAGAATCACCCAAGACTTGGCGAAACAGGCATTGCACCGTAGGTAACAGGTCAGGTGTGCGGGTTGCCTCCAGAAGGTCACGAATACAGATATTCTGGCTCCTATCTCTGTTCTCATGGTCATCCAATTTGTCTAATAAGGAGTTAAATACATCTTCATAGTGTATAACGGTCTCCTGCAGTGTAGTAACAGTCTGCAGAATTTCTTCATGATTGGTCTCCAGGGCCTCTACTCTATTCCCCAGGGCCACAGTGTCTTCCCTGATCCCTTCTATAGCCTGTTTGCATGAGAGCTCTGAAATGTTCCCTGATGTCCCCGTCAGCATCTGCGGTGTTAAACTCCGCTAGAGGGGGAGACCTGTCCACTGAGCAGGAGGGAGAAAAGGGACTAGGGCACAGTACCTGCGAGGAGGTGATGGTGCAGGAGAGCCACCACTGTGAGCAGGGGAGAAGTGCTGTGAGGCCTCATGTCCAGGCACCATCTTGGCTGCAGTTCTGGAGCCGGCTGGGTGCGGGGTGAAGAATGTCTGGGGTGTGAGGAAGTGCAGTGTTTAGAGAGCATAGTTTGGGGAGAGCAGGGAGGCTGAAGATTGCGCTGTGTAGAGGCATTTACCCAGAGCCAACGAAACTCAGAGCCCAAACATCTTCACACCATGCCACTAAGGCCTGCTTTAGCTGCTGACAGAGGTTCCTCCCCTGAGGTACTGGCTAAGACAGCAGAGCAACAATCTGCACAGTAACAATGGACAAACTATCACTGAAGAAGAATCCTGATTGATAGGTCCTATGCACGCCTCAGATTGTTGTAGCCCCTCCTCCCCATTTCTGCAGTTCTGTATTACCTTCATTTTCAGTGCTGATTAGATTGCACTCATAATAAAACTTACAAAATAAGAAAAAGGCTGTCATAATGATTTGGGCAGGTAGACAAGGTTGGGAACCCAGGTGCAAAAATTTCTCTTTGTCTACATCTAGAGTTTGCCAGATGTAGACAAAGCCGATAACCAGCCCACCTAGTGCAAAAACCTATGAAGCACTATAGAATAAAAAAAAATTGCAAAAATACTACAATTCCCCTTTAAAAAAATAATGCCGATAAGTTTGGTTCACTCACCTATTGCTTTTTTTAACGTCTCAAACGTTATCTCTTCTGCTGGAGCTTTCTGATAAGAGAAAATGAAAATAATTCACTATGGTTAAAAGAAAAACAGTACGAGAATTTCTTAGTGAGAAAACATAAATGCAGCATAAAACCATGTAAAGTACACATATAATAAGAAATAAAAATGTTGTGTATCTAAAGCCCACTTTTTGTCTCTGCTGGTGAGGTCCACTCTTTTAATTGTCCTGATGACCATTTTTATTGTGATAGGAAATGATGGGAAATCCAATATTTTGAGGTCTGATACCAGAAAAGGAATAAAGGGGAACTCTCCCGACAGAGATGCCTGCTCTTGTGGACACTGACTTACAGGATCAGAGTTAAGCTGTATGCAACCCTATGAACAAAACTGTAATATATTGCAGCTGTAGTCCATGTAGTGGCTCCATGATTTTGTTTTCAGGCTTTTTCCTTTATTTTCACCAGGTGATCCTGCCAGTAACGCATTCCCTGTCCATTTGTGTCTACACCGGTTTCTCCATCATATCTATAGAGGCATGGCTGTTTACCAGGCTGCACTTCAAACATGCCTGCTTTTGTTCATTTCCATTACATGGTGAACTGGCAGGACTAGCAGTTCACACAATAAAGATAAAGATGCTTGTGCTTTCTTTTCAGCTTAGAGGAAGTGACAAGGGCACAACATTTCTGGCAGGATCAGGTAAGCTGCAATATACATTGTGTGTACAATTATTAGGTAAGTTGTATTTTTGAGGATTTCATTATTGAACAACTACAGTGCTCTCGATCATGAATCCAAAATGTTAATAAATCTCAAACCTGAATATGTAAGAAAGTAAAGTGAGGTTTTGTCTTTCTTACGAGAATATCGATGTGTGCACAATTGGGAAACGGTAAGTGTGAAGAATTATTATGCAACTAAATGAAAAATGAAAATATTCCCATCTCACTTGTTTATTTTCATCTGTTAAAGTGAGAACAATAAACCAACAACTCAAAATTTACAAATAAACATTTCTGACATTTTAAAAAAAAAAAAATCATTGACCAATATAGCCACCCTTCTTTTCAATAACAGTCAATCCTTCCATTCACGGAGTCTGTCAGTTTCTTGATTTGTTGACGATCAACTTTTTGTGCAGCAGCAACCACAGCCTCCCAGACACCATTCAGAGAGGTGTATTGTTTTCCTTCACCATAAATATCCCATTTAAGAAGGGCCCACAAATTCTCAATAAGATTAAGGTCAGGTGAGGAAGGGGGCCATGTCGTTATTCTTTCACCTTTAAGGCCTTTACTGGCTAGCCACGCAGTGGAGTACTTCAGTGCATGCAATGGAGCATTGTCCTGCATAAATATCATGGTCTTCATGAAAGATGCAGACTTTTTCCTGTACCACTGCTTCAAGAAAGTGTCTTCTAAAAACTGGCAGTAGGTTTGGGAGTTGATTTTAGTCCATCTTCAACCCGAAAACGTCCAACTAGCTCTTCCTTAATAATACCAGCCCATACCAGTACCCCACCTCCACCTTGCTGGCATCTGAGTCGAAGTGGAGTCTGTGCCCATTACTGATCCAGCCACGGAGCCATCCATCCGTCAAGAGTTACTCTCATCTCATCAATCCATAAATTCTTTGAAAAGTCGGTCTTCAGATATTTCTTGGCCCAGTCTTGACGCTTCAAACTTATTTGTCTTGTTCAGTGGTGGTCAGGTTTCACCTTCCTTACCTTGGCCATGTCTCTGAGCACTGAACACTTTGTACTTCTGGGTACTCAAGGTAAGTTGCAGTTCTGGAATATGACAGCACTGGAGGATAATGGGTTCCTGGGGGCTTCACATTTTATTCTTCTCAAATGTTTGGTAGTTAATTTGTGTCTTTGTTTGAAAAACACGCAACTCTGTTGACTATTTGCAACATAACGTTTGATGGTTATGTGATCATGCCCCCATATCTTAGAAATTTCTAGAGTGCTGCATCCCTCTGAAAGACTTTTTACAATTATTGACTTTTTAGAGTCAGTTAAATCAATTTTTTGGCTCATTTTGCCTGAGGAAACAAAGCTGCCTAATAATTATGCACACCTTGATAGAGGGTGTTGATCTCCTTAGGCCACACCCTCCCTCATTACACAAATACACATCACCTGATATGCGTAAATTCAATAGGCATTCGAGTATATACAGCTTGGAGATGGACAATATGCATAAGAATGATGATTCGGTCAAAATACTCACTTGTCTAATAATTGTGTACACACTGTAGTACTGGTTTGTTTTTGGATTTAGAAATGCTTTAACTCTATATTGTAAGCTTAAAGTGTATCTAAACCAAAAACCAAAAATGCAATACATTGCAGCTTACTAGTCACCTTGATGTGGTGGCTGCAATAGTTTTCTTTTTTCAAGCGTGCTTTATTTTCTATAGTGATCCTGCAAATAACACACTTTCTGTCCCTGGATGGCTATGTCACCCTTCACTGTTATCTACAGTGGGAGTCATGGCTATCACCACAGACTGCTCTCCTGATATGGACTGAAAATATCTGCAGTATGAAAAAAGAAAACTAATGCAGCCACCACATCTAAGGACTAGTAAGATGCAATAGATTACATGTTTGTTTTTGGGTTTAGATATGATTTAACTCTGTGTTGTAAGCTTAACTTAGCCTAAGGGCTACTTCCGATAGGCTTAGATGGGCAAATGCAGCAAGCTTTTGACATCAGTTTGACAGGCGTATGTGACCTGCATTTGACATTCTTCTGACCTGCTTCAAGCCAGTTTTGCATTCCCATTGTCTTGTATGGGAAGAGATACAGTACAGCATGCAGGCCTTTACTATGTACTGTATAAGTAATGGTATATACAGTATATAAAAAAAGGAACATTCAAATACAGTACCACTGACTAAGAAAGAACGGCACCCCAAAGGGGAGACTTTCAGAAAAAAAATATACACCAAAGTTGTCTTTTCTGACAAGACAGGAAATGTTGACATAAGGTTTTATTGTGTATATTTGGTATGTTCAGCTTTCATGTTTTTGTATATTAGTAATAGAGCTTTGTATGTTAATCAAACAATTGTGAAGGCTCTAAAGCAAGGGTAGGCAACCTTACAGAGGTGGAGATCTACCTGAATAACATGGAAGAAGTCAAAGATCACCGGCCACAGTATTGCCTCCTCACACCTGATTTGAACATCTAATTTCCGTACTACCATTTAGCAATCGTATGCATTGAACGGCAATCATGGATTCAAATCAGATGGTGAGGAGGTAACATACCACCTCCTCATATCCTGTCAAGCACATTTGGATTGTTTTCAGAGAAGCAGCAGTGCCTGCTGCACTTGTGAATGAGCCCTTAGGGCTTGTTCACATAAAGTTGGGAAGTGGTAAAACCCTGTGGCCGATTCACGGTTTTACCTCCCCCAATCCCTCCCCCCTTTTGCTGCTGAGGCAGCAGCCAAAGGTGTACACGTGCCGCAGAAGGAATTCACCCCCTGTTGCTTTTGATGGGTACTGCTGCCCGCCAATCGCAACCCATTCAAGTAAATGGGGCCACAGTGCAAGCGCCCCACAACTGCATGTTTCTGCGGGCTCCAAGGGGTTAAAGTAGGAGGTGAGAAAGCAATACAATGCTGCCTTCTTTAACCCCTTGTTTGCTGTACTGCACAAGGTTTCAGGGCACTTGTAGAGCGGCCTCACTCACTTGAATGGGTCATGCTTGGCAGGTGCTACACCCACCAACCATGACAGGGTGTATAACTCCTGCTGCGGCTGTGACATGTGTACACCCCTGGCCACTGCAGCTAATGAGAGTGCGGTTGGGGCGGAGGTGGTAAAAAGTCTTAACTATGGGGTTTTACCAACCCCCCAAACTGCAAATGTAAATGAGCCCTTGCTGTTCTGAGCCTCCTATAAGGCTTTCACACTGATGTACTGCGGTTTACCCACACCGGGATGCAGCACAGTACATCTGTGACTTTCCTGAGCTAGCTGCACTGTGCCATAGACTTATGTTATATCCTGCAGGTGTGGAGCACTTTCAGAAAGTGCATCAAACCCGCAGGATATAATAGAAGTCTATGGCTAAGCACAGCAAACCCCAGGAAAGCTCCAGGTACACTGCACTGCACCCGTGGTGTGGGTAAACCGCAGCACATCAGTGTGAAAGCCGCCTCATACTATTCTGTCCAGTGTATTGCTTTATACTGACCTGAAGATCTCTTCTTCCCTGCTGCTGGCACCACTCTGGAGGCTGCTAGCCGGGATAAGAGGTGGAGTGCGATTGGTATCACTGGTATGGGACAGGAGCCGGCATTACAGAGGAGGCATCGGCTCATGCGGCTCTTGCTCCCTACTGCAGCCCGAACTTTACAAGTAATCCCTCTGCATTGCACTTTGATACTCTGGGATGGTGGGTCACCAAGCCCAGACTGCGATCTACCAGTCACCTGGCCGTGATCTACTGGTAATCTATAGGTTGCTGACTCCTGTTCTAAAGAAAACTAAGCCAAATGATATATCCAGCCATAATTCTCTTTTCTTAATAACCAGTTGATTTAATTAGAATGTGATAGGTTTCCTTTAAAATGAAGAACAAAACTACTGCTCTGTTCCTGCTAACAAACTTGAAGAAGGAATTCTATGATCTTGCTCCACATGACAGAAAAAGGGATTTATTTATTAAAGGCAAAAAGTCTGTTTACTTTCAAGTGCGGTGGGTCCAGAGCTTAGTAAATGAGCAAAAGCTTTGCTGACTTCCATCATCCAGTCATGTGCAAGCAAAAATGCTGTTTTTTTCTATTTTCCTTGCACCCAGCACGAGTAGGCATTCCTAGGCACAATCCTTTTGTTTTGTTTTTTTCTGAGCTTGGATGGTTCGGAGGTAGGTGAACATATATGGACTCAAGTCTGTTTACATTTACCTGTCTATAGACCTCCATGCAACTTCTGATCAGGTCCGACTGAAGAACTGCCAGGCAGACCTGATCAGTGTGCCTGTGTGAAAATGGCCTTAAGCGGTTTCTAGTCAATAATTGTATGATGTTCATCATAATATAATCTGACTCCCCCTCATCTTTCCCCCACAGGTCCAGTGAATGGCCTGCAGTTCTCTCCTACTGCCTATTCACAATTTTACAGCAGCACTTAGCCAGCTTCATTCAAGGCTTTAAGAAAGGCGTTATAATATAATACGTCAATGCAGCAGATCAACATTACCTCCTCTTTCTCAGGGCTGTTCCGTGACTCCACTTCCACTTGCAAGGATATTGTCTCTCCAATACTCTTTCTCTTAGACAATCGGTCCTCATCTATAAGACAATGAGTAACTGGTTACTGCTGTCCTTGGTGCTCCGCTCTTCAATGGCAGCTGAGATAATGCAACCAATCCCTTTAAGGTGCATACATGGAATGTATTTGAAACTTCATCTCATTAAACAGTCAGGCCACCCAAAACTGATATGCATCTGTAAGGACTCATTTACAGGGCTCTTTTATGCTTCAAAATGTGGCTTTGGACATGCTTTTTTAAAGCACTCTTAATGCCAATCAAAGCACCTGCCACCAAATAAAATGGTAAGCTCACATTCCTGATTACACGTTGCTTTGCTTCACTACATATATGTTACCCCGTGTCGATTTCTTGGGGCTTCAAAGCCTCCACTGAAGTCTATAACAAAACTCACTAACAGCACCTGCTTGAGTTAGCTTTGCTTTGGAGGTATTGCAGGTATGATATATCCCAGGATGCACTGGAAAACCAACAATCAAACTGGAAGGACTTCATAAGCAGTCACTTCTGGCTCATGTGTATATATACTGGAAGTGTCTGCTGCAATCCTCACATCTAGTGCCTAGTGTGGAGCAAAAGGAAGGTGAGTGGGGTCCGGATTAGAGCGGAGCAACCAGCAGACAGTACACGTGGTCTGCAACATGGGAATGCTATAGTATAAGGTGAGCGGGGACTAGAGAGAGAGGACTGAGCAGCAGAGGAACAGCAGGGCTGGGGGACCGGAGCATGAAACACTAGCAATATCACACGTGGTGCTCACCGTGGGAGAAATATAGGAGGAGGTGAGTGGGGACCAGAGAGAAAGGAGGATCAGCAAAGCTGGGGGTTACTACTAAGCGGGAGTTCAGCAGACCTGGGGGTTGATACTGAGCAGAGGATCAGCAAAGCTGGGGGTACTACTGAGTGGGGCATCAGCAGAGCTGAGGGTACTACTGAGTGGGGCATCAGCAGAGCTGAGGGTACTACTGAGTGGGGCATCAGCAGAGCTGAGTGTACTACTGAGCAGGGGATCTGCTGAACAAGGGTGCCAATGAGCTGGGGATCTGCTGAATGAGGGTACTAAAGAGCTGGGGATATGCTAAGTTGGGGTACTCCTGGGCCCCTTTACAACAAAATCGAAATTCAACACACACACACACACAGGGCATTTGCTAAGCTTTATTAAAGCTTCAAAAAGCATAATCGAAGCATCATTGAAGCATCACAGGAGCATTACAGAAGCAAAAACTAATCTAGGGGGTATAGTGGTTACTTTTGAAGACAAAATGTAAGGACTGGTATAGAAAATGAATGTGGTTTATTTGAGTATAAATCCTTAATCAAAAATCTTTACATATCACATGTGAAAAACCTTTTAAAAAATTACCAGTGTAAGTGACAAGCACTGGCTAGCTTAAAACATATATAGAGATACATATAATGCAGGCAAACAGACTAGACAAAACATAAACAGATAATCAAAATGATTGCATCCAGACACCTTAATATGACCATACAACGGGATATGCCGTGGGTAATGCCACATGCAATTATTAGTAAAAAGCTAAATAATTCCAATTGTATGAGTATCGGGGTATATGGTAGCCTCTATTCCAATAATAGGTCCATTAGATAAACAATGGATAGTAAATGATGGTAAAGACCCACATGGTAATAATAAATTCAGGAGAAATAGATAAATAAAGCACACGTTATGTAGTTGTGTTGCAGTCCTATCCATCCATAAATAATAACCTCCTTGCCAGAGCAAGATGTATAAATATACATTCCACAGAGAGTGAAATATAATAGCCAAAACAGGATGAATGGTGTCCAATCCTTCTCCTGAATACTAATGGAGCAGCAGTTGAAGACACAGCAGGAATAAATTAGGGATATGCAGCGCAATAGCTTAGAAAGCAAAGCAATTCATGCCTAGCGGTAGCGGTCAGAGCAGACAGCAATATGTAAACAATCAAAGCTGGTATATGTAGCTTAGTGGAATAGGTAACTTCATAGATGTAAAGCTTCCATGACTGAGTACAAGTCCGGCCTACCAATCCACCATTCCAATATGTAGTTCTCCAGGTTGTACTAAATTAGGGACATTCAGCGCAATAGCTTAGAAAGCAAAGCAATTCATGCATAGCAGTAGCGGTCAGAGCGGAGAGCAAGTTGTATACAAACAAGGCTGGCTTAAGGAGCTTAGTGGAATGGGAAACTTCATTGATGTAAAGCTTCCATGACCGAGTGCAAATCCGGCTTACCCATCCACCATTCCAGAATACAGTTCCATGCGTCTCCAGGTTGTGTATGCAGTTATTTCAATACGGCTGCTCTACATCCACTCTCTGTGGACTGTATATTTATACATCTTGCTCTGGCAAGGAGGCTATTATTTATGGATGGATAGGATTGCAACACAACTACATAACGTGTGCTTTATTTATCCATTTCTCCTGAATTTATTATTACCATGTGGGTCTTTACCATCATTTACTATCCATTGTTTATCTAATGGACCTATTATTGGAATAGAGGCTACCATATACCCCGATACTCATACATTTGGAATTATTTACCTTTTTACTAATAGTTACATGTGGCATTACCCACTAGACAAAACATAAACAGATAATCAAAATGATTGCATCCGGACACCTTAATATAACCATACAAAAGGATATGCCGGCATATCCTCTTGTATGGTTATATTAAGGTGTCCGGATGCAATTATTTTGATTATCTGTTTATGTTTTGTCTAGTCTGTTTGCCTGCATTATATGTATGTCTATATATGTTTTAAGCTAGCCAATGCTTGTCACTTACACTGGTAATTTTTTAAAAGGTTTTCCACGTGATATGTAAAGATTTTTGATTAAGGATTCATACTCAAATAAACCACATTCATTTTCTATACCAGTTCTTACGTTTTGTCTTCAAAAGTAACCACTATAACCCTTCTATGGGGATTAGTTTTTGTGATAGGCTTTATGGGCTACGAAGGTATACTGGGTTCACAAGCTTTAATTACCCTCTTATTGAGTTTTTGTAGCATTACAGAAACTACCCCATTACATCAAAAAAGCATGTTGAAGCAGTAGGCACTTTAATGTGTGTTAAAGTCGAAGGGAAATTGATGGCGCTATGTAAGTAACTGAAAAAAAATAAAAAAGTGCAAATGAGCCCTAAGTGTAAGTGACAAACTAATGTGGACAAGCCGAAACCACTGGCTGACACTTCTTGGGAAAAGAGGTGATTATGCAGATTAGAAAAACCAAGATAGGACAGAGTTGGGGGTGTCTGCACGCATTTACAATGTCCAAACAGCAGAGAGAGCTCTAGGATCCATTTCTTGTATTTATTTACTAGGCTAACCTTTATTGCTTTGCTAAAAAAAAGACCATTGTTTACAGAGCTGAAGGTCAGATTAAACAAACAGGTAAATGATTAGTAATGATTCACAACGTCCTCCTCCATTCCTACTCTGTACAGCTGCACAAACACTTTCTTTTGGAGAGAGACAGTCTGAAAGCAAACTGATCCTGTTCTGCTTTTTCTCTTTTGAAAGCTGATAATACTGTGTGCAAAATTCCATGTGTTTATCTAGTGTTAAATATTTATTTATAAAGTGACTTATTTGCAAAAATAGTAAAAAAAAAAAAAAGTTTGAAGTTACCATTTGCGCTTTTAACTTGTCTCTCCACACCTGAAAGCATTCTTACCTGTCAGTTGGGGCACATAGGGTGTGCTTAGCCTGTCGGAGTTATAACCGCTTCCCCCCAGGACCTCGCTGACTTTACTCTGCAGGAACAGTAGCTCTGTCTCAATGTGATCAACATTCTTCGACCACCTGTGGGACAAAACGACTCCATTGTCACTATGCATTTCATAGCGTGGATAATCAGATGAAATGCTAAGAGTGAAACTTCAGAGAGCAGTGATCTCTATGTCTGAACTGCCATTTGTTAGATTTGAGAGTGAAAAGTAGTTGGAGTACAGGGGAAGACTGGAAGCTTTTGACCACGGAGCCAAACACAACCAGCCAGCCCTGTCATGGTAGGGATGGTTCCTGTGGGCTAAAGAGAGTGAATCAGACAAAGTGTGCCACAGTGATTTGTGGGCATGGTGAAAGATTTTATCTGGCCCACAGCTAGGGTCAGTGGGGTATGTTCCATGTGCTATGACTGAGGTCAGCAGAGGCTGCCTATGGTCTCTGCTTCTCCTGCCAGTGTCCTAGCAACCAATCATGTGCTTGCCTCAGCATTCACAGGGGGACAGAACTTCCTCTGTCCAAACTGTCCTGCCCCTGTGCTCCTACAGCCAGGCTATAAGCCTTACAGTGGTATAGGGGAGCTCTGATGGGGACATTCATGTAACAGTGGATTCTAAAGTAAGGGGGTACTCTGATGGGGACACTGATGTAAGAACTCTGATGTAAGGGGAGGACTCTGATGGGGAATCTGATGCAAGAGGGACTCTGATGTAAAGGGGGATTCTGAAAGAGACCCTGATGTAAAGGGGGGACTCTAACTGGGAATATGATATAAGAGGGACCCTGATGTAAATGTGGACTTATTCATTTATAAAACTGATTACTATGGTTTACGTTCAACTGGGTGCATGCCACCTAGAGGCTGTATCTCTTTATTTACAATTTCCATTTTTACTGAGCGCCAAGAGCATAGTTATTGGTATACTTCAGACACTTTGATTTTGGACCTTCTGGTCTCAGCTCCTGCAGCTCCAGAATCATAGGTAGCTGCTCTGCCCACCCCTCCCCTACTATACTTGTATTATGTGAACCCATTAGAAAAAAACCTTCTGTGAATGGATAGAAGAGGGGAGGGGCAGGCAGAGCTGCTGCTGTGTGAGAACGCAGCATCACTCCTGTCAGAGTGCAGAGAGTATAGTGATAGCTACACTCCCAGTGCTCACTAAACTGTCAGTTGTAAATAACAAGGATTAAGTCCATGTGGTGGCATGCACCTTTTTATGGATATAACCCAAAGTAAGACAGCAGATTTTAGAAAATGGCTAAATTCCTGTAGTTCAGCTTTAACAGCCAGTAGGTGGAGCTCCAAAAGCCTTGTCACGTTTGCCTGATTACTCTTAGATGCTCTGCTGAAAAAAAAGCCTGACGTCTGACTTATCAACAGATGAAGTAAAAACTTTACACACAGATAAATGAACCAGAGGAGTGACTACCTCCCCCCCTCATCTTTCTCTCTGAGGCTCTGTTCACACCTATGCAGTTTTTGTGTGATTGTGCGCATCACGTTTAGGACAGCACATTAAAATAAATGCAAAAATCTCACATAAGAAGTTCATGACCAAAAACACACGGTACTTTGTTCCCATACCTTTTGGCATGCACGAAAATGTGCGACTTAGCAAGGTGCATTGGGGTGTATTAAGAATTAATTGCACTAGAGGGCACCTGCAAAAGGGATTCATGTTCTTTGTGTGTTGCAGGAATGTGCACAATTTCACTGAGTACTGGAATGCTTCTCGACTTTGGTTTACTGAAACTAAATATAATTTAGGCCGTGATACATAAGAAATATAAATAGAAGCCACCCTATAAATTAGGATCCCAAAGTACACCAAAGTATGGCAGGCCTGGACAGACAATGATCTTTAACTCTTCTAAAACCCTGACAGCACCCCACCACGAACCGACAGTAGCCTCTAGGAAACCTAGCTACCACTTAACACCCCAGGAGCCCCCTCTTCCCCTCTCTATCAATCCCTGCATGCACCCCAACAGTGCTTGGCCCTCCTTCCCCCTTCCCATTACTGATACTCCTGTATTAAAATGTTTTGCAGGTGCAAGCACTTATGAAAACATCATACCTATCCTTATGTATCATCATATGTATCATCAATATTGCACAATTTCAGTTGTAATCGCCCTATATTTCATATTAAAACATACTGAATAAGAAAAAAAGAGCAGTTTAAAAACAAAATGTAGTAAAAAATAGTCAATATTAAATGGGATGAAAACAGAAGAGGTAAAGATAATAATGGAGTCTGAGTTTCCAGAAAATGCCCAATCAGGACGAAACGCGTTGAGACGTGGCTATTTGTTCATTACATCACTTCTGGTGATGTCACATCATCATTGGAATGCAAACCACTTCTGGTTTGTGTAGCGGTGGTGGCCATCTTTCCTCAGCAACGCTGAATATACCCAGTGCCGGTCTAATAGGCACACATGCAAGTGAGTGTATTACTAATATGTTTAGTATGATTTAAGAAAGTCAGTTGCTTTGTGCAATGAAAGTCTCTCCTTGGTATTGTTTCTCCTGAGTGGCAGTGCATGGTAACAGGAAGATTTGGACTTCTGATACCAAGGCCGAGTGGCTGGTAGGTCAAAACACTGTGGTGAGTGCAAGTCCACACCTGAAGCACATTGGGATTGAAGCTGGGCATGTGTTTATTTATTTATAGGAGCACAGGCACTCTTTAATTGCTGTTTGGCTACAAACAGTACGGTCACCGTGGGACCTATTGGACTTTCTTTTTTTTTTGGCTTCAAAATATTTTTTGGTTTCACATTTAAAATTATGGATTGTGAATCATAATTTATATGTACAGTTTGAGCAATATGCAAGTAATGGAATAACTGATCACGATCACACCACATAAATATTTGGTTACATTAACAAAAAATAGAGTCTGCCTTTGCTGACCTCTCCTTTCAAAAAAATGTAATTTTGCTTTGAGTTCAATTTTGTCTGACTAGTTTACCCTGAACAATTATAAGGATAAGGAATTCTCCTGTCGCAGTAGGATTGTACTGGGTCTGTGACACTGAAGTCACACACAGCCAAGCAACTAGCATTTTCAGGAAGAGGTCAACGCTGGCAGCCATCAAACATTCCTAAAAGATAGGTTCTCTTTAAGTCATAAGGCCTCTATAGAATGGTGGACAACATCCTACCATAACAGCTAGATGGTATTGTGCAATGTGGAGAGTATTGACATTCTGCAGAGAATATTACTTTATTTTAGACCACATGGACACAAAGCAATAACAATATAATACAAAATGCAACCCATTAGAGGGTGGGGTCAGCTTCTCAAGTGTTTAAGTGCTGCAAGAGCAGACAAAAAGCAAGAGTGGGCAGCAGCTTAAGTGCATTTAGACACAAGTGAGCATCGCTGTGCTGAAGTCTGATGAGTGGCTGGATGATGCGTCATTGTTTATTGCTTCCTGGCGATACAATTGTCTGCCATTGACATGCTTGTCCTCCACTAGTACATAGGCTATTGTTTCTGATATGAGATGATGTCACTCTATAGTGTGAACTTTCAAATAAAAAGTTACTATAGTACTAAAATGTATTAAGACGATTTAACAATGGCTAGGGGCTGTCATGGTGGGTAAATCAGCCATTTTGTAAGGTGACAGAATGGCAGTCATTCTCTGAATGGGGGGAGCAGGCACAGTTCAAGTGTCAATGGCATCTGTGCCAACCAAAACAAATCTTAAAAAATACCTCTAAGCCAGTAGTGACAGATGTTTCCATAAATGTTGACAGCAGTAGGATGTCCTGCATATCTGGTGGTCCTGCCCAAGACTGGTAGGGTTCTTGTCCAAGGCTTTTGGCTTGCGCCAGACCCTTTTCCATCTAACAGTCCGTAAGGATGCAAAGTTGGACCTATTACACTGACCAAAACCCGGCTTATATGCATCACAGCAGAAGCTGGCTACTTATATTTTTATTTCAGCTAAACAGACCATAGCTCAATCCTGGAAGACCCAGGGCATAGCCTTCCAGGGGGTGAAGATACCTATGACTGCAATGATGCTTTACAAGCAAATGTCCAGTATTCTGAATGATTCACATGCCAAATTTCTCAAGTTCTAGGAACCCTCACTCCAACCGACCTGTTTGGGCCTTGCCTGACTCCTGCCCTTTTCACAGCTGATCAAAACAAAAACTACTGAATTAATCAGTGTCATTCAGTAAAAATGCTTGCTTATACCAATGAAATTAGTTGGTATAAGCAATCATAATGTGTAAAAAAAAGAAAAAAAATCTTGATCACTTGCCCAGAGTAGTGCAATGTTACTATGGTAACATTGTATTGCTCTGGTCACAGGAGTAGAAAAAAAAATCATACAAAAATAAAAAAATGTAATAAGAAAAAAAAATCTTTTTTGTTGCCAGTCAGTGTCCCTGATCACCGTTACACCAGTTATATGACGACACTGTACTGCAATGGTGACAGTACGCAAAGAAAAAAAAAATGTTGACATTTTTTTTTTGTCATTTCTTCATTTTCCACAAAATTAAAAAAAAAAAACGACAAATTCAAAAAACTTGCCATGCCTCTTACTAAATACCTCAGACTGTCTATTTTTCAAAAAGCTGTCATTTAGGGGTATTTGTACTGTCCTGGAGTTTTTGGGCTTCAAGAACTGAGATAGGCCGTCAGTACATCAGGATTTATCGATCTTTAGATATATCCCATAGTTTGTGGATTCTATAACTTTCCTACCAACTAAATAATAAGCACTGATTTGGGTTATTTTCACCAAAGAAATGTAGCAGAATACATTTTGGCCTAAATTTGTGTATAAAGATTATTTATTTACAAAATTTTGTAAGAACATAAAAAAATAAATTTTTTCCAAAATTTTATGTTTTATGTTTTTTTTTCATTTATAGAAATAAAAAAAACCCAGTGGCGATTAAATACCACCAAAAGAGGTCTCTATTTGTGTGAAAAAAATGTAATATGGGTACAGTGTTGCATGACCGCGCAATTGTCATTCAAAGTGCGACAGCACTGAAAGGTGAAAATTAGCCTGGACAGGAAGGAAGTAAAAGTGCCCGGTAGGCAAGTGGTTAAAATTTTGTCAGGTTCAGCAGGGACCAGACTGTCATGTTTTTGCCCAATGATCAGTGACGCCAGCTATAACCAGCAACACAGATCATTGTATTCTGATGGCAGGGAAGGCTCCACCCCATAAGAATACATAACTGATTCTCCTATCTACCTCAAATGTGTGGATGAGGGAATTAGATAATTTATTTTTCATTCAACCCGCTGTTTAAATGGAAAAAAAAAGATCAATGTATGGGCTGCCTTAGCCAAAATGTTTTTTTTTTTTTGGTTTGGATTGGTAGGAAATTGGTAAACCCCTAGTCAGTTTTCTTTTTTTATTGTCCACGTTCTATTGGGAAGCTTTCTATTTATCTGGTATTAAGACAAACAGGAAGTGAGAAAAAATCCCCTCTGACATAGTTATCACCAGGAAAAATGTCCCCATTGAGAGATTTCTATTTCAATCTATTAGATTGTAAGCTCCAAGGAGCAGAGCCCTCCTTTCCCTCTTGTATTGAACTGTATCATTGCTGTTTTGTCTCCCTTTATATTGTAAAGTGCTGAGCAAACTGTTGGCGCTATATAAATCCTGTATAATAATAACTTCTGTTTCAGGGATAACTGTCAAATTTCGGATTTCCCATCCCTTATCGTTTGAGGAAAATTAGAGAGGGTAAAGAGGGTGGGGACACAACCACCAAAAAAAAGCTGATAGAGGGTCTAATCATTGCACAGTCTAATCAAAACTAAGAAATGCTTATCTAGCCATTTGAAGACTGCCTAATGTACCTGTATGTCAGCAGTTTCAAATGGTATACTGGGATCATGCCTGCAGCTACAGGCATCATCTCAGTATTGTTTTTTTCTTCAGACGATTGGCTTTTTTTATAAAAGCAGTCCTAGCGGCTAATTAGCCGCTGGATTGCTTTGAAAGGCATGAGGGGGGTCATCCCACCCCCACCCACCAGTGCCTCTCCAGGCTCTACCATCCCACTGATGAAGCCGGCAGTTCAGCAGCCTTACCATAGAGCTGATCGAAGACTGAACGGTCCTCGATCAGCTCTATGGCATAGGAAACCGGAAGTGAATAGAATTTTGTCACTTTTTGACAGCAATAAAAGTGAAAGCAAAAAAAAAAAAGTGTAAAATTAAAATAAATAATAAACATTTTTTTAAAGCACCCCCGTCCTCATGCACAAAGGCGAACATGCATGCTGGTCCTGCACAGATACGTAAATGGTGACTACACCACACATATGAGGTACTGCCTTGAACATCAGAGCGAGAGCAAAAATTCTAGCAGTAGACCTCCTGTGTAACTCTAAACTGGTGACCTGTACAGGCTTTTGAAGTGTCACATTTGGAGATTTTTAAATACTGTAGTTTGGTGCCATTCCACGAGCGTGCACAAGATTAAAGTGTAACATATTAGACATCTATTTACTCGGCGTAACGTCATCTTTTATATTTTTACCAAAAATTGGGTATTATATTGTGTTTGTGTGCATTAAAATTCATTAAAGTGTAAATTTTTAGAAACCACTGCACAAATACATTGTGACATAAAAAAATTGCAAAACCCACCATTTTTTTCTCTAGGGACTCTAAAAACATACACTATATTGCCAAAAGTATTGGGCCAGCCCTCCAAATCATTGGATTACGGTGTTCCAGTCACCTCCATGGCCACAGGTGTATACAATGAAGCCCCTAGGCATGCAGACTGCTTCTACAAACATTGGTGAAAGAATGGGTCGCTCTCAGGAGCTCAGTGAATTCAAGCGTGGTCCCGTGATAGGTTGTCACCTGTGCAATAAGTCCATCCGTGACATTTCCTGGCTACTAAATATTCCACGGTCAACTGTTAGTGAGCATGAGTGAGTTTGGGGTGGAGGAACTTGACTGGCCTGAGTCCTGACCTCAACCTGACAGAACCCCTTTGGGATGAATAAGATGTTGTCCGACATCAGTGCCTGACCTCACAAATGTGCTTCTGGAAGAATGGTCAAACCTTCCCATAGACACCCTCCTAAACCTTGTGGACGGCCTTCCCAGAAGAGTTGAAGCTATTATAGCTGCAAAGGGCGGGGTCAACTCAATATTGAACCCTATGGACTAAGACTGGGATGCCATTAAAGTTCATGTGCGTGGAAAGGCTTTTGGCAATATAGTGTATAATGTTTGGGGGTCTAAGTAATTTTCTAGCAATAATTTTTACATAACAAAAGTGTCAGAAAAGGTCTGGTCTTAAAGTCGCTAGAGATTCCTCCTATAGTCCTCTGCAAACTGACCTCTACCCCCTGCCCATATACACATACACACTTCCAGTACATACACAACCGTTACCAGCTGTCTTCTGGTTGAACACATAATGTACTAGGTCTAGGTGAGTGGTCCTGAATGATGCAGAGAAAGGACTCGCAGTAGTGATGTGTCTCCTGTTCTATCATTTTTCTGTGAAGTCAGGTGGGTGATGATGGTGACCACTAGGTATATGTCCATAACAGCTTGGGCTCACAGAAAGTGGTCTGATCGACACACAACGTCATTCAACTCAGAAGACAACAGTAGAACTGGATGCAAGTATTATATGAAAGAACACATCCGCAGGATCCCTTTAGACATACATGTTCTTCCATATATTACTTAAGAAAGGGCGCTGTGATGTTTACAGGAGCCTGTCAGCAGTCCCAGTCAACAAACCTGATATTACTATGGAGCAAAGACCAGAAAATAGGCCCAGCAATGACATTATTGGGTCTTAAAAGAGGTATTTCTTCAAAACAAAATAATGCATGTTGATCAGGGAGAAGGGGCAGTATCATGGGAAGGTATAATATGCGACCATTACACCTCAGCTTTATAGTAACTATGTGGACAATTATGTAGAGCTTCTCACCTTGGCTTTTCCTCAAAGACGTCTTCTGGCAATAAATATGGAGCGTCTTTCTTCCTCATCTCTATCACCTAGTGCAGGGGAAGACATTAATACCCAAACATATCGCATAGAAAAATAGAAACTGTCCCCTGTGCAACTTGTTTTAAAGGGACAGGCTCCTTGGCCGTTACAACTATCCTGCCTTCATTACCAGGAAGCAGGCATCTAGGACAGTTTGATAGGTTTGAACTCCCTTCCTGTATGCTTGTTTCAGGACAGGGACTCACTAGGTACTGGAATTTACACCTTTACTGCCCAATTGAACCTTTAGCCACTTCCCGACCGGCCATTGCATAGAAACGGCCGGATGGTGGCAGTGCAGGGTCGGGTGGACATTTACAAACAGCCTCCCCGCCCCTGCTTGTGCGCGCTCCCTGGGAGCGCGCAGCACCACGATCCGGTGCCCGCAGTGTCCTCCGAACACAGTGAAACACCGATCGTCGGACGGGACCTCTATACGAGGTCCCGATCATGTGATCACTGATTGGCCAATCAGTGATCACATGCAAAGTAGTAAGCAAGATGTCACTTGTGACATCATTGCTTACTACGTGTGAAATCTGTGAATGATCACAGAGGTCACATGGTACAAGGCTATTCACAACAGCCTTGTACCATGTGACAAGCTGTGACCAATCACAGCTCACTCAGTACTTCTCAATAACTGCAAGAATGCACACAGAGAGAAAGAGAAATGATTGCTTTTACATCCTATATGGGTGTAAAATCAATCAGTGTAAAAAAAAAAAAAAAAAAAAAATCTTCATCACCCCCCACAAGTAGTACAGTGTCACCATGGTGACACTGTACTGCTAGGGTGACAGTATGTAAAAAAAAAAATAATAATATTAAAAAATAAAATAAAAATGTAAAAAAAAAATGTTTAAAAATTATAATTTTTGGTTATAAAACTAATTTGGATTTTTTTTTTTTTTACTAAAAAGATAACGGAATACATTTTGGCCAAGATGTATGATGAAATATTACTTATTTGCAAAATTTTATTAAAAAAAACACTTTTTTTCAAAATTTTTGGACTTTTTCATTTACATAGCAAAAAAAAATAAAAATCCCAGCGGTGAATAAATACCACCAAAATAAAGCTTTATCTGTCTCAAAAAAATGCTAAAAAATTCATTTGGGTACAGTGTTGCATGACCGCGCAGTTGTCATTCTAAGTGTGATAGCACTGAAAGCTGAACATTGCCCTGGTCAGGAAGGGGGTAAAAGTGTCCGGTCTGGAAGTGGTTAATGTAAATCAGCTAAATACATTGCAAGTGCATCAAAACAAAAGGAGTGCATCTTAATTAATATTTTTTTACTTCAGAAAGCAGCCACAACCTGAGCAGAAAAGTCTATCACCTGCCAGCATGTTGCAGATGGGGATCCTTGTTTTCTGTGTGGAAGCAGTGGTCTCACTTCTGAAGTCCTCTTGCTGAGTCAGAGCTAGAGCCCCTCAATTAGTAGGGAGCATGAACTTTACAGTTTTAGCTCTAACTCAGTATGGGGCATGTTGGCAGAGAGACAAATGCTTCCACACAGAAAGCAAAGGTTCTTCTGTGCAGCATGCTGGCAGTGGGATAGGCTTTTCTACTCAGGCTGTGGCTGTTTTCTAAAACAATGCACATGGAATATGTTTAGCTAATTTAAACTGAAAGTTCAACTGGGCTTTAAAAACAAGACAGTGGTAGTTGCTTCCACATTTCTATTCTCAGAGATGTGTTATTTCAATCAATTAATCTTTACAAAATATATGGCCAATCAACACTATATACACTATTCACTGAAGAGAAACTGTGTTGTTATTTATTTGTCTACAAAAGAAGTGTGGTCCATTTGTTAAAGCTACTCATAAGCTGGCCCTATTCAAGGATCAGTCCATCCAAACATGGTATTTTCTCTATAGGTAGAACAAAAAGGAATGAGCCACCCCCTGGCTTATGTTATGTCTTAGATGCTCAAGTTCCTCTGGTTAATATAAAATGAATACAAACACAAAATCTAGCAGGAATGGTGGGAACCACTCATAATGGGCACAACAGGTATACAGACCCAGGAACATACAGAGGGCATAGTTACTGGGTCTGCATACCTGCTGTGCCCATTATGAGGGGTTCCCACCATCCTTTCACTGAGTTCCTGGGTCTGTATACCTGCCATGCCCATTATGAGGGGTTTCCACCATCCCTTTAATGGGTTCCTGGTTCTGCACCCCTGCTGTACCCATTATGATGGGTTCCCACTATCCTTCTACTGAGTTCCTGGGTCTGCATACTTGCTGTGCCCATTATGAGGGGTTCCCACCATCCTTCCACTGAGTTCCTGAGTCTGTATACCTGCTGTGTCCATTATGAGAGGTTCCCACCATCCCTTTAATGAGTTCCTGGTTCTGCACCCCTGCTGTACCCATTATGAGGAGTTCCCACCATCCTTCCACTGAGTTCCTGGGTCTGTATACCTGCTGTGTCCATTATGAGAGGTTCCCACCATCCCTACATTGAGTTCTGGGTTCTGCACCCCTGCTGTACCCATTATGAGGGGTTCTCGCATGCCTACACTGAGTTCTGGGTTCTGCACACCTGCTGTACCCATTATGAAAGGTTCCCACCATCCCTTTAATGAGTTCCTGGTTTCTGCACCCCTGCTGTACCCATTATGAGGGGTTCCCGCTAGCTACACTGAGTTCCGGGTTCTGCACCACTGCTGTACCCATTATGAAGGGTTCCCGCATGCCTACACGGAGTTCTGGGTTCTGCACCACTGCTGTACCCATTATGAGGGGTTCCCGCATGCCTACACGGAGTTCTGGGTTCTGCACCCCTGTTGTACCCATTATGTGAGGTTTCCACCATGCCTGCACAGAGTTCCTGGTTCTGCACCACTGTTGTACCCATTTTGAAGAGTTCCCACAATCCCTAGTGGATTTTAAAATATTTCTTATATTATAGAGAATGTAACAGGAGGACCTGGAGCACATAAAGGTGGGTGGAAACACCCAAAACTCCCAGGTGGACAGGAACAGAGACAGAGGTGGCACTAGACAGGAAGGACTGTCAGTATAGGAAGGGAAAGAATTGATCTGATATCTGACCTCATGAATATGTTGGCAGAAGGCGGGCACTGTGGTGAGCTGGCTGATCAGGTTCAGGTAAGCAGCGCAGAGGGCGTGCAATGCACAACGATTATACGCTGGAAGGTTATCCTCATTATTCAGAGATAAGTCCTGGAATACAAAAATGAAACTTGCTTACATCGCAATTACAGCCACTGCTTATTCTGAATCAAAAAGAATTTTGTTCTGACTTATATAAGAAGAAAGGAAAATTCAGTAAAAAAGGACTCATTTAAAACTAAACTCCATTAAAATATTAAGAACAAACATTATTGCAGCTCTGTATTGATTCATAATAAAAGTAATTAAATTTATTTTTAGATACAAGCAATGTAAGTACCTGAATGTGACCTGGCATCACCCTCTCGCAGTAGAGCTCAGACTGGGAGAGAGAGAAGCACCACAAGGAGCCAATCAGTTTTAATCTGCAATGCTTGTGTGCTAACAAGGTACATGCTGATAAAGAGAAAGCAGAGTGACAGAGAGATGATCTCATCAGTCTGCTGCTTCTCCTTTCATTGTCCAGTCACAGGCTGAAGGAAGGACAAGACCTGTAAACATTCCCGAACTGTAGCAGTTACAAATCAGGTATTCTGCCTTTCCAGATGGTGCTGTGTGGTAGAGGGCAGTGCATCATGGCCGATCTGTGCAGCGGTGTCTGGAAGGGTGACCAGGATATTCGGAGTTAGTTTACCTTTTCATATTTTGTGAAAAGGTGAACTTACCTCTTAAGGGCCGGTTCACATTGTAGAAACGCAGTCCAGATGTGTTTCTACATGTGTTTTTTTGTGTTGCGTTTTTTGGCACATTCCGATTAATTATTTCCCCCTTTTTCTTCAATTGAAATAGGGACATGTGCGTTTCTGTGTGTTTTTGGTGCATTCCGATTAATTTCCCCCTTTTTCTTCAATTTAAATAGGGACATGTGCGTTTCTGTGTGTTTTTGGTGCATTCCGGTGTGATTTTTTGTTATGCGTTTTACCGCATTCCATTACAGTTCTGTGCAGGAAAAATGCAGCCTGTTCTTTCTTTTTCTGCATCTGGAATGCACTGGAACTGCAAGCACTGATGTGAACTATGACATTGACAACCATATAACTTACTTTCTGTGCTTTTTGCACACTGAAACACATGTAGTGTGAACTGGCGCTTAACCTCCCTAGCGGTATAATTATGTCAGTATTTCTGTGCTCAAAGCGGTACATTTTTTGCATGGAAATATGTCGTTTTTTTATTGTAGGCCTGTAATTTTTAGGAATAACTCACTGAAATCTGTCCGAACAAAAGTCTAGTAAACATCCCGGGTATGATAAATTTGAAACACGAAATCATAAATTATAATATAATAAATAAATCATAAAAAATAAATAATATAATAATAATAAATTTAATTCAATAATGTAATCAAACCAAAAACACTGAAATTTGAAATACAGCGCGAAGTTCGCACATCGCTGAGCAAAGTCGCAAAATCGTTTTCAGTGTCTGATGACAAATTTCCCCACAAATCATTATCACTCAATTCTGCAAGTGGTTCTGATTTACTATCGCTGTTCTCTAGCTGGTCTAAAACCGCTTTTGACCTAAAGGGACACTTTTTGGATGCCATGGACATTTCTCAGTTTCCAGGCAGAAAGAACAGTAAAAATGCAGGCAGGGCACAGGACAAAGCAGTAGGGACAAAATGTATGTGAAATGCTTTGATACAGTAATGGTTTACTATGTGATTTTAGTGTATTTAGTGAATGTCACTTTTAAAATTTTTGAATTTTCCACCGGTTCCATCCACCGTACATCCCGACGCTCGCAAGGACCAGAACCCGGAAGACGGATGCCGGCATCGGCCCGGAGGAGATTGCCGGTGACGCTGCAGGGGGGACATCGCAAGAGCGAAGGTCAAGGTAAGTGCAAGAGGGATCCTGGAGCAACGCCGCATGGTAATCCCGAGTATAGATCGGGGTTACCGCTTTTGATACTGAAAGTTTACCCCGAGCTACACTCGGGAATACTGACAGGGAGGTTAAGGTTTGGGGTTAGGATATGTGGGGCACATCTTGGTTTCAACACTAAAAGCTCAACACTAAAAACAACAACACTGGGCTTTTGCTAGAGAAAAGCTGTGTACCGTGTCACTATTGCCACACTGGCCACATGATTAACATTAGAAAGTTTTGGAATTGGAAGAATCATAGCACAGATGTAAGCACCCTGCAGGGTGCTGTACATAGCGTCCTGAAAACATCACAGCACCCTGCCACTGTACTGTGCAAATGTGCAAGACTGAAGGGAAGGCTGGAGGTCAGATTTAACCTAACCTTTAAAGAGCAACTCTACTTTTGTTTAGAAACAAAAACCATTCCCTTCTGGGTGATCTATGTACATTACAGGGATTTTTACAGAGTCCTATCTTTTGTTATTCTGAAGAAATAGCTGTTTGTTTTCCTGTGTCCATGTGCACAGTAAATCTACTGGGAGTGACTTTATAATTAGCAATCAGCTGCTGCACCTGCAGGGTTCTAATGAGGAAATTGGCAGCGTCAACCCCTTTAGACGTTTTTCCTTTGGGAGTATCTAATGAAAAATTTAATTTTTGTTGCAGGGGATGCCAAAAATATGACCTGTATCCTAGTGCAGACTTCTGGGAAAATCAGTCAGCCAAACACACAAGCGGGAAATGACATTCTCAGGAGGCGTTCTGTACACCATCTGTCTACAGAACACCTCCGGGTAGCCATATTGCATTGTACAGAAAATTACAGCTCTGCAGATTGAAAAGGAAAGGTAATTTTAATAACATTCAATTACAACATAACTTGTATCAAAATTATATATGCTATATATATATTTTTTATTTGCTAATATTTTTTCTGACGAAAGTGAAGTTAACTTTTAAGTGGACTTTAACACTTTATCTTCACTGGATTGAACATAACCTAAAAAAATGTTTTATACCTTCCCAAACATGTAATCCTTGAGCTATGGAGCTCTGTAGACATCAGTATTTTTACAACAAACAAATAAAAACTCAACCTGCTGCTGGCTGTATAGAAGATATACATACACAGTACAGGGGTGTATTTACCACAAGGCAAACAAGGCATTTGCCTAAGGTGGCATTTTTCAGGGGGGGGGGGCAGCACTGCCCTTTGAAAGAAGGGACAGAAGAAGGGACACATGCGGCATGGGGACCTGGTGGGTTTCAAGATATGCTGTGGGTTTCATGACGGTGTTTTCACAGCCCGACTCTCGTTCCTGGGGATGTGCGAAGCTGTGAAGGCGAGTGTCTTTCTCTCTCTCGCCATAGGGGATGGCGGCTGGTGTATGGGGGGAAGTGGTAGTGGAAGGCTTGGGTGGAGGGCAGGGGTGTTCTTGGTCAATGTCAGGCTCTTTCTGCGGGGGGCGCCAATTTTTGTGTTGCCTAGGGCAGCACAAAACCTAAATACACCACTGACACAATATATATATATATATATATATATATATATATATATATATATATATATAATTTTTCCCCCTTTTCTTTATATGCTAACACTGACTTAAATCCCAGTGCTCTCTAAAATCATATACCTTCTTTATAAGAGACAATCCCACATTTCCCACACCTAATCCTTACAGTCTGTGATGAGATTTTGGCCTTTTAGTAGATCCCAGGTGGCCAATATCATGTTGTCTGTCATATGGCCAGCACTGGAGGAGTTTGGAATTGGAAGAATTACATGACAAATATACCTATTTCACATTTATCTTCTAGTTTTCTTGCTATCAATATGGATAATGATTATATGATTATTTTTCCAGACATTGTAGGTTCTCTTAAATGAAGGTGTTATCATATATTTGTCAAACACATCAACACCATCACATACATGACTTATGACTCCATACTTCTTGCACTGACCACATTACCTGCACAGCAAGTACCAGTCGGACCAGATCCACCACCACTTCCTCATTGGCCAATTCAATACTGATCATGACAAGTAATGCATACAGAGCTTCATAGTGAGCCTGGACATTGCTGGGGTCATTACAGCTCAGGTAGATGTGCTGGTATAGCTGTTGGGAATGCTAGGAAAAAAGATACAGCAAAATTCTGTTTGACGGAAACAGTCCACATGACATATCACAGAATTGTAATAAATTACCTTAATTAATTGCAAATTTTCTGCAGTAAGCTAAAAATCTTTGTTAACTGCACCCTAATGCACATATACATTGTATTATAGCACCTCCAACACATAGAGATCTGTACCTCTGGCTCCCTCCATATTGGAGAAGCATCAATGACAGATACCAGTTCCAGTGTAGTGCCTGTCTGTGTGCTTTGCCATTCACAACCTATGATGACGCTGCAGTCAGCACAATGTTGCAACCAGGGGCAGACTGACAACTCATGGGGCCCCTGGGCAATAGGGGATCATGGGGCCCCTGTGTCCTTGCCCAAACTCAAAAAAGCCTATGAAAAAGGTACCAGGGGCATCTCATGGGGCCCCCTACTGACCCCGGGCCCTCGGGCAGTGCCCGAGTTTCCAAATGGTCAGTCCGCCCCTGGTTGCAACTGAGATACAGTGGATAGTGGGGCTGGGAAAGTCAGAAAGACAGGGGCATGTGACTAAAGGGGCAATATCACAAAAAAAAAAATGAAATGTTTAGATAATAGGGATATAGCCCAAAGTCCTTATAATGCCAAAATGTTTGTGTTGGCTAAGGTCCCACAAGAACACTCAGAATGAAGAAGCCAGCTGTCGGAGATGAAACTCCTCAGTGATGAATGTAAACATGAAAAAACTGCAGCACTTTCTGATGGCAGTAGTCTGTAAAAGCAAATTTATTATTAAAACACAGAGCAACTCACAAAGATAGATCTCTAGGCTGGCATGTCACATAAAGGCTTCTCCTGCTGAAGCATTCCGGATTGTTGGGGGAATACTGATCCCGAGACCCGTCTGGTGGTTCCAGAGCTCCAAACAAGCTGAAGGATCCGGGGCTGATCGTGGTGATATCACCGGAAGCAGAAGCTGAGAAGCAGTCTGATTGGCGTGAGTTCGGAGCATGCATGCTCCTTCGTCCGCCTTGCTTTTACAAACTACTGGACTCCGAAAACGCTGCTGTTTTTTTCACATTTACAATGTTGCAGCTGAAATCTGGTATAGATGCCTCTCCGATGTGGCAGGGAGTCAAAAGCAGAGCTTCCACTATATCTTATGGGAACAGCTTCATACAAGGTTAAAAAAAAAAAGAAGCATGAAACAATATACAAATCAAGATGCCTGGAGTTGGGCTCCAGTCCCTTCCTGCTGAGCCTATGCGTATGGGGCTGCATATATGCACAGCACACTCCCAGCCAGGGGCAGACTGACCATTTGGAAACTCGGGCACTGCCCGAGGGCCCGGGGTCAGTAGGGGGCCCCATGAGATGCCCCTGGTACCTTTTTCACAGGCTTTCTTTTAGTTTGGGCAAGGACACAGGGGCCCCATGATCCCCTATTGCCCGGGGGCCCCATGAGTTGTCAGTCCGCCCCTGCTTCCAGCACAGAAGCTGTAACCGACAGCTTTGCGTCCCGTGCCAATGACTGGAAACCAGGACAACTGAGCACTATGATAGCTTCTGATTAGCTATCACAGTGATCAGTCACTGTACAGCCCGCCCTTGTGGGTTTTTTTTTTCCTTTTGAATGGAGAAAAAGATACATTATATACATACAGGATATATTATATAATATTGTATTATATTTCCTTGCTAGTAAAAATGGTGTGCAAATAAATAAAACTAACTAAATAAATAAAATAAAGATAAACTAGATCAGGGTTTAATTTGGGCAAATGTCAGGGTTAGGGTCAAAGGTCATGCTCAGAGGCAAAATCAGGGTCAAAGGTCAGAGTCAGTGTATTTTAGTCCCAAAGTGAAAAAAGCCAAAAGCTCCAGCACACAAAAAAAAAAAAAAAAAAAAAAAAAAAAAAAAAAATGAGTGTAGAGGGCTGAGGACAGGGAGGTATAGTGGAACCCAAATAAATTCGAAGTTTCAAGCCAAGCCAAGCCTTGATGCTCCCGTGTATGACAGGGCAAGTCAGAAGTAACTGCAGGAAAAAATGGAACAAGAGTGCCCTGGCCTAGCGCATTATCCCAGATAACAATTTATTGAATGAAAGTTGAAATATACTCATATAGAAGAAGTGACAAATCACGCGACAAATGACAATCACTGGAAATATGCTCCATATGGCACCAAGGGCCCGACACAGAAGTGCCATCCAAGGGCCAAAGAAATTCTGACGCATTTCGAGGGCAACCCTCTCCCTCAGAGCCAGAGTCAGTGTATTTTAGGTAGGATTAAAAAATAAGCTTTTTTTTTTAAATTTAGTATCAATATCAGGGTGTTTTAGTTAGGATACAAAAAGCAAAATGTGCATTACTGTTTCTACTACAGGTATGAACAACAAATAACAACCATACATGTGGCATCGCTGCTATCGTCACGGGCAGGGCAATGTGTTTTGGGTTCTTCTTTGATGATAGGTTATGGTAATAGCAAAAAATATCCTATTAATTTTTTTACATTTTTTTTTTACCATTTTGTGCCAGTTTTCATTTGATAATAAAAATGAAATCAGAAGATATCCATTATCATTTGCCATCAAATGAAATCTCAATTTGTCCTGAATAAAAAAAAAGGTATAATTATTCTGAATAACTAATTGTGATGATATGTACAGTTTTACTAACATTTGTCATACTTGCAAAGCTGTGTTCAGATGTTAGGATTTGTATTACCTTTGTTATGAAGGGGTTAATAATGCACATTATAAAAACAATCGTACCTTCTTCATAAACAGCGTATCCGGCCTTGAACACTTGTCCACCTTCAGATTCAGGACAGAGATATCCGGGACTGTACTAGAATGACATTGGAAACAGAGTCAGTTGTCTCTTACCTGAACTCACCAGTGGCATCATGTTTCTCTGGCCATTCTAATATACAGGGATACCTGGAACTATACTAGACTCACAATGGAAATCTCTTCCTTGGAGGTGACATCATGTTCTTTGGGTAGGTAATGGGCAGTTTAAGTAGGACTGAAGAGTACTCATCAGCCACCTTACACAATCCCATCTCATGTGCAAGTAATGGCCCAGCTATAATGATCAGCATAACCATTGCTTTTCATGTATGCAGAATTTCTCCCTTACTATCACTCTGCTTGCCTGCACCTAATACATTTACACAATTTTAAAGGTTCTGCAATGAGGAAGGAACTTGGGACAGAGATGTTTTATAATGATCAAGAAATTACAATAAAATTTACAAAAAAAGCAAAATATTATTTCAAACTTTTTAAATATGGCCCCCGATATACATAGTAGTAGTTGTCACATTCATCTAGACTTTAACTTTTTACTTGTTTGTGAACATGATAATTTGGGCAGCTCCCATCATCCCATCCAGACACGCAGCTCCTCCCACCCTCTGCCCTGCTGATAGGATGAAATTGTTGGCAGGGCCAGAGACCTTGGAGAGGACACACAGGCTGAATCCTGCTTCTGCCCTGCCAAAGGTAGGATTGTGGGGAGAGAGAGAAAGGGCATGATTATAATGGGCACTGTAATTGGGAGGGGGGCTGTAATTGCTAGGGCCACTGTAGTATAAAGAGCCACTGTGATATAAAGGGGATTGCACTGTAAGGGAACACTGTAATCAGTACAGTACATTTCCTTTTATATCACAGTGCCCATTTACAGTGCAGTCCCCTTCACATCACAGCCCCCTTTACATTACAGTGCAGCCCCCTTCACATCACAGCCCCCTTTACATTACAGTGCAGTCCCCTTCACATCACAGCCCCCTTTACATTACTGACTGTTCTCCGAGTGCACCATCCTTCTCCTTCTGCTGCCTGGGTTTTCCTGTGTGCTCCCCTCCCGCAGCACTGCCAGCTTCCCTCCTCTCCCACTGGCTGCTGCAGGCACATGGGGGGGTTTCAGAATGGAGAGTGGGGGAAGAGGCTGGTTCTGCCAATGACACAAGCTATACCATTGCCTGATACAGAAGCCACAGGAACTTGGTTAGCGCCTTGGGTACTGTGATTCCTTCATACTGGATACACTGACCACACCACAGTCTGTATCCATTCTGTGAGTACCCCTCAAGGGAAGATTTTCACCTAGCAAAGGTGTGCTGCAGGCACTTGGGAGTGGGAGCAACAGGTATAGTTAATATTTGCCTTAAGGTGGACATTACAGTGCAAGTCCAATCATCTGAAAGTAAAGGCATTTAAGTCATGGTCTAGGAAGCAATTCCTGCGCGCTGTACTGTACAATTACGATATACGGTTATCTTTCATGTGTATACTGTTAATATCCCCATCCCCCTTTTAATAGAGAGTAGGAGAGGATGATGACCTATCTCTGTCCCCCTTTTCATAGAGAGTAGGAGAAGATGATGACCTATCCTGGTCCCCCTTTTAATAGAGAGTAGGGAGAGGATGATGACCTATCCTGTCCCCCTTTTAATAGAGAGTAGGAGAGGATGATGACCTATCCTGTCCCCCTTTTAATAGAGAGTAGGAGAGGATGATGACCTATCCTGGTCCCCCTTTTAATAGAGAGTAGGAGAGGATGATGACCTATCCTGGTCCCCCTTTTAATAGAGAGTAGGAGAGGATGATGACCTATCCCCAATGGGCAAAATACGGCCCCGGGCCATATACGGCCCGGAGACCTTTTAATCCGGCCCGCAGCCAGGGCAGGCAAACATTGGCTGTCAGGATTTGTGTAGGCGGGGCAGCGTGACGAACGTGAGGGGAGCTAGGCTCCTCTCACAATCCGCCCTGAAGACCGGAACGGAGCGGGAACACGGAGAGGACCGCACGAAGCAAAGGTAAGTGAATTGACACAGGGGGGACTTGGCTTACTACTTGGGGGGGAATAGTACTATGGGGGATGAAATACTATATGGGGGATGAATTACTATATGGGGGATGAATTACTATGGGGGAATGAATTACTATGGGGGATGAATTACTATATGGGGGATCAATTAATATGGGGAATGAATTACTATACGGGGGGGATGAATTACTAATGGGGGATGAATTACTATGGGGGATGAATTACTATATGGGGGATGAATTACTATGGGGGATGAATTACTATATGGGGGATGAATTAAATGGTAATGAATTACTACAGGGGGGATGAATTACTACTTGGGGGGAATTAATATGGGGAATGAATTACTATAGGGGGGATGAATTACTATGGGGGATGAATTACTATGGGGGATGAATTACTATATGGGGGATGAATTACTATGGGGGATGAATTACTATATGGGGGATGAATTACTATGGGGGATGAATTACTATATGGGGGATGAATTACTATGGGGGATGAATTACTATATGGGGGATGAATTACTATATGGGGGATGAATTAATATGGGGAATGAATTACTATAGGGGGGATGAATTACTATATGGGGGATGAATTACTAATATGGGGATGAATTACTATAGGGGGGATGAATTACTATGGGGGATGAATTACTATGGGGGATGAATTACTATATGGGGGATGAATTACTATGGGGGGATGAATTACTATATGGGGGATGAATTACTATATGGGGGATGAATTACTATGGGGGATGAATTACTATGGGGGATGAATTACTATATGGGGGATGAATTACTATATGGGGGATGAATTACTATGGGGGATGAATTACTATATGGGGGATGAATTAGTATATGGGGGATGAATTACTATGGGGGATGAATTACTATATGGGGGATTAATTACTATGTTTACTATGGGGGAATATTACTATACTTACTATGGATGACACATACACATCATTCATCTACTCTTGGTCCGGCCCCCGGGTCCAATATATGAACCCATTGCGGCCCTCAAGTCAAAAAGTTTGCCCACCCCTGACCTATCTCTGTCCCCCTTTTTTAATAGAGAATAGGAGAGGATGATGACCTATCCTGGTCCCCCTTTTAATAGAGAGTAGGAGAGGATGATGACCTATCCCTGTCCCCCTTTTAATAGAGAGTAGGAGAGGATGATGACCTATCCCCGTCCCCCTTTTAATAGAGAGTAGGAGAGGATGATGACCTATCCTGGTCCCCCTTTTAATAGAGAGTAGGAGAGAATGATGATTTATCCCCATCCCCCTTTTAATAGAGAGTAGGAGAGGATGATGACCTATCCTGGTCCCCCTTTTAATAGAGTGTAGGAGAGGATGATGACCTATCTCCGGTCCCCCTTTTAATAGAGAGTAGGAGAGGATGATGACCTATCCTGGTCCCCCTTTTAGGAGAATGAGATCCCGGTCCCCCTTTTAATAAAGAGTAGGAGAGGATAATGACTATCCTGGTCCCCCTCTTAATAGAGAGTTATCCCCGTACCCCTTTTAATAGAGAGTAGGAGAGGAAGATGTGTGTGGAGTCTAGCCTGGGTGATAACCACCACCTCTGCCCTAGATACAGTGCAGTGGGTAAGTGTTGTCACCCTGACAGAAAGTGTGTTGCTGGCAGGATGACCAGGTGAAAATAAAATTAAAAAAAATGAAATCTAATGCAGCCACCAAATCTAAGGACTGTAAACTGCAATGTATTAAATTTTTTATTACATTGCTTTTGAGTTATGCATTAAAGTTGAAGTCCAGAATACCCCTGCAGTGATCCCCATCCCCCAGACTGCAAGAATTTAATGCACGTTAAAAATTTAAAATATTTCAGCTTACCAATCATATGGCAGCTGCATTAGTTTTCTTTTTCTAAGCTGTTTTCACCACTCTGGGTGCCCCTACTATGGATGAAGGAGCACATGGGGCACCAAGGGACAGCAGCATTATCAGGAGTGTTAAGTAACTAGCAGGTTTAGATACACTAACACAGTGTTTCTCAATCTTTTTTATGACTAGGCACCCTATAAAAATTAGACTGAAATTAAAATGAAGCTCTGAGATTTAAGACCCCACCCCTAATGCAGCCACTCACATCAAAAAGACTTGTGATACTAAGCCTAGGATGTAAATTTTAAATAATAATGCAGCGCTACACCCTCCTGTGAAAAATAATTAAAGAGACATATATATAAAATGCCGTGCCAACATACAAAATTATTCAACAAAATTAAAAAACAAACAAGTGCATCAAATATTGTTATACAGTGACAATTGTAATTAGATGTGATCCCCATTCAGGGACATCAAAGTTCAATTGCTGAAAAGTCTTCTAATGGTCATCTAGTGCTAGTGAGACAGACTCTCGAGGTCTGCAGCTTACCAAATCCATAGACCATTGCTTGTTAAGGCAAATGGTCTAACAATACTTTGGGTTGTTCTGGTCACCCTCAGCCACGTTATCGCCACTCCTTCCATTAGACTTTCCAGCTTTGCACTCTTTAATTGAACTTTTTGGAAGTGGACTTATAACTTTGATGTCCTTGGTTGGGGAATCACATCTAATTACAATTGCCACCGTGTAGCAATATTTGATGCACTTGTTTGTTTTTTAACTTTTTGGAATTATTTTGTATGTTGGCACAGCATTTTATATATATGTCACTTTAAATATCTTTTGTGGGAGGGTGTATCGCAGCATTATTATTAAAATTGACACCCTTTAAAATGATGCACCCCAGGTGATACCTGGACCCTACAGAGGTTGCACAGCCAGTCCAACTCCTCCAGGATGGCACATCAATACGTGCCAATGCCAGAAGGTTTGCTGCGTCTCCCAGCACAGTCTCTGGAGCATGGAGGAAATTCCAGAAGACAGGTAGTTACTCTAGGAGAGCTGGACAGGGCTGTAGCAGGTCCTTAACCCATCAGCAGGACCCGTATCTGCTCCTTTGTGCAAGGAGGAACAGAATGAGCACTGCCAGAGCCCTACAAAATGACCTCCAGCAGGCCACTGGTGTGAATGTCTCTGACCAAACAATCAGAAACAGACTTCATGAGGGTGGCCTGAGGGCCCGACGTCCTCTAGTCTGCCCTGTGCTCACTGCCCGGCACCACAGAGCTCGATTGGCATTTGACATTGAACACCAGAATTGGCAGCTCCGCCAAAATCGCCCTGTGCTTTTCACAGATGAGAGCAGGTTCACCCTGAGCACATGTGAAGGGTCTAGAGAAGCTATGGAGAACGTTATGCTGCCTTTAACATGTTTTGGTCCATCCAACGATACCAGGTTGCACCTGAGACTGTCCAGGAGCTCAGTGATGCCCTGGTCCAGATCTGGGAGGAAATCCCCCAGGACACCATCCGTCATCTCATTGGGAGCCCCCCCGATGTTGTCAGGCGTGCATTAAAGCACGTGGAGGCCATACAAACTACTGAGGACCATTCTGAGTTGCTGCAATGACATTTCAGCAAAATGGACTAGTCTGCTGCATCATTTTTGCACTTTGATTTTCGGGGTGTCTTTGAATTCAGTCCTCTATAGGTCGATCATTTTCATTTCCATCAAATGATGGGGCGTCCTTACATTCCTAACACATTACCCTGTCCATATCAGTATAGATATCCAGCAGGAGATTTTTCCCCATTGAGATCTGATGTGTTTTCAAAGTGTTTCTTTAATTTTTTGGAGCAGTGTATATTTGCCAGGTTTCGGAGAGTAACAGCTGAGGTTCCAGGGGCAGCTCATTGCTCTGAAACCGGTCAAATATATAATCAGTGTGGGAATCATTCCTATAATTATCATGCAGCAACAGCCCAAAATGCGTTGGCTTGATATACTTGTCGCTATTCTCAATAAACGCCTCTTAATCTACCATCAAGCTTGCCTTCTTTTAGACATTGGGTGCTCCTTCTTTCCTATCATTCCAAGTCTACATGTGGAAATTACCTTAAGACGGGGGGGGGGGTATTTACTGTGAGGCAAATAAGACATTTTCCTTGGGCAGCAATTTTCAGGGGGGGCTGAAGAAGGGACACACGTGGCAGGTGACAGAGGATGGGGACTAGGTGAGGCACTGCATGAGCTCCGCCACATGGGATCCGAGAGAGTCTGCGGGCTGCTGGAGGGTGTAGGCCAACTCTCATTCCCAGGGATGTCCGGATAACTGTATTCTGGGATGAAAATCGGTGTCCGCTGAAGCATCTGAGCATGCTGTATGCCCGGATAATCTGTTGTTTCTGAATATCTCATCCCGGCTCCCTAATAACCCCAAGAAAAGGACTTTACGATAACCCAGTATCCAGTCTCCAGAGATGGAGCCCCTATACACCTGGTGAGCTGACCCGTCCATCCCTTAAAGGGATCTCTAGCATCTTTTCAGTTTACTTCAGAAGCCCTAGGATCCACACCTATCAAGTGAGGGATTTAACCGTATTCCTGCCCAGATTAGGATGATCTTGATGACATCAGGATTTTATAAATCAATGCACATTATATTATGCGTTCCGGTGAGTGCGCATTTCTCCCACACCTGATTGCACAAGCACTGAATCTTAGAGGATCACAGGATTCCTTTTTTGCACTAACAGTCTCTTATAAACTATATATATTTTAATTTACTTATTTTAATATTTGATTGATCTTGTTGCTTTTATGCACCTAGTTTTAGCGCTGCACTTTATTTTATCTTGTCTGTTTGAGGTTTATTGGTTACCTTTAGTGCTCAGCAGCTTTTTGTACTTTTAAGTGCGCTCGCAACCATCTTGTTATGTCCGGGTAAATGGCTGAGCTCAGTGCACAAGGACGACACTGGGCTTTCCTGACCATGGCTTCAGGGATGGCCAGCTGCTTTCATTCCAGGGAGTTGTGAAGGTGAGCACTGGGAGAACACATTGTTTTTTTTTTACCTTCTTCTTCTTTCTCTCTCTCTTGCATGATGTGTGTGTGTGAGTTGAGATTTTAGTATTGCTTAGGACAGCACAAAACCAAAATACACCACTGCCTTAACCTCCTTAGCGGTTTTCCCAGTGTAGCTCGGGGTAAAATTTCAATACCAAGAGCGGTAACCCTGAGCTACACTCGGGGCTTACCATGCGGCGTTGCTCAGGGGGTCTCTGCAGCACTTACCTTGTCCTTCGCTCCCGCGATGTGTCCCCGGCAGCATCCCCGGACATCTCCTCCGGCCGATGCCGGCATCCGGCTTCCGTGTTCTGGTCCCTGTGGCATCGGGACGTACGGGCGCCGGAACCGGTGGGAAATTTGAAATTTTTAAAAAATGTAATTTTTGCTGTCATTGCTGTTTCAATGCATTTCACATATATTTTGTCCCTACTGCTTTGTGCTGTGCCCTGTCTGCATTTTGACTATTCTTTCTGCCTGGAAACTTAGAAAAGTCCATGGCGTCCAAAAAGCGTCCCTTTAGGTCAAAAGCGGTTTTAAACCGGCTAGAGAACAGCGATAGTAAATCAGAACCACTTGCAGAATTGAGTGATAATGATTCGTGGGGAAATTCGTCATCAGACACTGAAAACGATTTTGCGACTTTGCTCAGCGATGTGCGAATTTGCCTCTGTATTTCAAATTTCAGTGTTTTTGGTTTGATTATATTATTGAATTAAATTTATTATTATGTTTTTATTTTTTATGATTATTTATTAAATTATAATTTATGATTTTGTGTTTCAAGTTTTATCATATCCGGAATGTTTACTAGACTCTTGTTCGGACAGATTTCAGTGAGTTATTCCTAAAAATTACAGCCTACAATAAAAAACTACATATTTCCATGCAAAAAAAATGGTACCGCTTTCAGCACAAAAAATCGGAAAGAATCATACCGCCGAGGAGGTTAAGACCTTAAGAGGGTTTACCGCCCATGTCCACCACAGGGCACAAGCTACTGGAGGGGCATCTCCCTACCCACCCACACAATCACCCACCTATGATCAGTGACTGATTCAGTCAGTCCAGCGCAGTCTTCAGCACAAACAGGATATTAATCTTTAAAAAGTAAGCCTGCTTTGTCATTTAAACTAATTTAAGACTGAACATTTAGATTTTTGAATCAGCCCAGCTGTCCCATAATATTTGGTTTCTTTATACGAATAAATGTAGCAGTGGCTGTGGCACGTCCAGTGGGCTACACAGCAAAGATATCAGAGGAGCAAGGATAGGCAAGTATAAGGCAAAGGGGGTTGCAGGACAGGGGGCTTTTTAAAGGATAAATGTACTTTAATGCATGTTTAAATCATCAGGGTTGTTAAAAAAAAGAGACAGGGATGAAAATGTGCCTGGGTACCTTCAGTATAACATTCAGTATGTTGTGGTACCTGATGGTGGAAAACTTGCGCCTGTTCCCATGGCGGTCTATCAATGAGATGAGAATCTCCAGTACAAACAGTCGGAGCTCAGCGTCTTCCATCAAGGTGGAGGAAAGCAGCGGGTCAAGGAAAGAGCTGGGTAACGCGGTCAGCATATTGGTACACTGGAAGCCCAGGGACACCTTTCAATTTCAGGAGGAGACAAAGCAATTAATGCAAAGAAAAAGAAATGAACAATATAAAAATGGAAGTAATCTGTAAGATATTGATCAGAAAATATCTCTTTTGCTAACCACAGTCATCTGAAATCTGATTTACTGTTGTATGTAATACTATCTGGAATTACTTTATTTGCCTTAAAGGACAATTTCACCTTTAGTTGTCAATTAAAGCTTACCCCCATAGTGTAACCCGCAGAGAAATCTACTTACATTTGGTCAAACTTAAGAGATCTCAGCTGTTCTGTCTTTGTAAGTTAAAAGTCCCAGCTTGGCCATATGCCTATGCATTCATTTCTATGGCTGATTTGAGCTTATGGTGGCCCCCAGTCATCCAGTGGTGTTCAGCTCCAACCATAGGACTGAATGAGACCATGGCACACATGCATTGTAGGTGGAGGCCGTCCGCAACGTTTTTATTATTTTTTTTTGCAAATGTGGTGCAAGAGCTAGACAGAGCCACTCAGTAGGGAATGGTCACGGTCTGTGTCCCCAGAGATTCACTCTGCCTTTTTGTCCTACTGACGTCTTTGTTACTTTAAAGTGATGGAAAAATCGAAAATTTTGAGCTGTCTTCAAGTGTGCAATAGAGGGAAAAATCTCCAATCAGGTCTAAAACAGGATTTCACTTAATTTGGAAGGAGACCCTCTCACTTCAAGGGTAATCTTTCCAATGGGACTCAAACAACAAAACTGACAGGAATTTTGATCACCCCCAATCTATTCAAAACCTTTCTTATTTTTACTCTGAAAACTTCAGGTCAAGGTGAACCGTAATAATTAGATAATTACAGCCCAAGCCATTTACTGAACACAGATTGTGCACGCAGGGGAGAAAATGCACGTCTGAATGCACCGCAAAATCTGGAAGGTGAACAGTCGCAATCCTAAAAAAATGTCTACAAATGTTTGTTGCCTGCCTTCAATTTTTTCTGAAAGATCTGTCACAGATCTTTAAAATGCATTCTCTAAATTAGCAAAGCAAAGTGACAGTGTCGCTGCAAAGGCTACTCCCCCCAAAACACCAAGTGTTCAGTTTACCTGCGTTCCCCCTCTGCTGCATCCTCTGCCTCAACCAGCAACACTACCTAGTGCTTTCAGATATTATTATTATATAGTGTTTATAAAGCGCCAATAGTTCGCTCAGCGCTGTACATTACAAAGGGGGACAGAACATGTGACAGAACAATACCAATACAATGCAAAAACATGAGGGGATTGAGGGCCCTGCTCTTTCGAGCTTACAATCTAGGAGATATAAAGCATATTTATCTTTTTCCCCTATGACAATGCTTGGGTCTAACAGCCAATAAAACCAAGCATTGTCACATGAGCAAGGCAGTGGCATCACTGCTCCTGCTGGTCGTTGACACTGGTGAATTTAGGGCTGGCTGCAACGAAGGATCTGCAAGAAGGCAGAGGTAAGGGGTATGGGGGGGTTGAAGGGCCTTTGCATGGACAATGCCACCTTGCTACATATAAGCAGTCACAGTGTTTCTTTAAAAGTAGGGTGACGTAGTATAAAACTAGCTACTACCCCTCTACTTGTTTGTGATGTAGATACTGGCAATAGCTTGATTTACCCCTTCACCTGTCTCACCTATTTACCACATATAGACCAGAACACTCATTTCATTTTATTATTATTATTATTATTATTATTATACAGGATTTATATAGCGCCAACAGTTTGCTCAGCACTTTACAATATAATGGGAGACAACACAGTTCAATACAAGAGGGTTAGGAGGGCCTGATCCTGGGAGCTTACAATCTAAGAGATTTTTTTGATTCATAAATGACTTATGTAATGAAGTGATACATATTGGCCTTTTGGGGACAAACAATGCTTTCTCCTGATGGTACTGTCTTTCAACTAATTCTATATTTTTATATTTCTATTCTGTTTATTTTAGCTAGTTGGCATATGTAAATTAATGTTCTAGGATACAATATCTCGAACCATAAGAACATCAATTTGTGCTGAAGTTATGAACTATTAGATGCACACTCCTAGTTTTGGGACTGTCACTGAGACATATAAGAAACCATTTAATGAGTTCAATTTCCATTTAATTAAAGTGGAACTAAACCCTCCTATCCTTTATCAATTGATGGTTTTGATTGAGAGTACAAGCAACTGTGACAGTTTTCATTCATGGCATAACTTAAATGTAACTGTTTTCGGAAACCATCACTTCAATGGGTTTAGTACCATTTTAATTTCAAATATACTTCACTTGCTTCAGAGCACTAACCAAGTAAAGTACTAAACACACTTCTAAAACATATCACTGTTTATTATAAATGTGTTTTTTAACAGCTTTATCAAAGATGCAGCTAGTGGGACATCACTGCAATGCATGTGCATGAAGGTAAACAGGGCCAAGTTCACCTTTGGTAACATGTGACACCTGTATTTAGCGTGTAACTTGTTACCAAAGAGAAGCTGCCTGCACCCCTCCAATACCCTGCTGTGACAGTGGGCGGGAGATCTTCTCTCCGCAACCACTGTCAAAATATAAAAAGAGCACAGCCGTGTGGGGCTCTGCCCACATGGCCGCATCGTTTATTCCGGGAGTTGTGTGAATTAATGAACTACAACTACCATCTGCCATTGTAGCAAATGGTTTGTATTTCTCAATTACCTGAATGAGTGCTGGTGAGTGCTCTTGTACTTCACCGATCTTTCTCCTCGTACGGGAGATATGGGCGGACAACTATAATGAAATTCTACAGGAGCCTGACATTGCACCTGTGATCTGCTGATTGTGGCTGCAATGCTCTGCAGGCTCCCAAAAAAAAATAATAAAGGCTCATTTTTTTTAACTGCAAAAATATGAGCATTTATTATTTTTTTAAAAAGTTGGACTTAGCCTTTATTCAGTCGCCACTTGTAATGCAGTAATAGGCAGATAAACAGTTCATTAGGCAACAAAAAAATGTATCTATTCATCAATGTAACCTATGAGGAGTACCTGAAGAAGTGACTTCAGAAGCATGACCTGAATCAGACGATTTCTGTTTTCTCTGTGGGAAAAAAAAAAATGTCTTTAATATTTTGAATTTTTAGTTCAAAGATGAACTGAAATGTAGAAGCTGTTTCTAAAACAGACAGGAAGTGGACTAAAGTCTAGTCACCGGTATTGCCTGTACTTTCCCATCAGCTGATCTTTCCACTGTATTGACTTACCATGCCTTGTTCTACATTGGGGATGATTTACTAAAACAGGAGAGAGTGCAAAATCTGGTGCAGCCCTACATATAAACCAATCAGCTTCCAGGTTTTGTGTCAAAGCTTAATTGAACAAGCTGAAGTTAGAAGGTGATTGGCTACCATGCACAGCTGCACTAGATTTTGCACTTTCCAGTCTTAGTAAGTCAAACCCACTGTGTCTCTGTGTGTAGGCAGCCATCTTGGTGGAAGCAGGGCTTTGCTTCCTCATGCCAAAGCCTCCAACAAGGAAAAAAACCATGAGCCGCACAAGAGTAACATCACAGAACCTCAAAAATTAGATATAAAGTTATGAATCTCACATACCCTCACATACCAGGAAGTGCGGTTACATTTCAGGAAGAATTCCAGTCAAAAGGTAGATTTTTCTGGGTAATGATTAGGCATGATTATCATTTCTAAATGTTCACTATAACATATTAAATCTTCACTTTTTATGTTCAGGTCCTTTTTTAATGCCAGGAGCGAATAGGGAATATTTATGACCCATGTTAGAAAAAACAATGGTATGGCTACTACTTGCAGTGTGTTGAGCACCGATAAAGTTGTCTGCTTCTCTAGTTATGCATTTGATCCAGCTAAGACTTTCAAGCTGATGGAACACCAATCAGCCAGCTACAATGGATATGACCTCTGACTTAGGGCCTGCGTTTCAAGCTCTTTATGTCAGAATTGCGTTTCTATTCCTACAAGTCAATAGGAAGTATTAAGCAGTTTAGAAAGAGGACAAAAACAGGTTAGAAGGCCAAAGCAGCCTGGGGGCCCAATGTGGTGCTTTGGCACTTACTGTGCAGCCCTCTTGGCATCTGAGGTCAGTGATTTGTTGTGGTGCACACTCCGGCAAATGAAAGAACATTGTAGGCTGAATTTCAGTAGTTTATGGTTTGGTTTATTTCATACCATTCTGACCTTTTCTGTGCAGTCTAGTCCTTTCCCTCTTATGTGCCGTTTTTGCCTCTGATCCTTTATGATGAATCTTGCTGAGAGAAATTTCAAATATGTCATGTGTGAAGTTTAAGGGTGCTGATTGGAGCACAGATGTGGAAGCACTGATTTGTAAAGTGGCTGTAATAGCAGTAACCTCTAGCAGGCTCATGTAATGCATCTTCAGTCTAGAACTGTTTCCTAAAGCATTTCTTCAGAGTTCAACAGCTGCTATAGCATGTCTGCAGGCTCTGACCATCTCCCATATCACGTCTGTAGTCTCTGACCATCTTTTGCATCATGTCTGCAGTCTCTGACCATCTCTTGTATCACGTCTGCAGTCTCTGACCATCTCTTGTATCACATCTGCAGTCTCTGACCATCTCTTGTATCATGTCTGCAGTCTCTGACCATCTCATATATCATGTCTGCAGCCCCTAACCATCTCCTATATTATGTCTGCAGTCTCTGACCATCTCCTGTATTATGTCTGCAGTCTCTAACCATCTCCTGTATCATGTCTGCAGTTTCTGACCATCTCCTGTATCATGTCTGCAGTCTCTGACCATCTCATATACCATGTCTGCAGTCTCTGGCCATCTCATATACCATGCCTGCAGTCTCTGACCAACTTGTAAACCATATCTGCAAACTCTGACCAGTTTTTTCTTGTATCATGTTTACAGTCTCTAACCATCTCCTGTATCATGCCTGCAGTCCCAGACCATCTCCTGTAACCTTTCTGCAGTCTCTAACCACCTCATGTACCATGTCTGCAGTCTCTGACCATCTCTGGTATCATGTCTGCAGTCTCTGATCATCTCTTGTATTATGTCTGTAGTCTACACACGAAGCCATGGTGAAGACCCCTAGCACACAACTTACTGCTTGATGGCTTTGTGCATCTCCTTTAGAGACCTCAGCAGTCAGTAGTGGAAGCATTAATTTGTAAAGAGGCTATAATGAGAATGATCAGTAGCAATCTCATGTATCATGTCTCCAGTCTCTTGCTGTCTCCTGTAGTGTGTCTTCAGTCTCTAATTACCCTGTTGCATGTCTGCAGTCTCTGATTGTCTTATTTAGTATATCTAAATTCTATGACAGTATACTGTCATATAATGAATATTATGTGCTTCACTTTGGATCTATCAGGGGCCACAGTTGAGATCTACACTTTGTAAGTTGACAACCGCTGGTGTAGACCATTTAAAGCCCTTATAACACACACTAAGGACACTTTTGATCAGAAGCCAGTTTATGTTTTAGTATGTTTTTGTAGAACATACACACTCCATTTAGAACGTAGTGTAAAGCTGGACTCAAGTCTTACCCTGCTTTTCCAGGTTCCATACTATGATGCACTGAAGGAAGTGGCACTTTTCCCATGATAAACAACATGACCTCTGACCTTTGGTAAGTGGGCAGAGTGCTGGCAAATGAACCTGCAAAAGAACACATGACTTACAAACAATGTTGGCTTACTAGGTCACATACACATACAATTAGCTTTGCCAGTCTGTGTCCAGTTAGGTCTAATGATGACCAGAGGTCAGGTTGTGGCTAAAATGTGGCCCTGGCATGTCAGCAGTCCATTTTCTTAAAGTAGTAGTCCATTACATGCCCACAGAGGGAGAATTCAGCTTGAATTCTAAATACGTTTAAGCCCTTGAAGAACTTTCGTTTAACTAAAGGTTCTGATCCATTAAACCTTTTCTTTTATTTCAAGAAGGCGGTATAACATGTGTTTGCACAATGCTGCCCTCTGCTGGACATTTATGGTAACAATGTGTAAGAGGATGACAAACTCTGTAAGGGACCACTCCTGAAAATAAAAATATTATATACAAGTAGTAAACAACATTTTTCAAATATTTACTTACTAATTTAATTTATATTTCACAAAGTTTGGACTCTAAAACAAGACTTTCATGAAATATTTAATTGCAAACCTAAGAATATAGGGTTAAAGTGCTCCACGGAAACAGCCCAAAGTAAAATTCATATACATATAAGCTGTTTTACCTCTAAAAGGAATTGTAATTCTGTTTTCCTGGAGATGTGATTTACACATCTCTACCACAATGCACAGCCAAACAGGTGACAATACTATTTCAGATTCCTGTCACTCATCAACCTCTAGCCTTGCTCCTTGGAGAATGGATCAACATAATAATCATCTCTATTGAATCAGAATGAAGCTGATTCAGGAAGCTGGAAAAGTAAAATCAGGAAAAAGAAGAGTGATTTGTTTGGCTGTGCAGTGTGGGGAAGGTATATGAATCTCAAGACTGACTGAACAAAAGTACAAATATTTTGGTGGGCAAAACAGGTCACATACTGTATATATGCAAGATCTGGGATGAGTGGCGAGAGAGACCATTAAAGAACAGCAGTCTGAAATGTCAAGTGGAACTAAAACAGTTTTTTTTTAGAGGCATTTGTACACCCCTTGCTACCTGCTACCCCAGTTAGCCACTTGCTTTCCAGAGGATTTACCCCCCTTCCTGACCAGGCTATTTTTCGCAATACGGCGCTGCGTTATTTTAACTGAAAATTGAGCGGCCATGTAACACTGTACGCAAATTAAATTTATGTCCTTTTTTTCCACAAATTGAGATTTCTTTCGGTGGTATTTGATCGACTGTGCGTTATTTATTTTTTACGCTATAAGCAAAAAAAAAAACCTGACAATTTTCAGAAAAAAAACATGTTTTTGACTTTTTGCTATTAAACATGTCCTGTAAAAAAAATGTAAAAAAAGCAAATTTCGCCATAAATTTAGGCCAAAATGTATTCTGCGACATGTCTTTGCTAAACAAAAATCCAAATACATGTAAATTATTTGGTTTAAGTGAAAGTTATAGCATCTACAAATGGTGGTGTATATACAGTCAGGTCCATAAATATTGGGACATCGACACAATTCTAACATTTTTGGCTCTATACACCACCACAAAGGATTTGAAATGAAATAAACAAGATATGCTTTAACTGCAGACTGTCAGCTTTAACTTGAGGGTATTTACATCCAAATCAGGTGAACGGTGTAGGAATTACAACAGTTTGCATATGTGCCTCCCACTTTATAAGGGACCAAAAATAATGGGACAATTAGCTTCTCAGCTGTTCCATGGCCAGGTGTGTGTTATTCCTCATTATCCCAATTACAATGAGCAGATAAAAGGTACAGAGTTCATTTCAAGTGTGCTATTTGCATTTGGAATCTGTTAGGGTCAACTCTCAAGATGAGATCCAAAGAGCTGTCACTATCAGTGAAGCAATCCATCATTAGGCTGAAAAAACAAAACAAACCCATCAGAGAGAGAGCAAAAACATTAGGTGTGGCCAAAACAACTGTTTGGAACATTCTTAAAAAGAAGGAACGCATCGGTGAGCTCAGCAACACCAAAAGACCCGGAAGACCACGGAAAATAACTGTGGTGGATGAACGAAGAATTCTTTCCCTGGTGAAGAAAACACCCTTCACAACAGTTGGCCAGATCAAGAACACTCTCCAGGAGGTACGTGTATGTGTGTCAAAGTCAACAATCAAGAGAAGACTTCACCAGAGTGAATACAGAGGGTTCACCACAAGATGTAAACCATTGGTGAGCCTCAAAAACAGGAAGGCCAGATTAGAGTTTGCCAAACGACATCTAAAAAAGCCTTCACAGTTCTGGAACAACATCCTATGGACAGATGAGACCAAGATCAACTTGTACCAGAGTGATGGGAAGAGAAGAGTATGGAGAAGGAAAGGAACTGCTCCTGATCCTAAGCATACCACCTCATCAGTGAAGCATGGTGGTGGTAGTGTCATGGCGTGGACATGTATGGCTGCCAATGGAACTGGTTCTCTTGTATTTATTGATGATGTGACTGCTGACAAAAGCAGCCGGATGAATTCTGAAGTGTTTCGGGTGATATTATCTGCTCATATTCAGCCAAATGCTTCAGAACTCATTGGACGCCGCTTCACAGTGCAGATGGACAATGACCCAAAGCAGACTGCAAAAGCAACCAAAGAGTTTTTAAGGGAAAGAAGTGGAATGTTCTGCAATGGCCAGTCAATCACCTGACCTGAATCCGATTGAGCATGCATTTCACTTGCTGAAGACAAAACTGAAGGGAAAATGCCCCAAGAACAAGCAGGAACTGAAGACAGTTGCAGTAGAGGCCTGGCAGAGCATCACCAGGGATGAAACCCAGCGTCTGGTGATGTCTATGCGTTCCAGACTTCAGGCTGTAATTGACTGCAAAGGATTTGCAACCAAGTATTAAAAAGTGAAAGTTTTATTTATGATTATTATTCTGTCCCATTACTTTTGGTCCCTTAACAAGTGGGAGGCACATATGCAAACTGTTGTAATTCCTACACCGTTCACCTGATTTGGATGTAAATACCCTCAAATTAAAGCTGACAGTCTGCAGTTAAAGCACATCTTGTTCGTTTCATTTCAAATCCATTGTGGTGGTGTATAGAGCCAAAAATGTTAGAATTGTGTCGATGTTTCAATATTTATGGACCTGACTGTATATTGGATTTTTTTTTTTTATACTAGTAATGGTGGTGATCAGCAATTTATTGCGGAACTGCGGTGGGCATTCTGACACTGGGGGGAACTGACTGTCACTGACATCCCCAGTGACTCTAATACAGTGATCAGTTCTAATGAAAAGCACTGACACTGTACTAATGATACTGGGCAGGAAGTGGTTAACATCTGGGACAATCAAAGGGTTAACTGTGTGCTATTTTACTGTGTTTCACTGTGTCAGCACATTGCTTTGTATTGCTCGGCTATGCCAAGCAATACAAAGCAATGTGCAGGAGCTGACAGGGGAGAGATCCGATTGTTTACATACAGGTCTCTCCCCTGTCAGTGATGATCGGTGATCGTCGGGTGCTGGTGGGGAATCACCAGCCAGGACCCGGCGATCGACAGCTAAAGCTGCCAATTGCAGCACGGGTACGCCACACATGCCCCCTACCTAAAATGCACAATCATGTGTATATTCGTAATTTTTCGCGGCCCTGCCACCCTGTACCAGTATGTCTGCTATAGGGCGGTGGGAAAGTGGTTAAAAAAAAACAAACAAAAACAAAAAAAAGACTATACATACCCTTTTCCTGCAGTTTGCCTGCAAGTCTGATGACATCACCCCTTCTTCCTTCATAGGCAGCAGGGGGTGGAAATTCTTTCAGGACACAGCTGCATTCACATATTGGTGTCTGCGTCTTAGAGTACTATGAGCCCAGCCTGCGTGATGAGCCACCCTCCAGGGGAGAGTGCAAACAACAGGAAATGGGCAGAATTACATTGTTGAGTTTGTTCTGCTGAGAAGAAGACTGCCACTGCACTGGACCGAGGAAGAAGTTGGGCAGGGTGGAAAGGGTAGGTAGAAACTGGGATTTTTTTTTTTTTAACACAGAAGTGCAGGGTAGGTATGAAACAAATGAAAGGAAAAATGTTCTTGGAGTTCCATTTTAATTTGCTACTATGCAGATTATTAAGGTAGAATAGACTCTGCGGGGGTTATTTACTTAAAACTGGAGGTGCAAAATCTGGTGCAGGTCTGCATAGAAACAAATCAGCTTCCAGGTTTTATTGTTAAAGCCTAACTGAACAAGCTGAAGTTAGGAAGATGATTGGCTACCATGCACAGCTGCACCAGATTCTGAGTAAATCTCCCCCTGTATGTCTCTTCTGCTATAAAATCTCTCCCCCTGCCTGCTAGCTTTTTTTGCAAAATGTACAAAGAGAACAATGCATGTGCAGCTCAGTGTACAGTCCCAGAATCCTACAGTTAAGTGCTGAAGGAACACAGGCAATGGAGCGGTGAGGGGGAGCACTGACATATCACCTCTGGAGAACAGCACTTTGCAAGGAACAAGCGCCCTAATGTGCAAATATGCTGTATATACTTATGACAAAAGTTCCCAAGAGCCTCAAACGTTTAGTTACACTTGAACCCTAAATTTACAAGGATGGAACTTTTACCTCAGCATCTGAGATTATTTTACATGCTGCAGAACCTTCTTATTTTCCCACAATTAAAGAACCCATAAAGTAATTAGTTTGGTCTATAGAATTCCCTGCAATGTACACTTGTACTGTGCTGCCCTCTGCTGGACCTCCATAGTCACTAATAATCAAATTGTTTACATTTATGCACCCAACAGCCTAGTACCTTGCAGGAGTATTAACCAACTCCCGTATATTGTATATAAACGGCCGGACGGTGGCAGTGCAGGGCCGGGTGGCCGTTTATAAATGGCCTCCCCGCACCCTGCTTGTGCGCGCTCCCTGGGAGCACGTAGCACCACGATCCGATGCCCTCTGTGTCCTTCGGACACAGTGGAACACCGATTGTCGTACGGGACCTCTGTGCGAGGTCCCGATCATGTGATCACTGATTGGCCAATCAATGATCACATGCAGAGTAGTAAGCAAGATGTCACTAGAGATGTCATAATGTTTACATTCCATAATGTAAAGCGCTGAGCAAACTGTCGGGGCTATATAAGTCCTGTATAATAATAATAATAATACTACGTGTGAAATCTGTGAATGATCGCAGAGGTCACATAGTACAAGGCTATTCACAACAGTAGTTCTCAAATGCAAGAATGCAGCCAGAGAGAAGGAGAAATGATTGATTTTACAGCTTTCATGGGTGTAAAAGCAATCAGTGTGTAAAAAAAAAAAAAAAAAAAAATCTTCATCACCCCCCACAAGTAGTACAGTGTACATGGTGACACTGTACTGCTAGGGTGACAGTATGTAAAAAAAAAAAACAAAAAAAAAGCCCCATAAATAATAATATAAAAAAATAAAATAAAAATGTAAAAAAAATGTTTAAAAATAATAATTTTTGGTTATAAACTAATTTGGGTTATTTTTTTTTTTTTACTAAAAAGATAACAGAATACATTTTGGCCAAGATTTACGATGAAATACTATTTATTTGCAAAATTTTATGATAAAAAAACTTTTTTTCAAAATTTTTGGACTTTTTCATTTATAGCAAAAAAAAAAAAAAATCCCAGTGGTGAATAAATACCACCAAAATAAAGCTTTATGTGTCTCAAAAAAATGCAAAAAAAATTCATATGGGTGCAGTGTTGCATGACCGCGCAATTGTCATTTAAAGTGTGATAGCACTGAAAGCTGAAAATTGGCCTGGACAGGACGGGGGTAAAAGTGTCCGGACTGGAAGTGGTTAAAGGTAGATCTAAAGGCAGTGCAAGCTATAGATTAAAACATGCATTCAACAGGAATCAATAGGTATTTAGTTGCTAAAGGCTTTGTTAAAGACAAACTCCACCTTTTAGACTATGTTTCGTATTACACCCATATTTAGGTTGTGACATGAAACCTGGTCACAGTATGGAAAGTTTGGGCACCCCAAAACCTAAATGTGCCGCCCTACCCCTCCCTTGCCTGACACACATGTTCAACAACATTATGATTTCCATTTTTTTCAAAGTGAAAAAAAAAAAAATGGTTGTGTGTGACTCTGCCCTCAAAGCCACGTTGTCCCATTTCTGGATTGTTACAAAGCTGAGAGATGACATGTCCCATCTGGCACTGTGGAAGAGAGGACATGTACAAAGCATGTTGATGATCCCATCTACTTCCCTCACAATCACACCTCTTTCAGCCACCACTGAAAATAGCGGACGCTACTTAAGGCTGAGAAGAAAACATCGCAATGGATTGTGCATTGCACCCTGTTCGCAATGTAATTTTCACGCTTCATAGCAAAATCAAATAAATGTACTTTGGTCATGAGATCAATGTTGCCGCATTTACTACTTTTTTTTTGCAAAAGCAGAACATGCTACAGATAGCAGTCAAGTTAAGAACTGTCCTCAACGTTCCCAGACAAGAGATGACAAATGTTTAGAGAAGTTCAGGAATCAGTTCAGCCTGCTGACTGAATGTAGAGCTCTTCAATCAAGGGCCACAATAAATGAGAGGTGGTGACTAAAAACTGCAATGGCTTGGCATCATGCTCCCCCACAATTGCCATATGGCACAACTGTGCCTCCCAAAAATGACTAACCTGTATGAAGAGTTGCTGGGCGATCTACAACATATAGGTGGTGCCAAGTGGTTAAAAGGCCCTTTGCCACCAAGGGGAACCAAGCCATGCTGGAGCGCCCTCATCCACCCTAGCGTCAGCTCCAGTGCCCACCTTTCTACATTCCCCAGAGCCCGGTAGAAGGATGTATTAGAAGGTGCCCTGATCTCCTCAAATTAGTTGCCTATATTTTTTCTAACCATCAATACGAAAAAAAAATTGGATCACAAATACAAAATCCTTTGACTCTGTACAAGGAACTCCACCACACACTGATCCCAAATGGGTGTTTTCATGTTTATGGCACCTTACTACAAGCTATTGCATCTTGTTGATGTAGAAGCATCTAGGAAATATTCTCCCCATACCAATAGTCTTGATGACAGCTTCCTGGAACATTCTTTCTTCATGCTCTTTGATAATCTTGGTACCTATGTTGATGGCAGAGTCATAGCTGCCCGTAAGTTCATAGTCGATGCTCAGTCGCAGCTGCCTCAGAAGAGTGTTGAACACTTCCAGGACTGTAGGCCCTGAAAAACACATAAATAATGTAAGAATAATTATACAAGTCCAAACCAGTTGTCATACCAATGCAATACCCATCCGTGCCAGAAGGTGGTGACACAGCCTTACTGAAAAAAGAAAAACTCTCTGGAAACGTAAACAAATAGTAGATAAGAATCCCTATAATATAAAGAAGGGCATAACGATGAATTTGTATTGGGTCATAAAAAATTAAACATAAATTCTGCACAAATATATCCTGACTTCAAGACAAAGATCAACTCCAACCAAACTTTTTGTTCAGTTTTAGACAGCATGGAGAAGGGTTAGAACCTTTTTTGAGGCATGCGCCATTTTCGTTATATAAACACGCTGCTAGACGTCTGATGCTGAAGCACACCCCCTATGATTATGTGCAATAGCACGAAAAGCGTCAGGGAGGAGCTAAAGCGTCGTGACATCACGCCGCAGGCACCACGTGGGCCCCGGCTGCCATCTTTGCATTCTGCTCATGGTCAGTGATTTTGTTCTGTTCCCTATTTATCTGCTATCTATGTTGGAATAAACATACACCTTATCAAACGGTATCACGCTATTGGCCTCCTCTTTTCTGGGCTCCCTGTGAGCTTTTAACAACCCGCAGAGCTACATGAAAGGAGGGATAGAGCCATATTGACAGCGGAGTGAGCAGTGAGGGGAATACCTGACCAGACCATATACATCCATAAAGGGGCCTCCAGTTCATCCACTGAGAGTACTGTCTCTAAATGAGCTAATTGATTGCGCAACTGGTGAGTGCACAGTCTTTATATTATCGGTCACATCACCACAATACTGGATGGAACACCTATTATTGAAGATTATTTGATCTACCATACACTTATATTTGGACAATATGTCAACACTTTAATAGCACCATTGGTCACTATACAGTGACGGACTTCACGTTATCACTGAGTCACTTTATTTTGTATGATTTATTTGGCACCTTGTCACAAGTCACTTTATTTATTATGGGCAGCACAGTGGCTAAATGGTTAGCACTTCTGCCTGGCAGTACTAGGGTCGTTGGTTCGAATCCCAGCCACGGCACCTCCTGCCTAGAGTTTGCATGTTCTCCCTGTGCCTGCGTAGGTTTCCTCCGGGTACTCCAGTTTTCTCCCACACTCCAAAGACATGCTGGTAGGTGAATTGGTTCCTGTCTAAATTGTCCCTAGTATGTGTATGTAAGAATGTAAGCTAGGGACCTTGGATTGTACACCCCTTGAGGGTTAGGGACTGATGTTAATGTACAATATATATATGTAAAGCACTGCGTAAATTGACGGCGCTATATAAGTACCTGAAAAATAAATAATAAAATAAATAAATACATTTATATATTTATATGATTAATGTACAGAGTTTTCACATTGATGGTTGGAATTTCCACACGTAGACTTGGAATGATAGGAAAGAAGGAGCACCCAATGTCTAAAAGAATGCAAGTTTGATGGTAGATTGAGGAGTTTATTGAGAATAGCGACAAGTACATCAAACCAACGCATTTCGGGCTGTTGCTGCATGATAATTATGGGAATGATTCCCACACTGATTATATATTTGACCGGTTACAGAACAATGAGCTGCCCCTGGAAGCTCAGCTGTTACTCTCTGAAACCTGGCAAATATACACTGCTCAGAAAAAATTAAAGGAACACTTTGAAAACACATCAGATCTCAATGGGGAAAAATATTACGCTGGATCTCTATACTGATATGGACGGGGTAATGTGTTAGGAACATAAGGATGGCCCATCGTTTGATGGAAATTAAAATTATCAACCTACAGAGGACTGAATTCAAAGACACCCCGAAAATCAAAGTGAAAAAATGATGCAGCAGGCTAGTCCATATTGCTGAAATTTCCCTCATTCCACCCTCATGAAGTCTGTTTCTGATTGTTTGGTCAGAGACATTCACAGCAGTGGTCTGCTGGAGATCATTTTGTATGGACTCTGGCAGTGCTCATCCTGTTCCTCCTTGCACAAAGGAGCAGATACCGGTCCTGCTGATGGGTTAAGGACCTTCTAAAGCCCTATCCAGCTCTCCTAGTGTAACTTCCTGTCTCCTGGAACCTCCTCCATGCTCTTGAGACTGTGCTGGAAGACACAGCAAACCTTGTGGCAATGGCACGTATTGATGTGCCATTCTGGTGGAGTTGGACTGCCTGTGCAACCTCTGTAGGGTCCGGGTATCGTCTCATGCTACCAGTAGTGACACTGATCCTAGCCAAATGCAAAACTAATGAAAAACAATAAAAAAAAAAAATGAGTAGGGAAAAAAATGTCAGTGGCCTCCACCTGTAAAACCATTCCTGTTTTGGGGGTCGTCTCATTGTTGCCCATCTAGTGCACCTGTTGTTAATTTCATAAACATCAAAACAGCTGAAACTGATGAACAACCCCCTCTGCTACCTAACTGACAAGATCAATATCCCAGGAGTTTCATTGACTTGATGCAATACTCTGATTAAAAAGTGTTCCTTTTAAAATTACTGTCTTGTAATGTCCGAGGCTTAAACTCCAAGATTAAACGATCTTTGATTTTTGATTATGTAAAAAAATATAAACCTCATATTATACTGTTTCAAGAGACACATTTACAGGGCTCCAGGGTCATGGCCCCGGAGTTCCTATATTATTCAAGTTTATCATGCGGATTACTCCACCTATTCCAGAGAGGTTGCCATTTTAATTGCTAGATCCTGGAATATACATGTCCTACGAATTAAGACTGACCCAAGGAAAAGATTTGTTATTTTGGTCTGTAAGATTTTTACTCAGTGTTTTACTATTGTGTGTCTATACATTCCCCCACCATTCTCCTTTACAGTGCTAGAGGATATTTTTTCGGTGGTGATCTCTGTGGCAGAGGAAGCTATATTGCTCCTGGGAGATTTCAGTGTGGTCTCTAATGCTGCTCTGGATCGCCAGGGATGTGTATCTGGATCTCATCCTGACTTGGCAACATGGCTGGAGACCTATGCGTTAGTGGATGTTTGTAGACATGGGAACCTGGGGATACGGGACTACTCAACCACTCAGAAAGTCACCGTAAACTTTCTCGAATTGACATGTATCTTACTAAGGTAGATAGCCTTCCATTGTTTCGACATGTTAAGTATCTACCGAAGGCAATCTCAGATCACTCTCCCATGGAAATCAATTTACAGCTGGGGGTTCGTTCAGGACTTAAACATTGGTGTATGAATGCTGGGTTGTTGCAGGAGAAATATGTGAAACTAGGTTGTCTGGAGGCAATAAATCATTAATGGACAACTATACTGAAGCTGATGTGTCTAAGCAGTGGGATGCTTTTAAAGCAACTCTTAGAGGTGCCTATATGAAAGTAGTGGGGGATTTCTCTAGAGCTTTGAGAGTTGATGCAGAAAGGCATTCCTACACCGTTCACCTGATTTGGATGTAAATACCCTCAAATTAAAGCTGACAGTCTGCAGTTAAAGCACATCTTGTTTGTTTCATTTCAAATCCATTGTGGTGGTGTATAGAGCCAAAAAATGTTAGAATTGTGTCGATGTCTTAATATTTATGGACCTGACTGTATGTAAGCTTATTTCCTCTAGGGACAAAATGACACAATTGCTTTATCTACATCAAATGTACTATACGCCTCAACGTCTCTTTCGTATGGGGAGATGTGATACAGCCACCTGTCATAACTGTCAGGCTAGTACAGGATCATTTTTAAACATGGTATGGGAATGCTCTAAAGTTAGGCCCTTGTGGTCTGAAGTCACTGCATTCATATCTGATACATTTGATTTAACTAATGTGTGTAGTCCTATGATATGCCTTTTAGGGGTACTTGAAGATGATACTATGAACATTGCTACCAAACATTTTCTGAGAAAGCTGATAGCGTTGCATTGGATACGTACTGATACTATTAACTTGATGGCATGGAAAAAATTGGTTAACTTGGATCTTCCGCTGTATGAAATGACTTGAAACAAGGGGGTGTACGGGGAAGTTTGGAAAGATATAGTTCATGTGGGTGGATTCCGCTGCAACAGTGACTGACAATCCTTAAAGCAGAGCTCCACACAAAAGGGGAAGTTCCGCTTTAAGCCTTTGTTCCCTCTCCCCATTAAGGATTGGCACCTTTTGGGGAGAGGGTACCCGAATTTGACAGGTACCTGCTCCCACTTCCGCTGCGATCGCCTAGGCCAGGGGTGGGCAACTGTGGCCCTCCAGCTGTTGTAGAACTACAAGTCCCATGAGGCATTGCAAACTGACAGTTACAAGCATGACTCCCAAAGGCAGAGGCATGATGGGACTTGTAGTTCACCAACAGCTGGAGGGCCACAGTTGCCCACCCCTGGCTTAGGCGATCGGAAGAGGAAGTTGTCCTCCCCACCTTCCCTCCCCGTAGTCTTCTGGGACACGTGACGGGTCCCAGAAAACTACGGGGCCACTCACAAAGCGCAGCGCTTCTTGTGCATGCGCAGTGGACACCCAGATGTGAAACCGCAAGCTGTCACAGCCGGTTGCCCACACTGAAGATGCCGGTGCCAGGGAGAGAAGACGGCCAGTGAAACCAGCGGTGGTGAAGACACCGCTGGACCGAGGAACAGGTAAGTGGCTGGATTTAAAAGTCAGAAGCTAGTTTTTGTAAGAATCTTACCGTGGACCTGGAGTGGATTGATTTTTCTAAACTAAAGTGGAATTTTACTTTAAATGCTTAGAATAGAAGTCCTATCAGATGTATATTGTTGTCTGTTTCCCTCAGTCTTGTCCTCATGAAAGTGATTATTGGGGCAGGAAGTCATGGTAAACCTAGCAAACAGGGACGCATGCATCAAAACAGACATCAGTTTTATTGATGTCTGTGACCTTACTGAGAAGAATACCCCTTACTACCTTTTTCTTTTTATATATTCTGGGAACACAGAAATGGAAATTTGGTTTTTGATGACAATACAGCAAAGATCAAAACAGTAAAGTGTATCACTAATGTTATATCTATTTGTCCACAATACGATCTTATGACAATAAAAAGAGTACACTGAACCTGATTTTTTGTTACAGTTTCTCATTTTGAGATTATCCTGGATTCACTTGTGAGGGTATTATGTCTGAACGGTCGCATAGTGCCCGGGTATAGGGGTATAACCAGGGGTGTATTTACCACAAGGCATTTGCCTAGGGCGGCATTTTTCAGGGGGGGCAGCACTGCCCCTTGGAAGATGGGATGGAAGAAGGGACACATGCAGCATGGGGACCTGGTGGGTTCTGAGAGATGCTAAGGGTTTCATAACGGTGTATGCACAGCCCGACTCTCATTCCTGGGGATGTCCGGAGCTGTGAAGGGTGAGTGTCTCTCTCTCGCTCATCATGGGGGATGGTGGCTAGCGTATGGGGGGCAGTGGTAGTGGAAGGCTCGGGTGGAGGGCAGGGGTGTTCTTGGTCAGTTCTGTGGGGGGGGGGGGGGGAAGGCACCAATTTTTGTGTTGCCTAGGGCAGCACAAAACCTGAATACACCACTGGGTATAACTGGGGGGGGGGGGGGGTGTAGGAGGGATAAGAGGATGGGGGCATGGGTTAGTCAGGGGAGGAAGGGTTCATGGGAAGGATAAGGCTGGGAAGGGGGGAAGCAGGGAAAGAGAGCGGGGGGAGAGAGAAGAGTAATAAATAGGTGGATAGGTCGAAATAAAGCTGGGGAGTTGGGGAATATAGGGATTAGGAAGTGAGGTACAGGGACATAGGGGAAGGAGCCGATCAGATAGAGTCTAGGGAGCGGCAGGTGGATGGGGCTAGGAATCAGTGTGAGGAAGGGGGGTGCATAAGGAATATGTACAGTATATTACTGATATGGGCAAAGTATGCCCTGTAAATGGTGGCCCCTTACATCCCATTTCATGTCAGTGGACCCTGGGGCAGGAAGTGACAGAAATTCCCCATACAGATCTAACCAACAGCAAAAAACCTTTGGATGGAATCCCAAGTGCAACCTGCCATCAGGAATGCTGTTCAAACTTCCATACATACCAACAGGACCTGTGGCAGCTATGACCGCGGCCTCAGACAGGACCTCCACAATCCCAGCCCGTATGGTGGCGGCACTCTTGCTGTTTGCATCCAAGTGGCTGAGCAGCTGCTGGATCACCAGATGTGAGTGCTGGGGCTGCAGAATAGGTCAAATACACATGAAATAAATATGGTGCTCATGATATACTGTGGGGTAGTCATTTCATTGGCTGGAAGATGCTGGACTGGGCTCTGCCCCTTATACAAATATAAAATGAAATACTAACAAGGAGGTGTGGAAAGTCTATGCACTCTGAGCTATGACCTGTGCAGAAAGCAGAGGTGAAGCTAAGAGATCATAGAGAATGCCAGATCCTGCAATGGGCCTGCACAGCATCTGGGAGATCATAAAAAATACACTGGTCCTTCTGCAGAGGTCCAATATACACCCTGCTGAGTCAGTTTATACTCTCAGTCCCCTTCTAACTAGCTCATGCTTCTTACTGATTGGAGAGCTCTAGCTCAAATTCAGGGGGTGCGTCAGACATCTGCTTAGAGACCACTGCTTCCACACAAAGAGAAAGGAGTTGATTTACTAAAGGCAAATAGACTGTGCACCATACAATGTGCAGTTACACTCTGCAAGTGAAATTGCTCCAGAGCTTTGTAATAAGAGATAATGATTCACTTTGCAAGGAATACCCAATCACATGCAAGGAAAATTGAAAAACAAAAGCACTTTTGCTTGCACATAATTGGATGATGGAAGTCAGCAGAGCTTCTGCACATTTACTAAGCTCTGGATCAAGTGCTCTTGCAGAGCGCAACTGCACTTTGCAAAGTGCACAGTCTATTCGCTTTTAGTAAATCAACCCCTAAGTGTCCCTCTCTGCAGCATGCTGGCAGGGGAAAGATTTTCTACTCAGGCTGTAGCTGCTTTCTAAGGAAAACAACTGTAAGACTTTGTACACCTTTTTTTTTGATGTACCTGAAATGTATTTAGCTGGTTTATGTTGGGCTTTAAATGTAAAGTCAAATAGTTATTACACTGGTTGAGCTCAGTTTGACCTACCTGTATGGAGTACATGATTATCTTGAAGCATCGCACAGCGAAGACTTTAGGCTCCCACAAGGAATGGTTATCAAGGTGCCTGCAAAACAGGACACATCGATGTCAATGCTACAGAGAATCTTGGGTAGCTTTGCTGCTATTTACCTAAAAAGTGGTCCATATGCTGTACGCATGCAGCTACATTTCCATATGTAGAGCATAAATGGATCCTATTAACTGGGCTGACATGAAATATCAACAATGTGTAGCCAGCGACCCAGCCACCACTAGTTTCACAGTACTGAGGTTTATTAATCATTATTATACAGGATTTATATAGTGCCAACAGTTTGCTCAGCGCTTTATAATATAAAGAGAGACAGTACAATTACAATACATTTCAGTACAGAAGGAATAGGAGGGCCCGGCTCATGGAGCTTACAATGTAAAGGAAGGGGGAGGTGATACAAAAGGTGATAGCTGCGGGGGATGATCTGATGGAGGTGACTCAAGTACAGTTCTTAGGTGGAGGTGGGGTAGGCTTCCCTGAAATAAGTGAGTTTTCAAAGATCGCCTAAAGGCAGACAGGGTGGGAGCTGACCGGACATACTGGGGTAGGAAGTTCCAGAGGCTGGGAGAGGCTCTGGAGTAGTCCTGGAGGTGAGCGTGGGAAAAGGTGATGAGGGAGTTAGAGAGGAGGATATCATGGGAGGAGCGGAGTGGGCGATATCTGTGGATGAGGTTGGTGATGTAGCTAGTGGCACTGTTGTGGATGGCTTTGTAAGCTGTGGTTAGTATTTTGAATTTTATACGTTGGGTTAGTGGAAGCCAGTGGAGGGATTGGCAGAGAGGGGCATCAGTCGCTGATTGGCTGGTAAAGTGTATAAGTCTAGCAGTAGTATTCATAATAGACTGAAGGGGCGACAGCCTGTGTAATGGTAGGCCAGAGAGGAAGGAGTTGCAGTAATCATGGCGGGATATAATCAAGGGTGGATAAGTTGTTTTGTGGATGTCCACCCTAAATGAGCTGGGCACGTGGTCGCAGCACACACGCAGAATGAGCTTGGACAAATCTTAATGACTGAAGGTCGAAGTCATTATGCACATTTGCTGCTGCTGCATGAATGACTCATTCAGGACCAACATGTAAGCATCAATATAGTGCAGTAAGTGGTGGTAGCGGCGCCAGCTATACATTGTTGATATTTCATGTCTGCCCTGAGCAATGGTGGCGGCTAGGGTCCATTTATGCTGTAGATATGTAAACGCAGAACAAACGTTTACATGTATACAGTGTAAAATACAGTCCAAAATTACGCTCCCTTAGCCTCGTACATAAGTATACACTGTACATGGCATTTTTGATGCCTATGAAAATATACACTAAATACACAGATGAAATATATATATGAGGGTGGTTTTACCTGCCAAAGGATTTGTATTTCTGTCCATGCAATTCTGAGATAGACACAGAGCAGCCCTGTCTGGCAGACAGGAGATCTGATTTTTTTTATGCTGTAGTTAAAATGTAAGCCTAAAGTAGGCCAGAGATGGCTCGAATCCCAGCTGGTTCAGCAGGGACCAGCTGAGATTTGAACCATCTATGGGTAGGCTGATTGTAAAGAAATCGATTGTTGTATGACTTGGGTCAAACTAGCCTGGATCCTTCATGCGATTATTGCCAGCGGCTATAGCCACCCGCTACAATAATCGGTGTTCCCCCCGGCAGGGACAGCCCCCTCTGCGCCCCCCCCCCCCCCTCCAGCTGGGAGAACACAATAGCTTCATGGGAGGGATTTCCCCATCAACACTGACTGTGTTGATGGGGGAATCGAGCGATTTTCTTTCCTGCAACTGTGGTTGCAGGAACGAAAAATTTCATCATCTAAAACTATGCTTAACCCTGGCGCCTCCCAGCCCTTTAAGAGTTTCAGAAGCCGGGAGACGGGACGGGCGGGGTTTAGGGATCATGTGACCGCCATGATGCGTCGTCACGGCGGTCACATGATCGGGAAAGGTCCCAATCGAAAGAGCAGACCAGGACCTTTCCGCGAGTACCGGACATGTGTGCTGGGAGCGCGCAGGGTGCGCGTGCTCCAGCACATATGTTTTTTGTTAATTGCACGCAAATGTGCGGCCCGCTCGGCATCTAGGCCCAGATACCGGGATGCCGCACATTTGTGTGCAGCCGTCGTGAAGAGGTTAAAATGCTCCCTTCTTCTACCAGTCCTGCCTAACCTGTGTAAAAGAGATGTGCATACTTACCTATTTTTAACAGTCTGCTCCAGTCCAGTCACATGATCCCCTGTTTCAGTGAGCGGCAGCTGCAGAGGAGAGGAAGGAAGCACTTGACAACAGCTGGGAATTCTGGGAGCCATGATGTCACACATGTCTGCACTGCCTCCTCTCCCATGCAGCCGCTGGTGCTACAGGATCACATGCCTGGACTGGACTACAAATAGGTAAGTGCACACATCTTTTTTTACACAGGTTTGACAGGATAGATATGAGAGGGAGGGGAAACATTGTAAAGCACAGTTAGACTGGAATTCTGTTTTAAATAAGCCTTACAGATCTTTCTGTCACTCTGCTCTCTACACCTATCAGCATGCCACATGTCAGCACAGTTGACTGACCTCTCCCCCTTTCACCAGTGTGGCTAAGTCAGAAACACATACTGGGGGAGATTTACTAAAACTGGTGCACCCAGAATCTGGTACAGCTGTGTATAGTAACCAATCAGCTTCTAACGTCAGCTTGTTCAATTAATCTTTGATAAAACCTGGAATCTGGTCGGTCGCTTTGCATAGCTGCACCAGATTCTGTGTGCACCCGTTTTAGTAAATCCCCCCCAATCTCCAAGCATATTAGAGCTTATTAGAAATGTTTGCATGCTTTGAAACTGTAGTGCCATTGAAGCAATACCCCCCCCCCCCCCCTTCCTTCCCATCTCCTGTAGCTCATAAGTGAGCTCATCTCTCTGTCAGCAGGCGCTCTCCTACTAATAGCATACTCCTTGTCAGAGCACAAGCACTGCAGTACAACTGTTTGGCCTCTCGTGCTGCTTCTCCCTTTCCCAGTCTGGGCTGTGCTGTCCAGGGACTGTAAGAGGGTGACACCAGTCAAATATAGGAATTTGCACTGTTTGCATTTAACAATGTCTTAATGAACGCAGAGCTGCAATAATTTGCTTCATCCCCATAAGGAAATATACATCTATCAGCCCTCCCTGTTTCAGAAACAAAATCCTTAAAATGTTTGAATACAGAGATCTACTGCTATAATGTTTTCCACAAACAGAATGTCTTCATGAGCCCGCAGAGGTCTGGCATGGTGCTTACATGAGAACTGGCTTAATGGCGTTCTTGATGTTACCATAGGCCGCTCTACCCAGCAGTTCCCTCAGACATCTCTCTGCCAGCTCCGCTGGATTCTCCTTCTCCTTGTCTGTGCTCTGCAGTGGCGATGGAGAGCGGCTGCAAATATAAAACACGTATCACACACAGTCTCACAACGACCACTAGATGGCAACCTAGACAAACCAAAAATTGCCCTGTGATTCTGAAGAACAATGAACTGTTTATTGGCTTTCTAACAATAATAATAGGGAGTGAGTGAGCCTGAATGAGGGCCAGATGACTAGTAACACTACACCTAGAAGTAAATGTTCACATTCTGTTATACTCATTTATGACAGGATGGCTGTTGCTTTGTGATTGGAGGAATTCTAGTGAAATGGGATTTTTGTGACCAGCATAAAATCCACTTGTTGGAGTCCAGTGAGGGACACGGGGAATTCACAGTCATTTTTGCAAGTGTCCAACCCTCCTGTAGGCATCAGAAATACCCAACAACTTGGAAGATCCTGTGTGCCTCAATGGATGAGAAAGAAAATGGAATTTTTGTATTTACTGTATAATCATTTTCTTGGAGTCTACTGGGGGGACACAGGAGTTCAGAGACTGATGGGTTATACTGCTGCTTACAGGAGGATTGAACACCAGCACAAACCGGCTGGATCCCTGTGTCCCTCAATGCATGAGACAGAAAATAAGATTTTAGCTTGCCATAAAATCTTTTTCTTGAATTAAGGGACACAGGAGACGCATTTAAGGCACATTAGGCAGCAGTATCAGCCAATGTCCCCAAATTACTTCTCTCACGTCCCTTGATGTACTCCCAAATTTTTGGTGAGTTAAAAATAATATTTTCATAAGCCCTGGATGACACTACAATGATTTTCCAGCGATTTGCGACATTTTGGTGACATGTAAAATTGCAAGTGAAGTGAAAACACAGATTTCAATGGGGTGCATCTTAATTGTCGTGACTTGAGTCGCTGTGACAAAAAAAACTTTCTGCACTACTTTTCAACGATTCTTATACAGCACAACTCCCATAGACTTCAATGTAAAATCTCCAGCAAGTCGTACATTTGTCTTTAATTGCAGCCACTTTGCTGAGACTTCTGAGGCAGTGTTTTTTTTTTAACCCTTGCCTCTCCTCCCTGGTCATCCTTGCTGCCTAAAAACATCCTCCCAAGCACATCCCATTTACATCTCAGCGTAGCAGAAACACATGTTCCCGGTCACTTTTTTTTGGTGTGTTTTATACATGTAAACACGCATCGCATATAGGGCAGCCCATTCACTTCAATGAGCTACCCTACATGCGACAACCTCCCCAAAGCTCCTTTTCAGTCATGGAGCATTGCGCATTTTGGCAGCAAAACACATGTCTGCTAACCATTGCGGTGTCATTAACAATTAGCTTGCATTCACATCTGTGGGTTTCAGAACATGTGGCAACCCGCATTTAGGAAACACACGGCAAACGCGCATCACGCTTTTGTTGCCAGTTAGGCAGCATTCACATTTGCGTGATTCTGAACGCACACAACCCACACAGAAAAAGCATGCTTTATGGTGATGCAAGCGAAATGCGCAGTTGCAGTGCATTTCTGAAATGTGCGGCATAGCAAACGTTTTCTGTGTGGCTAGCTGCACATTGGAAACATGCAGATGTAAATGCAGCCTAATTGTTGATAGCACCCCATTCATGGTTGGCAGATGCGCATTTTTACACGCGACAAAATGCGTTACAAATGCGCCAAGGTGCGCACTGAAATTGTTCTAGAGCTACTTTGGAGCATTTATCGCACGTAGGGCACCCCGTTCAAGTGAATGGGCTGCCCTATATGCGACACACGTTTACACTTGGAAATTTTTAGGCAGTTAGGATGACCAGGAAAGAGAGGTGAGGGTTAAAAAAAAAACACTGATCCATCAAAGTTGCTTAGGAATGCTTATCAGTAAAGTCGCACCATGTGGCCTGGGAAGTCATATAGCAAAATTGCCTGGAAGTAGATGCGACTTTCTTGTTGTGCTAGTGGGAACCAGTTCTTGTTGTACGGTAACAGACACGTGAGAAGCAATTCAAGTACAATGGGTTATGCTGCAGCCTAATGTACCCGAATTACTTTTCCAATGTTCCTTAATGTACAATTATGAAAAATATTTTATTCATCTCTGTCTCACCTCTGACAGTGTAAATGGGTACAGACGATAAGTTTTCTCTTTATTTTTTGTAAGTTTTATTTATGCTGTAAGTAAAATAACATTCCAGAACATATAATGGTGTTAAATGTTGTTTTTCATTCCAATTCAACCCAAATCTAATCCATAGTTTATGGCTTGAAAATTCTTTGTATTGTGTTGTGTCTGATCAAGGAAAAATATGAGTGGGTGAGAACGATTTTAGTGTTTAGGGGTCAACTGATCCTTGTCTGAGTTTTAAATGGCTTCAGAAAAAGAAAATACCATAAAGATTGCTAAATCACAAAGGAAACATTAATTATTATTTAAATAGTTTGAAAAAAAAAACCATGCACCGCATTTCTGTAGCCTTTATCGGGGCTTAGATGTTGTCTATATTCTTGGAAAGACTCACACAGCACAATTAGCAAACTTTATGTGAAGTATGCATGAGTGATACAAGATCCAAAATTGTACTTTACCTTAAAGGATCCTTTACAAGATCTCCAAAAGAATATATACAACATCCATGCCCTGATGAGGGGGGAATGATCCAGGGGCGGACTGACAACTCATGGGGCCCCATAGCAATAGGGGATCATGGGACCCCTGTGTCCTTGCCCAAACTCCAAAAAGCCTATGAAAAAGGTACCAGGGGCATCTCATGGGGCCCCCTACTGACCCCAGGCCCTCGGGCAGTGCCTGAGTTTCCAAATGGTCAGTCCCGCCCCTGCTCCCCTGTCAGCTGCAGCACACTGCTTTGCATGGCTCTGCATTGCAAAGCCATACAAAGTAGTGTGCTAACAATGGAAAGCACAGACACTGGAATGATCAGACTCCCAAAACACCTTTTGGGCTGTTTTCTTTTCCAGTTATATGATGAAGGTTTCCTTGGACTCATTTGTGTTTTGTCGCTCTTTATGCTATCTTTCTATTTCTGTATTGTGATTATGGGTATCCTAGTTAAGGTGACCTAAGGTCACTGAGCCTTCAATACAGGGTCAACAAACTGCAACATGTCACCATTGGTTGTCAGTACTCCTTTCTGACTCTCTGATCAGTGGCTGCCAGCTTTTACCTGTTCTTTACATTGGACACAGCTCACGATTAGGGTAAGTCTGCAGTGTAGGAAAAACATGTAAGCCCGAGGCTGCTCATGGGCAACCTCATAAAGCAAATAGTATCCGAAAAATTCTGATATCCAGGTAGAAGAGGCATTCCACCTTCCTCCTCCAACAAGGCAGTGCTATATGCCTGAGCAACCATTTACCAAGGGAGAAGGCTGGTAGCCATATCTAAACAAATACTGTATATTACTTGAATGAAGATATAAAAAAAAGGTAAATAAAAAAAAATAAAGCATAAAATACCACCTTAAAAGGAAATGGGTCTTTGCAGTGGGAGAACACAGAGCCAAGATTTGGATTTAATTATAAAAAAAATACAATTGGCACTAAATGGTGCCCTTTATGCTAATGCTGATGTTTGATTCCTTCCCGCCCAGCCTCTGTGTCCCTTTAACAAAGTCTTTACACCTTGGGGTTGGAAAGGGCTAGCCAATCAATCATGTGATTGGCTGTCACAGTGGTCACATGATCAGCAGCCAGTCTCCCCAGTTTCAGATCATTAGTGGAGACTGAGATGTCAATGACAGTTCAATCACTGTACTGGAAGCATGCAGTGAGTGTGCCCTCAGCAGAGAAACCTCTGCCACCCATGAACACATATGTGTGGTTTGCAGGTGTTAAAGCCGGCCCTTTTTTCTGCTGCACACATGCATTACATGGGCGTCATGAGGTTAAAACTTACCTCAAGGCAAATGATTTTATTTACAGTTAAGATAAGTGGAAGTGTTTTGTTGTAATGGTCAAACGATTGTAATTTGTGATCCAGATACCCCTTCCAAACAGCAAAGCCAGGTCTTCCTTGTGACCTCTCTACAGACTGCACAGCAGATTAACAACACGGGCTAGTCTGGGACTCTTCCCAGCCTATGATTGGACAGTCACAAAGAAGCAGCACACAGATGGGGACATCACTCTGACCTCTGCTCCTGTGAGAAAGCTTCCAATGTTGGGTAGACAGCATGGTGCAATGCATGAGAGCCTGAATGGCTTGCAGTATTGCTTTCCCTAACTCGCTGTCTCACTATAATATTAAAGCTGAACATCAGCCAGATTTTTTTTCAATTAGTTTAGAGTAGAGAGGAGTTAAATATTTATACAGGTTTTTCATTTTTCTCTGTAACTTCAAAAGGGAGGTTTCCTCTCACTTCCTGTCCCTGTGACCCCTATACAAGGGAGTGAGTGGTTGTCACTGGGACAGGAAGGTACAGACATGAATTATTACATTATCAGAAGCTCTAATCCTTCTCTGCTCTACTAAATAGATATTTTTTTTATCTGTGCCAACATTGGAGAGATTTCTCATCACTTCCGGTCCAGGCAGGAAGCAAGGGAAAATCTCCCCAATAAGGACCATTAAAACTCTTCTCTCCTCTAAAATAGACTTTTTGTACTTACCTTAAAACTCTTTTTTCTTTCATTTATTGACTTGCACAACTGTTGATAGAAGATCAACCATATACAACTGGATTGTAGTGCCTACCCGTAGATGGCATTATAACCCACTCGATTTTTAATCAACAGCTGTGTCTCTCAATGAATAAAAGAGAAAATAAGTTTTGGGTATAGACAGGGGCGGACTGACCATTTGGAAACCCGGGCACTGCCCGAGGGCCCGATGTCAGTAGGGGGCCCCATGAGATGCCCCTGGTACCTTTTTCATAAGCTTTTTTGAGTTTGGGCAAGGACACAGGGGCCCCATGATCCCCTATTGCCCGGGGGCCCCATCAGTTGTCAGTCCGCCCCTGGGTATAGATGAGCTTTAAGGCATACTCACTCTCTCTTTGCCAGCTGTATGTAAAAACATTTAATTTTTAATGTATCTAGAACTAGGTAAATTGTTTTTATATCTGTCAGGAGTCTGGCTTTAAAAGATTTTACTGCCCTACAGACTGGCTTAACACGAGAACATAATTTCCAATCTTCTACAAGATGAGGGTCACCTCTCTGTCTCCTCCACATGCTGAAGATTGTACAGAAGTGATGGAACGATCTTGTCCATGTGTTGGGGCTCCCAGATGTTGGCCTGAAGTTCATCGTTCACAGTTTTCCTCACAACACCCTGGAGGCCCTTGATCCCTGACATCCGGATCCTGAAAAACACATTAAATTTTATTTATTTTTTCAAAAAAAGGAAGATTAATGTTTGCATGGTTGCAGAGAATTTAAACAAAGGTCTTACTAAAAGTGCTCACATAAACTATACCGCAGACATTTAAAAGTAGGATTTACTTACCGCTGACTATATATTAAAAAACATAGATACAGAAAAACTTGTTTTGTAATAAGAAAAACTGACATAATGATATGACATACTGTATATACATAATTTCTCTATAATTTATTGTTACACTTAACATTTTACCTACAGTCAGCTAGGATTTTCTACAATTGCCAAAAACCTTTCAAATGTCTCCCTCCCTTCCCCTGCTCCTGTAATTATCTCACTTTCTTTTCCAGAACACAGGCTGTTGTATAGATGTATGTGACAAATGCACTTCGCTTTACTGCTGGAAGAAATGCTTGCAAAGAGAGCTAAACACCTACACAGATGCAATGGTCTGGATTTACTAAAGGCAAATAGCTTGTGCACTTTCCGGGTGCAGTTGCACTCATTTTCCCCAGAGCTTAGAAATTGTGGTAAAGCTCTGCTGATTTCCATCATCCAATTATGTACAAGCATAAATGCTGTTTTTTTTCCCTGCATGAGATTGGGTATTCTTTACAAAGTGAAGCTTTACCACATTTACTAAGCTCTGGGACAAACAAGTGCAAAGGCACCTGCAATGTGCAGTGTATGTGCCTTTAGTAAATCCATCCCAATGTATCTTACTGCACAACGTAGACTGACAGTGTGTGATTATAGTAAATCAAGATTTTCCACTCATTGTTCACTTTTAAAATGCCCTGATAAGGTCTTTTTTTAACCGCTTTACCACCGCCCTATAGATGAAATACTGCTACAGGGCGGCAGGGGTGTGCAAAATCACGTGTATATATATATATATATATATATATATATATATATATATGTGATTTCGCATTTCCGGATAGGGCCTTGGCTGTCAATCACCGGCTCCCAACCGGTGATTACTCACCGACACACCCGGTGATCGCCGAGTATTACCACCGGGGGAGAGAACTGTTATGTAAACAATACAGTTCTCTCCCCTGCAGGGGTGGATTGACAACTCATGGGGCCCCCCAGCAATAGGGGATCATGGGGCCCCTGTGTCCTTGCCCAAACTAAAACAAGCCTATGAAAAAGGTACCAGGGGCATCTCATGGGGCCCCCTACTGACCCCGGGCCCTCGGGCAGTGCCTGAGTTTCCAAATGGTCAGTCCGCCCCGGTTCCCCTGTAAGCTGCAGCACACTGCTTTGCATGGCTCTGCATAGCAAAGCCATACAAAGCAGTGTGCTAACAGTGGAAAGCACAGACATAGCCCACATAGTAAAACACACACAGCACACAGTTAACCCTTTGATCACCCCAGATGTTAACCCCTTCCTGCCCAGTGTCATTAGTACAGTGTCAGTGCTTTTTATTAGCACTGATCACTGTATTGGTGTCACTGGGGATGGCAGTGACACCAAGTCAGTTCCCCCCAGTGTCAGAATGCCCGCCGTAATCCCGCTATAAGTCGTTGATTGCCGCCACGACGTTATAACGTTAAAAAAAAAACAACAATTAATTTACATGTATTGGGATTTTTGTTAGCAAAGACATGTAGCAGAATATATTTTGCCTTAAATTTATGACGAAATTTGATTTTTAACTTTTTTTTATTGGACATGTTTAATAGCAAAAAGTCAAAAATATTGTTTTTTTCTCAAAATTGTTGGTCTTTTTTTTGTTTATAGCACAAAAAAAATTAAATCTGCAGAGGTGATCAAATACCACTGAAAGAAAGCTCTATTTGTGGGGAAAAAAGACATACATTTCATTTGAGTGCAGTGTTGCATGACTGCGCAATTGTCAGTTCAAGTAACGCAGCGCAGTAATGCAAAAAATGGCCTGATCAGGAAGGAGGGTAAATCCTCAGGAGGGAAAGTCAATCCAAGTGCTCTGGGTCAGTGATTTCTAAACTATGAATCACGCTCAGAGAAACTGTCACGTTGGCCATGGAAGGCAAAGTGACAATGTCTCTGGAAAGGGCCCCTAGACCCACAGCTCCTTCTTCCTCCACAGCCATTGAGAAACCCTGATGCTCTCAGGTATGGGAGAGTAAGGCTTTGTTTAGATGGGTGCACCTATCCTGTGTGCAGACTGCCTTGTTTTGGAATCTGCATCCTCCCGGAGTTACTTGTAGGCAGTCTATAGCAGTGGATGCAGGGCAACAGCTGCCTGATAAAATATGACAGCCATGCAGGAGCGGCTGCATAACCCTGAATATACTGAACACTGCTCCTCTGACTGTACCTGGACCAGTAAGTAAATATGAGCACTGTCACATGACCAGAGAAGTGATGTCACCACTCAAATTATAATATTTATAATATAATAAAATATGAACAAAGCATATCCCTCTATAGTGTGTACTTGTCTCAATCCAGAGCACTAAGCGTCATTTCTGTCTGCTGCTTTGCTCCTCTGCTGTCAGCCTGAATTACTTCTGAGTTTCTGATACCAAGAGAAAAATGGTGACGGGAGGGACCTCCAGCAGACTGACAGCCTCAGCTCCATTCCTGTGTGCTGTGTGATGGGGGTGTCTCTCTTCCCTCCAATGAGCTCTCAGAACTCTCCTCACTGAGCTCTACAGGGTGTAAATGCAGCTCTCTGACAGCAGATAAACAGGTACAACGTATGTAGGAGGATGTGTTTCCTCTCTGTGTATCACCTGAGGCCAGTCACTTCACTGAGTATTTGTAAGGGTTTACAACCACTTTAAGACAACAGAGTTGGGGTATTTGCACATAGTACTGATGTCTGAACATTGGTATTCCTGGCCAAAATTTCTTGCGCCCGGTTTGCACGCATTTTGCCTACACACATACAGGTGTAAAATAAATTCTAGCTCGCAGAATTCAATTCTAATCTCTTTGTATCAACATTGAGTGCATGTAAAACCCTGACTGGCAATGTAGATTTCTTTTATTTTTTTTTTTTTTCTGATCTATACGCAGCGAATGATTAAGTGCCTGTGTGTACAGGCACCTTGAAAACAATGGTCTGCATTCACAAAAAAAAGAAGCCTACATTCCTACAAATGCTGCGTTTTTAGGCATCAGTGATATTATCTTGCAAAAATTATTTTATTTTTATGCAACTCAAAAAAGTAACAAAACTACTAACAACAAAAACTCAATTTTTTCTACTTGTGTTAGTTTAAAAAAAATAGTGTCACTGTATAGAAAAAGTATGAAAGTTATTCCATAATTTGTCCTGTTTAAAATGATAAAGTGCTCATTCAGTTGGGCGCTGACACCTGTAGTCCATGGATGATTGCCTTTTTCAACGCAGGCTGTCTGTTTGGGGCCGCTCCCCAGCACCTGTGCGGCTGTCAAACTGCAATAAGCGGCTGTGTCTGTACAGCTGCTGCATCCCAACAGACATGAATGTGCTGCCTGCATGCAGCACTTGGTGGCTGAAGCCGCATAAACAGGTTCTCAATCATGGACTATGGGTGTCAGAGCCCGTCTGAATGAAGCCAAAGGCTTTTTTTCCCCCCGTTTTAGTTTTGTACTTTTTTTTAAGTACACTAAAAATGAATGAACAAAACAAATAAAAACGAAAAAAAAGTTCAAATAGTAATGGTTGGAAAAACAGAAATAAACAAAAAAAAATCATCAGGAAAATAACAGCTAAGGGGAGAAAGGGAAGAAGGAGTTAATTAGAGCTGAGTAGCGTAAATGAAGGGTTAATAAGAGGTTAAATAAGAACACACCTTTTTTTCAAGAAATTGCATTTTTTTTACTTGTCAGATTGCTTTAACTGATGTTATATGCAAATGGTTGCCTTTTGATCTGCAGATTAATGGAACAGAGTAGATAGAAAAGTAGCAATGTTACCTTGTATTACTCTGTCTGAACAATGTTTACAAACACTGTCAGTCTGTTTTTATGACAACAGAAACTTCTACAGCTTCTGTATTTACACAGCAACTCCCGGATGTCATTTTGACAGTCGTAAAATTCTAGAAAGTGCAAGGGGGGAAGCAACGACAGATAAAAAGACAGGGCGTACTACACATGTCCTTCTGTACTTCCATGAAATTTTTCTTCGGGCATGTGTAGCACATCCAACTCCACGAAAAAAAAAAAAAAAAAAGAAATTCAGGATGAACAATTTCAGCCTCACTGGCTCAGAACTAACTGGCTATGATTACAGCAGTCATAAAAAGGAAACATCTGTCTGAGGTTCTCACAATGTTATTCTGCCAATGTGGACAGCAGATTATTACTGGTCTAACATTCATTAACTGCCCATGTGTGAGCAGGCCCCTGCACAAATAACTAGGTATGTGGTCCTTACTTGGTCCTTGTCTCCACATCATCGTAGCTGGAGTGGCACATTTCACTGAATCGAGACACGAAGAAGTCATAGCTCCGGTGGTAGGAGGGGGTGTCTTCTTCAATGTTTGCAAACTTTACAAACTGAAAGAGGAAAAAGGGTAAGGGGAGAGATGGAAAATGAAAAGACTGGATTTAGTTTACTTACAGTATACACAGCATCAGACATGTTTCATGTTAAGTCATTTTCAGGTATTTACTGGCTCTCTCAGAAATCAGAGTAGAGTACTCCCCCTGACAATGCCTTCATCTGTTTGTTTCAGAATGAAGGAGCCATAGTTGTTCAGGTCTCATCCATGGTCACTATCTACTTCCTGGACTGAGATGTCAGCTCAGAGATGATGCATTCATGTAAATCCTGGTGCCTATGCAGTTCTTAATTGTGTTCACAAATTTCTGGCGCAGATCAGCCCCTGCTGAAGCTGTCACTGTGAGACTTGCTACAAAATTGCAATGTTGAGTTAGAGGAGACTGATGAAATGCTGCCTCCTGGCTTCAGCAGATTGATGATGTCATCTCAGCGAAGACAAAGTCACTGTGCTGAAGGTCATAGGATATATATATAACAACTGTGCTCTATGTGTTACAAATCACTGTAAATATCATAGTGAGAGCAATAATTCTAGGGTCATAATTCATGGATAACTCTGCAATGGCAACTTGTAAAGGCTTAAAAGAATCACCTATGGACAATTTTGGGTACAAATATTTGGCACAAGACAATATGGGCACAAGAACATTTAAGGCAATTTTGATATGTATTTACTTATCACAACCTCATCTTTTTTGTTTTTACAAAATTTGGGTAATATATTGCTTTTTCTTTGTGCAATAAAATTAACTTTAGAGTATTTGTACTGTAAATATGTGTTTGATAAATAGCTGCACAAATACCGTGTGGCACAAAATAATTGCAACTGCCACCATAATGTTTCCCCAGCCATACATGCCCACGCCATGACACTACCACCACCATGCTTCATTGATGAGGTGGTATGCTTAGGATCATGAGCAGTTCCTTTCCTTCTCCATACTCTTCTCTTCCCATCACTCTGGTACAAGTTGATCTGGTCTCATCTGTCCATAGGATGTTGTTCCAGAACTGTGAAGGCTTTTTTAGATGTCGTTTGGCAAACTCTAATCTGGCCTTCCTGTTTTTGAGGCTCACCAATGGTTTACATCTTGTGGTGAACCCTCTGTATTCACTCTGGTGAAGTCTTCTCTTGATTGTTGACTTTGACACACATACACGTACCTCCTGGAGAGTGTTCTTGATCTGGCCAACTGTTGTGAAGGGTGTTTTCTTCAGCCTAATGATGGCTTGCTTCACTGATAGTGACAGCTCTTTAGATCTCATCTTGAGAGTTGACAGCAACAGATTCCAAATGCAAATAGCACACTTGAAATGAACTCTGGACCTTTTATCTGCTCATTGTAATTGGGATAATGAGGGAATAACACACACCTGGCCATGGAACAGCTGAGAAGCCAATTGTCCCATTACTTTTGTTCCCTTAAGAAGTGGGAGGCACATATGCAAATTGTTGTAATTCCTACACTGTTCACCTGATTTGGATGTAAATACCCTCAAATTAAAGCTGTCAGTCTGCAGTTAAAGCGCATCTTATTAGTTTCATTTCAAATCCATTGTGGTGGTGTATAGAGCCAAAAATGTTAGAACTGTGTCGATGTCTCAATATTTATGGACCTGACTGTAGGTTTTCAGAGACTGCCTAAAAGTGGGCAGTGTAGGCGATAGTCGGATAGATTGGGGTAGAGAGTTCCAGAAGATGGGGGAGGCTCTGGAGAAGTCCTGGAGATGTGCATGGGAGGAGGAGACAAGGGAGCTAGAGAGCAGGAGGTCATGCAAGGAGCAGAGAGGACGGTTTTGGGTGATATTTGGAGACAAGATTTGTGATACAAATTGGGGCAGAGTTATAAATGGCTTTATATGTTAATGTTTTGAATTTTATTCATTGGGCAATGGGAAGCCAGTGGAGGGATTGGCAGAGAGGGGTGGGGGACACTGAATGGGCCAGTGAAGGGATTGGCAGGATGGAGGACACTGAGTGGAGGCCAGTGAAGGGATTGGCAGAGAGGGGTGGAGGACACTGAGTGGAGGCCAGTGGAGGGATTGGCAGAGAGAGGTGGGGGACACTGAGTGGAGGCCAGTAGAGGGATTGGCAGAGAGGGATGGAAGACACTGAGTGGAGGCCAGTGGAGGGATTGGCAGAGAGGGATGGCAGATATGGAACGGTTAGTAAGGTGGATGAGTCTGGCAGCAGCATTCATGATAGACTGAAGAGGGGATAGTTGAAGACACTACAACTTCAACGCAAACCAATCAATGTACACTTATTGGGATTTTTTTTTTACCAAAGACATATAAGAAAATATATTTTGGCCTAAATATATAAAGACATTTGATTTTTAACATTTTTTTTATTGGATATTTGTTATAACAGAAAGTTATATCTTTTTTCCCCCAACAATCCTAAAAAAAAAAAAAATCCAGTGGCGAACAAATACCACTAAAAGAAAGCTCCTTTTGTGAAAAAAAATAATATAAATATAATTTGCATACAGTGTTGCATGACCACACAATTGCTAGTTAAAGCAGCACAGTGCTAAATAGCAAAAAACGCCCTAGTCATGAAGGAGGTAAATCCTTCCGGAGGTCAGTGGTTAAGCAATTCCAATCTCATTTTTAAAGGCTCCAGTTTAACACCATTTAGTTGTTTCCTATTTATTGACATTATGGGGTTTATTTACTAAAGCTGGAGAGTCCAAAATCAGACTCCCTTCTGCATAGAAACCAATCAGCTTCCAGGTTTCATTGCCAAAGCTTCATTGAACAAGCTGAGGTTAGAAGCTGATTGGTTTCTATGCAGAAGGGAGTCTGATTTTGGACTCTCCAGCTTTAGTAAATAAACCCCTATTTGTCTATAAAAACACAGAGGAAGCCTCAGGATCAAAGCTTTTGTCTAATGGTGATGGAGCGGATTCTATTGGTCAGAGCTTGTCTTAGATCAGACATTAAATCCACCCAATAGTCATATTTTTCATTTTCTTCCTTTGAGTGTTTTGACAGTTTAGACGCTGCAGTCAAGCAGAGAGACGACGTGATAATTACATCATTGCGGCATCACTTCACAACATGACAAATCAAGCCTTGCTGTGCTGTATCCATGTGCATCTGTCATAGCATTGTCACTGCATGGTCGGGAACAGATCGCAGGATTGCAATGTTACTAAATATCTGCGACACACAGAGCAGAGATGAAGGAGATCTCTGCTCACAGTACAATCCTCAGCACTGTTTATGTATGGAGAACGGTTTAGCTGCATCTGTCTCGCTCACATTTCAGTAGACCGTTGAGCATTGCACATTTGGTATTGTAGTGTGTGTTTTCTTTTTTGTTGCTCATTACTTGCTATATATGACTGTATTCCTCAAACTGACAAAGGCTGAGACCTCTCCTGGACTGAAGTGGCTTACTCTGATTTCACTGCACACTGTGAGCTTCTCACAATGTGCATTAGAAGCTGCAAAGAGTCAGAGAGAGCCCGCCTAATTCCAGGCTGGAGGGCGTCCAGCATCATCTAGTGCTTTTCACCCGAGCCTGGCTTGGCTTATCTCTTTCATTCAGTGAACTTCAGGTCTTTCAATCATGGAGGCTCAGCATTACATGTGGGTGTTACCTAGGGCAGTCTGCATGCAAATTAAGCCAGCATAGGAATGGCCACTTCTCCAGACTATCATTCTTCCCTGAAGGCATTTTCATAATTGCATAACCCCGCCCACTGATTGCATATGGGTGTTGCCTATGCAAATACAGCTTTCCGAGGAATGCCAACTCCTCCAAACATTTACCCATCAAGGCGTTTAGATTCTTGTGTAACACTTCCCAAGAGCTGGCACATTGCTTGCATCAGGAATGAGGGCTCTTGAGAGGAATACTAAGGCAAAGGCTGGTAGGTTAATTGGCTCCTGTCTAAAGTGGCCCTAGTATATGAATGTGAGTTAGGGACCTTAGATTGTACACCCCTTGAGGGTTAGGGACTGATGTGAGTGTACAATATATATGTAAAGCGCTGTGTAAATTGACGGCGCTATATAAGTATCTGAAGTAAATAATAAATAATAAGGCAGGAGTTTTGCTGTTTTCAGGAAGCTTTGTACATCCTCCTACTGGCCCCTCCCACCAGTCCTGATCTGCCTGCATTGCATAAAGAAGAACAGTGACTCAATGATGACATCACTGGGTCTAAAATAAGGAATGCAATGAAAACAGAAAGGTATTTAAAAAGTTCATTAGCATGTTGGTGAGAGGGAAGGGGGAAGACAAAATATAAGCAGTTTTAAAAAGTGCAGTCTGCATTATGACTGGTCACATCAAAAATCCAGCACATTTTCTAGCAAACAACCCATGTCCCAAAGCACACGTTGAAGAATTTTTCAAAAATTAGGATGTGTTTGTGTGACCATTCCTCCTCTTCAACATACAGTAGTAGTCCAAAGGCCTCATTCATACTACCAGACAGGGGCAGACTGACCATTTGAGAACTCGGGCACTGCCCGAGGGCCCGGGGTCAGTAGGGGGCCCCATGAGATGCCCCTGGTACCTTTCGTTGGCTTTTTTGGTTGTGGTTTGAGTGTGGGCAAGGACACAGGGGCCCCATGATCCCCTATTGCCCGGGGGCCCCATGAGTTGTCAGTCCACCCCTGCTACCAGAGCATTTTGTCCCAAAGTGCAACAGGGCTCAAGATGAAGAATCTCATTATTCTCAATGGACCCATTCACACCCTAGTGTGGTTCCACTTGTTGTCACGTGTTGTCTGTTGCATGAAGCGCAAAAACGTACACAAGCCTTAAATCAGGAACAAATAAGGGTCAGAGTTTGAGAATCATGGCAACCCTCCTACCTGTGCTCAATGTGTTAGCCAGGGTGATAAAAGGAATTGGGGGGATATTGAAGCTCTCACTTATTTCCCTAACTCTGGGCTCATCTTTTTCCCTGCAGCAAAAAAAAATTGAAAAACAAAAACACCTCTGGCTGTAATACTCACTTCCTCTTTAGCGCTGTCCCCCTTAGTAATTCTGTTCCACCAGTGTAGATCCTCAGTTTTATTGATTGGTACGTCATTTGTTAAAGTGACACTTCCAGGTGTTCATTACTTCTTGTACAGATCATAGTATTCTCCTGGACATTGCCTTCATCTGCTTTTCTCTCCAGAAGGACAGAGTCATCTTTGTTCAAGCATCATCAAGGGTCATCCTCTACTTACTGGTCTGAGATGCAGCTTAAAGTGGTTCTAAACCTAAACATTTTGTTACCTTAAAGTGATTGCAAAGGTTGGATTTTTTAAATTAAAATAAGAAACATGTAATTGAACAGAACAGCCCCGAACCTCCTCTTCTGAGGTCCCCCGCCGCTGATCCTGGTTCCTCCTCTTGTCTGTGTGCCCCCATAGCAAGCCGCTTGCTATGGCGGCAGATGTGTGTGCTCGCTCCTGAGCTGTGTCTTTGGAGTCACCCTCCATAGACACACACAGCACGGCTCAGCCCTGCTCCCCAGTCCCTCCTCAATGCATTTGATTATCAACAGAGGGAGCTAATAGCTGGTGCTTCAGTCCAGGTCCCTGTGCGAAGAGGAAGAGAGGGGAGAGAAGACTGCATCCACGGCGCTGGATCCCTCATAGGCTCAGGTAAGTGTTTAGAGAAGGGAGGGGGAATAGTTAGTAGGATGTTTTTTTTTCCTTTAGAACCACTTTAATGCACTCCCTGCAATAAATTAAAAACATGTTTAAGTATTAGTATTGCACCTCCCCAATACTTACCTGAGCCCTCAATTGATATAGCACCGTAGCAACCTTCTCTGCCTTCACAGGCTTTTCGAAGGCAACAGGAGCCATTGTTGGTCAAATTCTGTGATGAAGAGGAAGGGGGGGGAAAGCCGCTCCATCTGTGTCTACGGACGCAGGCAGTGTGGCTCGGGAATGAGCCAGCAGGTATGCCACAATAGTTAGCGGCTGATCAAAAACAAAAAACACAAAAAAATTTACGGATTCCCCCATCCACACATTCAAGGTGGATGGGGGAATCTTCCTTGCTGTGCATTTGTATTCTGATAGCGGGACTTCTCTACTGCCAGAACACACTGATCAGTGCTGTAGGCGATTGGCTGAAAAATATTTTCCATCAGTCCCCTTTGTGAGGAGTTAATCATTAGTTTGACTTGAACAGGAATGGCCACAGATGGATCAGAATTCGACCACTCCCTACTGAACCAGCCAAATTTTGATCCACCCATCACCAGCTTTAGAGTGCTGAAATCTGATCACTAGGGAAAAGAAGACTGAGGAAATGCTTTCTCCTACCTGCAGCAGACTGAAGACATCATCTCAACCTAGGCAAAGTCACTGAGCTGAGCTTAAGGACGGCTTTTTAATGACAAAAAGAAGAACTTTTCTGAAAAATATTATTGCTGTATATGACATGTCAGTGTTGTAAAATTACTGCTTCAAATAGCACATTTACTCAATTAGTTCAGATGCAAATACAAGAACCAAAAGAGGGAGTGTTGTGCAGAAAAGTACTAATGAAAAAGGACTATTGCACGCCGCACCCCATTCATAAAGCACCATCCAATTTAAATGGATTTTGAGCTCCGTGCAAAAGAGAAGCAACCCTCTGGAAGTTGACCCATGGCTCTTCTGTAGGACAGTCTGAAATAATGGGGAGATCAGATTGTAGAGACTGCTAAATATTCAGAGATGGGATACCTCCCCCCTCTTCAGCTATGTGGCTTAGTCAGATATACATGGAGTGTCGCCAAGCAAGTTAGAGCATATTAGAAAGCTCTGCATGCTTTCCAAACTGTAGTGTGATTAATGCACCCTGTCCCTCCCCTAGCCTATGACTGGACAGTGAAAGGAACAGCAGCATTCTGATGAACTCGTCTCTCTGTTCTCTCCTCCTATCAGCATGCTACTTTTTAGCACATGAACACTGCAATACAACTGACTGGCACCTTGTGCCACTTCTCTCTCTGAGCTCTGCTGTACCAGGGATTGCAAGAGGCTGATACAAAGTCAACCTTAGGTACTTGCAGTGCTTGCATGAAAAAAAAAAAAGATTTATTAGGCTTCATTCACACAGTTGTACGGATCTGTATGCCTGTGAGAAGGGCCATCTTCTGTTGCTCAGGATGCACAGTTGAAGAGCATGTAGGCAGCCTGTTGATATCAAAGACAGGCAGTCAGTTGCAAGGACCTGCATGGACCATCCCACACATCCTGGAGTGCACATCCATGCGAGTCCGATGATTGGATGAAGATGTAGACAGATTGGTACATCCGAATGAATGAACCTCTAATGAATACAGAGCTGTATAAATTTGTCTTTTGTCTCTGCCTGGAGTTCAGCTTTCAACTAACCAATATAAGAACTCATAAACCGATTGCTGAGATGATTTGGCTGTTTGTGTTCCCCTCTGTTATTTGTACCCGGAGGACAATACAAGCACAGAATATCCAGCTGGCTGCATTGGATTTGATCACACAGTTTAAACGCTGTTTTTTTGTTGTGCTCATTGTTCAGCACTGAACTTTTTCTTCAGCATGAAGGATTTTCAGTGCTGGTGACTCATGTAATTCCAACTTAGAATACTGTACGAGTTTATCTTTCCATCAAACCAAAGTGTTTGTGCAATCAAATCTCGCTCTGATGTCTGGGCCTGTGATTACAGAGCATTCATATTGCAACTGAAGCCTAAAGCCTGGTACACACGATGAGAATATTGGACGAATGATCAGCCCTATTTTTTTGTATGCTAGTCTCAAATTGAAAAAGAATAGGTTACTAAAGGTATGAAAATTCTCATAAGACAGCATACAACTTCCCACGATGATGTATTGTATTGTAATGCATTCCTTCATTTACGGGCATGCACGGTCTTGGTCACTCCATTTTGTATGGATGAATACTGTACTGATTAAACAAAAATAATTTGTTCTGTCATTTTATGAGAAAATGTTCGTGCTTGTCCCTTCAGATAATTTAGCATTATCTGTCGTGACCAGCTCTTGAAAGCTGTGTACTGGGTGCACATGCGCGGGACCGCCAGATTGCACACGTCTGACTGAGGGTCCACAACATAAGGGGAGAGGTAGCCGCTCGAGCGCTGCTCCCGGGCCCGCCACAGCAACACACCTTCTCAGGCAGCCTCCACAAGCATCCCGGGGCTTACTGAGATGATCCGCGGGGCCACCAAACACCAGCCCCAGGCGAAACCTATTAAACAGGCTCTAGCACAGGCCTTCTCCGAGATGGCGGTGGCATCTGCAGCACAGCCACACACATCACAGCAGGCTGCACATCCACAGTCCTGCTGCACTTCTGATGGTGAGTCTGACACTGACCTGGGGACCTCACCACAGGCTCCCACCCCAGACATGACCCATCCTGACCTGCTTAAATCAGTTTGAGAAAATGCTACATAAGGCCCTGAAACAGACCTCAGATCACATCACAACTGTCTAAAGAACTGGGGCAACACCCTCCAACTTGGAACAGCGGGTTGACGACCTAGACGCCACTGTACATTCTCATTCTGAAGAGCTTGAAATCTTACGTGATGAAAATCTAACCCTGCAGTTCCGATTAGAAGATTTCGAAAATAGGTCCCGATGCTCCAACCTCCGTATTCGCAGCCTTCCTGAAACCATAACGGATGTTTTGTCCACAGTTACAGCTCTTTTCCAAGAGCTAGCTCCCACAATTCCAATTGAACGTCTTGAATTAGACAGAGTCCATCGTGCGCTGGCCCCTCGCCGCCTGCACAGCCGGCCTTGTGATATCATCGCCAAGTTCCATTATTTTCACACCAAAGAACAGCTATTGCAACTCTGGGCCCTTAACCTTTCAGAGCCACAAGTACCAGCTATTCCAAGACCTGTGTCCTGCAACGATTGCCAAACACCGAGCCATGAAACCCCATCTACAGGTTCTCCAGCAACAACGTATTGCCTACAGATGGAGCTTTCCTTTCGCTGTCCGATTCTCCTATCATTCCCGCGACTACACCTGTAGGTCTCCAGATCTCCTTGCTACTTTGCAGCATCTGCAACTTCAACCCCCGGCAGCCTCCTGACGCGGATCACGCTGTCGCTCTGTGTCGTGCTCCCCGCAGAAAAGCCGATCCTCCCAATCTACAATGGGTCCACTTAGTTCCTACAAATGAGGGCGATATTCCTCTTCAACCCTGACTCCCCAGGACTCCATGAACTGAGATATACAATAGCTAGCTGGGATTCTTCCATGCCCTCTCCTGGGCCATGCCTCCTAGTAGGAATTACCTTTTCGGTCTTTCCCTCATTATATATCAGTCAAACTCTACTCTACCTGTTGAATTCCCCTGAAGTGCTTTCAGCCTTTCCTGGTTCAGAATCCATTTACCCCGCCTCTGACTCCTTTGGATGACAATATCCAGCAGCTGTCCACCTCCGCTCCCCCAGTTGTCCTATTCATCCCGAGCAACTGCCTTGGACTCTACGCACTCCACAGAGCCGCCAGTCAGGCAATTATCAGCTCTAGACCGGGTTTAACCTGGTCCCCTCACCCTAACAGTGGACCGATGTTGTTTAACCCCAACTGCCATCTCCTTTACTAATCTGTTTATGTAATTGAGATGTATTTTCTGGTTTGTTATCGTGTTAGCAATGTTTACTAAAGCTCTGTTATGCTCCCGGGAAGTCTTGGGCATAGATTTAATCACCACAATT